CGCATGATCGGTAGAGTCTGCTTCTGCCGCATGATCGGTAGAGTCTGCTTCTGCCGCATGATCGGTAGAGTCTGCTTCTGCCGCATGATCGGTAGAGTCTGCTTCTGCCGCATGATCGGTAGAGTCTGCTTCTGCCGCATGATCGGTAGAGTCTGCTTCTGCCGCATGATCGGTAGAGTCTGCTTCTGCCGCATGATCGGTAGAGTCTGCTTCTGCCGCATGATCGGTAGAGTCTGCTTCTGCCGCATGATCGGTAGAGTCTGCTTCTGCCGCATGATCGGTAGAGTCTGCTTCTGCCGCATGATCGGTAGAGTCTGCTTCTGCCGCATGATCGGTAGAGTCTGCTTCTGCCGCATGATCGGTAGAGTCTGCTTCTGCCGCATGATCGGTAGAGTCTGCTTCTGCCGCATGATCGGTAGAGTCTGCTTCTGCCGCATGATCGGTAGAGTCTGCTTCTGCCGCATGATCGGTAGAGTCTGCTTCTGCCGCATGATCGGTAGAGTCTGCTTCTGCCGCATGATCGGTAGAGTCTGCTTCTGCCGCATGATCGGTAGAGTCTGCTTCTGCCGCATGATCGGTAGAGTCTGCTTCTGCCGCATGATCGGTAGAGTCTGCTTCTGCCGCATGATCGGTAGAGTCTGCTTCTGCCGCATGATCGGTAGAGTCTGCTTCTGCCGCATGATCGGTAGAGTCTGCTTCTGCCGCATGATCGGTAGAGTCTGCTTCTGCCGCATGATCGGTAGAGTCTGCTTCTGCCGCATGATCGGTAGAGTCTGCTTCTGCCGCATGATCGGTAGAGTCTGCTTCTGCCGCATGATCGGTAGAGTCTGCTTCTGCCGCATGATCGGTAGAGTCTGCTTCTGCCGCATGATCGGTAGAGTCTGCTTCTGCCGCATGATCGGTAGAGTCTGCTTCTGCCGCATGATCGGTAGAGTCTGCTTCTGCCGCATGATCGGTAGAGTCTGCTTCTGCCGCATGATCGGTAGAGTCTGCTTCTGCCGCATGATCGGTAGAGTCTGCTTCTGCCGCATGATCGGTAGAGTCTGCTTCTGCCGCATGATCGGTAGAGTCTGCTTCTGCCGCATGATCGGTAGAGTCTGCTTCTGCCGCATGATCGGTAGAGTCTGCTTCTGCCGCATGATCGGTAGAGTCTGCTTCTGCCGCATGATCGGTAGAGTCTGCTTCTGCCGCATGATCGGTAGAGTCTGCTTCTGCCGCATGATCGGTAGAGTCTGCTTCTGCCGCATGATCGGTAGAGTCTGCTTCTGCCGCATGATCGGTAGAGTCTGCTTCTGCCGCATGATCGGTAGAGTCTGCTTCTGCCGCATGATCGGTAGAGTCTGCTTCTGCCGCATGATCGGTAGAGTCTGCTTCTGCCGCATGATCGGTAGAAGTTTCGACGGCTTCGTTGCCAACAAGATCTTCACTGATAAAACTAGAAGCACCTCCACCAGAAGTTTCTCTTTCTGCAGCAATAGGAGACGCACTTTCCAGGATGTGGAGGATTACATCTTTAAACGCCATATTCAAGAGCGGGAGGAAGAAACCTACGGTAGCGCTCCTAGCAGTGGCAGCCGTCACATAGTACCCGGCTCGCTCGAGGAAACGCATAAGCATATAGCCCTGCGTCAGAGAGACCTTCGCACTTGCCATGCCAGGGGCCAACCCCTTGTCAGCAAAGATCGCCCTGCAATCCGGATTGAGAAGCATCCACTTCTTGATCCACCTATCCCAGTGCTCGCCCTCGTTCACCATACGTCGAAGCGCGTCCTCTTTCTCGTCGTGAAGGCCCTGAAGAGCCACCTTGCCGCTAACCGGATTCCGAATCGTTGGGAAGTAGTGCGATGAACACCTCAGTATCGCGTCATTTTCGGCAGCGCGGACTAGCTGGGAAATATTGCCTTCCTCCACCCAGTTGTTGACTTTCTTGACCAACGCAGGGGAAAGGATTCCCATGTGGTCGCACGTCCGTTGATCTTGATCTTGTCCATCTCGTTCACTATCCATTGTTATAGCTACAGGATCCATGTAGTCAAGGGGTAAGGGGTCTTCGTCCCCTGCTGGTTTAAGGAGAGCAGGTGGCTTATTTGCTATATCAGAAAAAATATCCTCCGACGCAGGAGCAGATCCGTCGTCCTTGGCCGTTCTGGCAGGTACATCCAATCGTGGTCCTTCTTCTTCCCATGCCCGTTTCGGTCCTGAGGCGTGTCGACGACGTCGATCCACTTCTCCTCCTCCTCCTTGTTCTTGTTGCGGTTGTAGCTGTTTTGTTTTTTGTGAGAAGTCTATGAAAGACGATGCGAACCGGGAAGGTGGCTGCAGAAAGGTATTTTCGCCATCCTCCGATGCACAAGTCGCGCCAGACCAGTCGTGGTCGGTGCTGTCGCGACCAGGGTCAGCCTCGTCATCGTGGTCATCAAGAGCGTCGAGGTCGTCACGGACTACATCATGATGACCACGATCTTCCTCGGCGTCGAGTGTAGTAGACTTGTTAGTGGTTGCAAATTGGCCTATCAATCTCGCATATGATCGATGACTTACTTTCCTATTTGAAAACTTGTTCATAGATTTATGCTCATATTAGATGAGAGGAGGCCAAATTGCACCCCTTAATAGGCAGAGACACAGGCGACTGCTGCGACTCACTTGTTGCGGCGGGAGAAGTTGCAGAATCTGCTGGAGGAGTCTGCGGAACCAGCTGCAGGAAAATCTCCTCGCGCGCTTTGGCGCGCGCTACCCTGTTGTTCCTTTGTTCAGCTGTAGTGGTCACACTATTCGGTAAGAACTCTTCTGGGTCAATCTGCGTGTGGTGATCCTGGCCATGCTGCATCCCCAGCACCAGCGGACACATCAGCAAGAGGACCACGACCACGAAGGCAGATAAGGTGAACTGCGGCAGACCTGCGAGCTGCAGTCGAAACTGGCCATAATCATGATCACTCTGAATACCCAGCACTCGTTCACACAATAGAAATAGAGTTGCGAGGACGGCGAACCTCGGAGGTGGGACTCGAAGCTGCATACGCCGTAGAAGCATCGCGATGGAGTCTGATGATCTCAGCTTGTTCAAGAGTCAAGAGGTGGGCATCCGCACAACACCACTAGACATTTTTATATTCTGCTGCGGCCCAGTACCAGTTGTACGACGACCATGACCAATATATAAGAAGATTGTTTTTGTAGTTACAACATGCGCGAGGCTCTCGCTAGTATTATACGACGATCTCAATGAGTTAAAGAAATTGTCCGTACTCCAGAACTGTGTGATGTACTCCCACATCATGACCATGGATCAGAAGTCCGTAAAGATTACTGCGTCTACTTTTTGGCCAAGGAGCTTTGGCTTAGACACGAAAGTTCTTGTGACACTTTCAGAACAAATTGAACACGTGGCTCTCCGGTACCAGCATCTTCAGCGTCACCAACAAAACCACGGCACCAATCAATCAGGAGAAAAGCAGCTCCTCAGCCTCACGTGCCTCAGTAGGTGGAGGATTACGGTGAGATTGACAGGGAGGTACGTATGATGTTGTTGTACTGGGTTCTAGAAGATTGAAGGTATTATGTTGTACTGAATTTTGTACCTTCATCTCTTGCTCCTCGCAACAACAAGGGGAGTCGCAGTTGTTGTTATTCAACAGAAAGAGTCAATGCCAGACGTCGACTCAGTGACATGTTCTTGCATGGATCTTTTTCTTGTCTTGAAATTGACCGAGCAGGCAGTACCACCATTACATTCATAATATTTATAGAAGTATGATGCGAACCTGCGACATTTATGATCTGAAGAATCTTCGTGGTCGCAGGTACTTGGTGTGGCCTCTCGTGACCACCGTACAGACAAAATGGCAGCCGACAACAAGGTCAATTCCCACAGCTCTCATTTCCTCCAACATCATATGATGCTCCTTATGTATCATTTCCGCTGCCTTGACGCTTCCTTCGTCTCCTAGTTTGGGCTGGCGTAAACCCGAGCCTTCACCACTTGCTCATGCCGCAGCCACTTTTCTCGTACTAGCTCCAGCTGTTCGCCTCTTCACACTAGTTGCGCCATGCTTCGCGTAGTGGCGCACCCAGCTTGGCAAAGGCTCCATCGAAGCCCGAAACTTCGGTTCCCACGAAAACGTTGTTCCTGCGAAAGCGAGTCTTAGAAGAAATAAGGGATTTCTTGCTGTTGTACTTGTAGTTATGCTTGTAGGAAGTTCAAAGATCAAAATATGGCATTTCAATTTCTTTGGAAGACTGAAACTGCAAAATCTAAGAAGTAATCCGAATCCCTGAGTTGTTGGACTAAGTGGAAGCTCACCTCTATTAACTGTAACTTGTTCTCTTTTTAGAAATACCATTGCCAGTTAGAAATACCAACTTCCATTAGCTGCTAATATTGCTAAAGCTAAGCCCCCAAGATACTAGTCCCGTATGATGATGATCAAGGTTCCACGACTGAGTTGTCAGTACGCATTTGCTGCTAATAACAATAGTCCTACATCACTACTTCCAGAAACGGCGAGTCCTGCCCAAGTACTAGTACTTCCATAATTGTGGTGGAGCCGACCTAGCTAGAAAAAAGAAAGATAGGCCGTCTTCGGTAATCCCGAGACCCGATTCCTCCGCTTCAGCGGCTAAGTCCTCCTCTAAATCGTCTGCCCAGGAGATACGCTGTGCTTGCTGGACGGTGACATCTTGAAATTCTGCAGGATGTTGATGAGCTTGCTCGGTTGGAACGCCTGGTGACGAAGATGTTCTTACACCACGGGTAGGAGCATTAGAGGACGGTGCCAATAGTGGTAGAGTGCGCTTGCGAAGCTGAATGGATTCAATCGGACTCGGTGATGTTCTCTTCATTTGTTCAGTAGCTCCTTTGACGTCTCCCTTCTATCCCTTATTCTTGCAACTATGGGCGGGACATCAAGAGGATAGTCTCATTGGGAGAGATGCTATTGAAATAAAGAGATGATGCTATTGAAAAAAGAGATAGATACCAAATTCCCATCTACCAAAATGGATGAATTGCAAATTCCCAGCCTACGCATATGAATGAATGAAAACCAAATGTTCTTCTTAGCCATAACTCCAGTCCCGCTATTAATGTGAGATGTAATCATAGTCTCGTACTGCTGCACTAGGTCTGAGCCGCTTGTGCTTTCTTCAGTAGAAGGTGACGGCGACGCCTTTTTTTTGTAAAAGAAAAATTATTGTCTCAGAATTTGAAGATGACAGGAGACCGATGAAAATTCATTGTATAATGCGTCAGAATATGCATGAATATCTACTCGGCACCATCGAGGTGGCAACAAGAACATCCAGGTTCATCAACATCAACACTGATTAAGAACATCACATATCATTCAGATTTCCCACCAGGTTCCCTACTTCACTGAGCAACAACCCTTTGAGGAAGACCCTAGTAGAGGTTACTTCACTGAGAAATAAAACTAACAGCTTGTGAAGACTCAAATAGCTAGTACCTTCTTCTGTTCTTCAGCAGCTCGCTTCTCCATTGTAGCCTGAGCAGCGGTTGCCTCAGCGGCTTCAGCAGCTTTTTTCTCGAGTGCACGTTTTTTCTTCTTCGCCTTCTTCGCTGAGATCAAGTCTTCATCTTCTAGAATAGTTGCCGACGTACTAGAGGCAGTAGACGTTGGTTTCACCTCGTCTTGTTGCACTTCTACAGGCTCTGAAAGAAGTGGTTGTACTTCTACAGGCGCTGTCATTTCACCTTCGCCCGCTTGTCGAAGTGCTTGTGCTTGTCCTCCTCGTGCCCTTTTGTTCTTATTCTTTTTGCCTTTCGCAATGGGTTCATGATGAGAGATTGTAGATGTAGAAGAGGATTCTCGTTGCTCTGCGTGTTCCACTAGGGTTGCAGAAGCACTGTTTTCCTCAAGCATAGCTCCTGATGTGCATGTGCTAGGACTAGTCTCAACTTCGTGCTCTTCATCATCATCTTTGATACTATTTTTATCTTTGATACTATTTTCACCTTTGATACTCTTTCCATTCATATCGTCATTTGCACTGGTCCCATTCCCTCCTCGTTTGTTTGCGCCCTGATTCTTGTTCTTGCCCTTATTTCATGAAAGGAAAAGGGTGCACTTACTCATAGGATAGGATAGGATGCCTCATCGTTCTCAAGAATATTTTTCACAGTCAAGAAAAGGGGCATCTCTCTACTTAGAAGGTGTCTAGTAGAGGCACCTCCAATTTAGAACGTGCCGAATTTCTTGATGACAATCATTCTCTTTCTCATTCATGAGGAGTACTTCTACTTACACTAGGTATACTTTTTCCTTTCCTTTCATATATTTTTGCGAGCTTTCAAATAGCCATTTCCCTTCACCTGTGGCACTGGTTTAATGGCTCCAGTCTCTGCATCCCCAAACAAGTAGTCTAGAAACCTTTCCAAACTCCATTGCGGCTGCGACACTTGGCCGTGCTTACTCGATTGCTTGCGTGATTCTGTGGTGGTGGTGGTGGTGGTGGTGTTGTTGGGTGGAGAGCTAATACTTATTCAAGAACAAATCCAGTTGTCTTGAATATAAATAATTATAAGAAGATTAGACAGTCGTGATAGTAGAAAAGTAAAAAGCTATCAAGTCAGAGATAAAGTCAGCCAAAAGTAGAATAATCGATAGGGGTGCCAGATCCGGGATGGGATGGATCGGATGGAACGGATGGACTTCCCACCATTCACAAGTAGGACCGGAGGGCTTAGGGGGGTCCATCCGATCCATCCAAGGCCATCCTACATCCGTTCATCTATAAATTATTCTACTAGTGTATATTTTTCAAGATAAAAAACCTGCTCCTTCTAGATGACCACTTTTATATTCAAATCAACTACAGGATTGAGATTATCATCATTCCCTTAATGTATATTACGTCTCAAGAGCTGGAACCACAGGAAGAAGAGCCCCAGTAAAATGCATAACGGGGCAACGAATGAATTGAACGCTTCCTGCGCGCTAGCGTAACGACGAGCCATTTTGTTGTTGTCCCGTGAAGCTTCTTCAGGAGGGGACCCAAGACCTAGTGATCCTGATTGTGTTTACAACTTTCGCTTGTTTTTACATTTACATTCATTCACTCATTCACGCTGCCACTAGCATCTCTAGTAGCAACATTCTTTCCTGCAAAGGGATACGTAAGTCCGTGATATTATAATAGGTATAACAATAGCAATACTTTTATGAAGATCTTAACAATATACTTATTTTATGAAGCTCGTATTTGTAACAACTTCCGCTGTTTACAGAGAGAGAGACATCACAACTCAGACGTTCTTGCTCTTTGTACAACTATGATCTCTCGCGATAAAATAGGGTCAGATCTCTCGTCACGTTAGAGATAAGGCATCGTCCTCGCTCGTCTCAACATCTACTCGTTGTTTCAAGAAGAAAGGAGTAGTGAGAAATGCCTTCTCTGGTTGGGCATCTTCTGGGCAATAATGAGCAGACGAGCACGATCAAGCAATCAAGTGGCGATGCGCGGTAGTCCGAGCCTAGCGGACGTGACCGTGTCACTGCTCGTCGTGCCTCACTGAGTATGCCCGCTCACGCAGGGTCAGTCGTCAGACAAGGGTACGACTCTCACTAAGCGGTTTGCCAGAGGACGCCCCGGATAGCACGGATCCTAAAGATTGAACTCGTAATTGAGCACCTCCCTTACTCCGTTCAGAATAGACTCGTTGTTTGGAGCTCTTCAAGGAGTGAATGTGAGAAGCTCAGCAGATTTGGAGTCTTCATTCCCTGCTCTAGGATTCAGTGTGGGAGAGTTTTCCAAGCATGGTCTTTGTGGACTGTAGGTGGAATAGGATGTAGAAGTGTAGTGATTGCTGTACTATGACTCAGTACTAGAAAAGAAAGTAGTTCCTGATGTTAGCTGCTTGATGTGGTTTTCATCAACTTAGTTGTGAAGGTGTGTAATATGAGATGTGTAGTAGTACAAATAGTAAGGCGTACGCTATGTACAAATAGTAAGGCGTACGCTATGTACAAATAGTGAGGCGGAACGACCACCTCGTCCACGTCCACCCGTTCATCGTACTGCCACGCAGACCTAAGAATGCACGACGTTCTTGCAGAGAATTCATATTGAGATACAGAGACAGCACGCCCTATCTTAAACCAGATGAAGTATAACCAAATCATCTTCTATCTTGCTAGTATGAAATTCTTTACGAAGGAAGACAGAGCATCATGAGAAGGTATTCAATAACAATCTCATTCATTGGCCTTAGAATTCAAGAAACTATTTTACTCAAATAAGAGAGACGTAGATACTTATGCACAAACTACTCTGTCGAGATCTACTATCATCCATGATATATACATCAAATTTTGAAAATCTATCAAATTTTGTGATAACAGTTATCACGACACCCATGACGAGAAACTATGGGCGGCCCTGCTGCCTGCATATCCGATGAAAGACGAGGACGACGAACTCTGTTGAGCGGATAACAATACTTATACTTATTCTCTTGTTTCCTCAGTCTACCAGATTGATCAGGTCAGAAGCGAAGATGCGGCAAAAACTATTCCAGAAGGTTCCTAAATGCATGTTACATCGCAATGTAGCATCTAGCCTTCATAGAAGGTCGTGTGGCTTCTACTTTTTCTACTGTTACTTAGTACATCTTTTTTCTTAGCTGGCACCACAAAAATTGGTCGTACAATCGTGGTTGGAGTGACAAGAACAGTCACGACCTTCACGAGCACCCAAAAAGACAGCACCTTTTCTTCCTAGCACCAGATTCCTCGATGATTTTCCGGCGCTCGTCCAAGGAAAGCCGACTATTGGAATGTGGCAGAGCAGCTGCAGTTGGCGTCGGGAGTCCTCCAGTTGTGGTTCCCTTGTTAAGTCCAGGTCCACCAGGTCCGTTTTTGGAAGTACTACCACTGTGTTGTTGCTTCGACTGCGCATTGGAGGTACCTGTTGTTGTCGCATCCACCGTGCCGGTGGCGAGATTAGATGTTCAAACTTGTAGAGCGAGAGCCTAGGAAACAGTAAAGGTTTATTCAAGGTGAATCCTAACTCCTCCTGGTTCCCCCGAGTGCATCTGCCATCTGATTCTGATGATGTTGTCCTCACTCAATTGAGACTTTATAATTTAATCTAAAAATAAATCTTATATATAGCTATCTAGTACTAAATTTCCCTCATAATTAAATGGGGCGATTATCTATTTTTTTTCTGTGTCTCGACTGCAAGACGAGCGAGAGCTCCTCACTTGCAAGACAATGAGAACAGCTTTCGAAAGTACGCGCTGAAGTTCCGCTCAATGCTTCCAGTGTGTCAACTACTTAGCCTGCCTGCAGAGCTAGTAAACTTTTTTTCCTTCAGCCTGAGGTTGTAATACAGTATCTAGTGAAGTAATACAGTATCTAGTGAAGTAATACAGTATCTAGTGAAGTAAAGTTGTATCATCTAGTGTGTGAAGTATATTAATGTTAAGTGGTCTACGACTCGTCAATTTGCAACATAACTACTGGGTTCTGGTTCTCCTGAGATGTCTCCACTGCAACGAGACGAGCAAGATTTGGGCTCTTGTCCAGAGGAACCGCGCCTTCGCACTTGGAGGTACTCGTGTTGTAAGCGCAGATCACCGGACCCAGTTCCTCAACTCGAGGAAGCGAGAGAACTGGACGCAAGGTACCCGAAGATGCGCTCTCTGGACTGATGCTACCTCCAGAAAGTTTAGAACAAGAACTTCGAGTTTCTTCCTTGCGCTAGCTTCGAAGTTGAACTTTGCAAATTTTTGTAAATAAGTGATGGAAACCTTGTAGCAGGCATGCAATTAGGGAACATGATGATTGAAAATATTTATAACAGAAAAAAACAAATATTCTTATATTTGTAATAGAAAAAAAGTATATTAGTTGTACTTCAATGTTTGAATACTAAACCACAACCACAACGAGGAGTCATAACTGTCGCAGCAGCAGAGCTCATACCAGCGGGAACGGATACGGATTCTAGCGCAGTATTACTAACACGGCCTCCGGAACACATGATTGGACTTCGAGAAAGCTGTTCTTGTCTTCATTAGACGATCTAGTTTGTTTCTGTCATGATCAGTCTGAGTTCAGTCAGAACCATATCTCCTCCAAACATCAAGGATATATGTAATATTAATCCTTCTAAAACCAAACGCCTATGTAATAATCCTTCTAACGGCAAGAGCAAGACCAAGTACGCAAACGCAAACGCAAGACCAAGTACATATTGAACCGTCTAATTCTAACCTGATTAGGATTGGCTCGTTCTTTACAGGGCAGTTTCCTATTTTGCCGATTACGACTGGATATAATTCTCTTGCATTGCCGATTACTCTAGAGACCCACGCAGTAAGTGTGTGATGATCCAGGCCTATCCTTAAGTCAAAGGACTGGTCTTCGGCTGTTCATCGTATTGGCTTTGATTTTGCCTCCGAACTTGCTCGCAGTCTTGCTTGATTGATAGAATGAGAGAGTTGCGCACTGGTGACTCGGACAAAGTAGAGGCTCCTGATTGTGAAGATGTTGAGGACGGTCTTAATCATGACGAGGATGTTGTTGATGAGGATGTTGTTGATGATTGATTTAAAATAGTACCATCTTCAAGGGTCAGGGCGGTCGTTTTGGATTTATTGGACATCTGTTATATAGAAAAACAAGAGTGCTGATGTTCTCGCGGACCACGGCTTTTGTCAAAGAGTGTAAGTATACAGAAGGATAGTAAATCTAAATGCTCCACCAGGACGTTATATTATAACTGTACAAGAATTACCTGCTCCACCAGGACGTTATATTATATTAGAGTCAGGAATTTTTTGGCCCGTCACGGGTCGAGTTTCTCGGGTTGCTCGGGTTGCTCGAGTTGCTCGCCGTAATTTTTTGCGCGGCGCCCTTCGGGCGCAGCTTTGTGAGACTCTGGGATACCTTAGCAGGAGCGTATGACACTCCACGACATGCCCCGGATCCCTGGTTTTCTTCTTAATGCGCACCAGCGACGAGAGTGAGGGAGCGACCGCCCTCAGCTCGGGAACCCCTCCCAGCCACTTGATCAAACACGCAAGGCATCCGCCACGTACTCTTCTCTACTTGCTTCCTCGGCTGAGTGAGCCGTTCGCCAAAGCAGGCGGGAACCCACTCCCAGTCCCAAAAGAGTGAGAGACTCACTGGCCACGAACACATCCGAAGAAAAAAGGGAGAGATTGGCACCGACCCAACGACAAGCCACAGCGACACCCTCTCCCCTCAAACAAAAACAACAACGAGGCGAAGCCGTCGGCCCCTTAGTGCCTGGCTGTGCTTCGAACGCGCGCCCACGCGCTACGTACAAGAAAAAAAGCCGGAAGGACTCGCTGGGGAGCCCTTCACAACCGGCCGCCCCTCTCATGAGAGAGCAACAACAAAAGCAGCCACTTCTTCACTTCGCGCAGCCGCAACCGTGTCCATACCGCCCTGCTGCGCCGCATTCCGGTGAAGCGGATGGCTTCCGGTAACTCGTGGCAACTCGTTCAAGAATTGAAGCCCTTCGCTTCGGCAACTCGAGCAACTCGTTGCAACTCGAGTAACTCGAAACCCGATATTTTACTTACTCTATATATATATAACTGTACAAGAATTACCTGCTCCAGGAGGACGTTATATTTATTATACTCGAAAAACTGAAATAAGCGAGTAACTACTAAAAATAAGCGAGATACTGATGAGAAGGAAGAGCACCCCCTTGGCGTTAAGCTACCTCCCTTATTTCAGTCAGTAACGCGGTTATTTTGAGTTTTCGAGTAACTGTACAAGAATTACCTGCTCCAGGAGGTGGCGGGGGCACCCCTTCGAGTATGCATGAACCACCGTTGGATTCGACGGGAGAACTGCTATTACAAGTGCTATTACCCATATCCTCGACTGGGGAGCTTGCAGCTGTCGACGCCTGCTCGACTTCACATGGAAGGTGACCGTCGGTCTGTTCAGGTGGGGTGGGAAAATGGGTTCTTTTCTATGGTTGACATATGTTTCTAAATGGTTGACATGATATGGAGTCCCCGTGGTCTCAGGAGGACCAGCAGTTGTCGCCTCACAACATCATGTAGTTGACTGACATACAACTACAAAGATAAGTGCATCGTGCTGATGCTAAGCTTCTAGTATAGTACCCCTAGTAGAGTAGAACTCCTAGTACTATACTCAGTACTCCTAGTATTTGGTAATTCGATGCGCAAGGACCGAAATAGACGAGATAAAGCTGTAGATGACTACCTTTTTTCCCGCTGGCTCGTCCGGCTTCAGTAGCTCCTTGCTGACTTGTGTGGCCATTGACTCAGCTAAATTGGCGACAAGCTTTTCTGCTACTGCCTCAACCGCCGCGGGGTCCTGTCGTGCTCGAAGAAAATTGCAATCATAATGATGATAGTATTCATGAGGTGTCGGTGTCATAGTCACGAACTATTTAGAACAATAATTATCGATAACGAGGATATATCTTCGAACTACTTCGAACGATAACTTCTTGTGTGGCCATTGACTCAGCTAAATTGGCGACAAGCTTTTCTGCTACTGCCTCAACTTACAAATTATCGTACCAATCATGGAATGGTGGACTTTTTACTTACTACTCTACTACAACCCCTAGTACGCCACCAGTCTTACTTCTCTCTGCAAAAATTCTTCACTGTAATATACTGTACTAAGTATATAATTATAAGTACATACAACTGTAAGTATAAGTACCTGAGCAGAAGTCCCACTAACTTCGAAGATTTGTGCCAGTGACGAGCAGTCCTGCATAGTTTCTCGAGACGCTAAAGGCTCCTCCACAACAAATTCCTCCTGATCCTGATAAGGGCTAATCACGGCTGACGATTGCTCGCGTCTGGAGGTTTCATCCTTGATGCTTCTCGTATTAGAGAAGCAGAAGAGTGCGATCATGATGTTGCTGTAGTTGATGACCATGAGCACCAAGAGCAACACTATAACATCAATATGGTCCTCGTCATACGTCCACCGTAAAAATGGTTCTAGTTGGTACGTCGATATTACAGTAATCATAATCAGCTGGTGTGATAAAGATAATATGAGTATGACATTAGGATTAATGACACTTGATCCAGAAAAACATCCAAAAAAATTAATGACCTCTGGCTTAATGTCGCCTTTCGCGCCAGTCTTCCTACGCTTCTTGCGCGACGCCTTCGCTCCCTTCGTAATGCTTGCACTGCCTGACTCTCGCGATAATCTGAGAAGACTCGCAGTGCTTTTTCACATGAAAGTGGTGAAAGGATTGTGATCGAGTCGGCGGGTCTCTTCTTCTACTTTTCTATGAATTCATTTAATGTCAGGTCTGACGTTGCTAAGGAGCTCTAGAATTCTTGTACGAAGGAGTGTTGAGTCAGGTCTTTTCTTTTCTGTAACAACCGTGGCGAGGTTATTGATGGCACGAATCTACTCGGCGATCTGCCTAAGATTTCCCTGACGCTGACGAGAAAGAATATTAAAAAGGTTATTTACTTACTTATCAGGGAGGAATGATAAGAGATAATTATATATATAAATATAAAAAGTAGTAGTCGTGGTAGGGGTAAACCCAATCAAGGGGAACGTCTTGCTTTTGTATTGGGGAGGGGTTTTATTCGAGGGCTTACTTAATTATCAGGGTCGTTTGATAAAAAAGAAGGAGTCCTCACATGATGAAACAAGGTCTACCGCACTAGTGCCCCCGCGTTGTCATAACATGCATTGCAGCTATCGAGAGGATTTTTTCTTCGGTTTCGTCGAGTTCCGAATCATCCCACCACTCCACAGACATCTTGGGATATATGTGATGTTGGAATCAGAAAGAGAAACGGAAACACGAAGCAGCTTCCGGAATGGGAGGCGTTGATACACGACCACGACGAAGCGTGGACAACCAAGGAGCAATTTTTATTGTTTCTTTGTCTTCGCAAAGCTACCTGTCCTGCTTTTTGTAAACATAGGTCTAGCAGTAGGACTCACTCTTGTACATCAGATTTTTATCTAGTTGTACAACTTCAACTTCTCTTGTAATCCTATGTCTACTGTTCTCGCTACCACTCAATAATTGCCCAGCTAAGAGCCTTTGGGCAGTATTCAACCACCTAGCGGGTCCTTGATGTCAACCGCAACTGATGTTCCCGCAAGACGAAGAACTAAAAGCCCTTGGATCTTATGCTTGTTCTCAGCGTCACAGAACGGTTAGGTTAGGTTGTGAATCCTGAACCAAATAGAAACGCAGAACGATGACTAAATAGGAACACACGTCCTTTCATTCACCACGGCCGCGGCACCTAACGGCGACAAGAACAGGCGTCGCTCTTGTGTTGTATGATCAAAGTGTTCGACGCACCAGCTTAGGTGGGCGCAGAGAAAGCAAACATTTCACAGACGCACAGATAAGGATAGCAAAGCGGTGAACGAGCAGATGAGGGCTCAATTAACCTGCATAGCGCCATGATCAACCGAACACGTGCTATAATATCTGTAGCATCCTCAATGTCGACTGCTCGAGGACAACGAGTCTCGTAGTTCGAATATATATATGTAGCATCCTCAATGTCGACTTCTTGCTCTACTACTACGCAAAAATAATATTGTCGTGTTGAACAAGGGACTAGATTCATCTTACGATAAATCGTGACGAAGCAGGGCAAAGGATAGTAGCCCTGCGAGTCGTGGGATTACAAAAATACGCGACTAGCTAAGTACAAACCTGGAACGCTTGCCAGTCGTGCTCTCCCGTTTGTTTTTACACGGGAACGGAGTGGAGCAGCATCAAACGCAAACTAGTTGAGGGCGCGCACGCTGTTCCGAGATACAACAACTCTAATCAGACTGCGGAAGAGTCATTAAACTTGGGCTATAAGGTTAGGCTAGGCTGTGAAACCTGCACATCGAGCACCCCCGGCACCTACTCGACTCCGAGGCTAACACTAAAAACTATCTAAGTACTTAGCCTTAATACCCCGCCAGATCACTGCATAAGAAAAACAACGCGTCTCCTCAATGTCGACAATTCTACTATACAATTAGCGTCTGGTTTGATTTTCTTTGATGTTGATCTGATGATGATGTTGATGGATATTTGTTGTATTCGTCTTGTTCTTTGAGTTGTATCTATACGTATTCTTCAAAAGTTGCAACCCAAATAAAACCCATCTCTCTAAGAAAGTCGAAGTTGTTGTATCCCTTCAAAATTTGAGTTGTGGTTTGCCTTTGGCTTTGCTACTACTTTTAACATGTGAAGAAGAAGATTTCGATTCTGCTGGTGGCTCTCCTGTTGTATTCAGAGTGAAGCGACTCTTAGTTGTGAGTTCGCCAAAAATTAGGCTCAAGATTTCATCTATTTAATATAGATTCTATTTATGCCAAATATAATTTCACTAACTAAGGAGGATGTCAAAACAAGAAGTAGAATTAGAGTAGCTCCTGCCTCAGCCCTGTGCTTCAAGCACCGGATCAAGGAACAAACATAGTCAGTACGCAAATGCAGCCAAGCAAAAGGAGCAATAGCAATACAACATAGTACTTACTACCTCCACCTTCATTGATTGATTGATTGATTGATTGACGTGCCTGACAAGAGGTCTATTTGCTCGAAGATATATCTGCTCATTTTTTCTTCTCTCCCTTTTTTGCATCAAACTGCAGTGAAATAACCAAAATGTTGCGATGAAGGAAGAGGAACTAGATCATGCGTTCTTCTGCTTGTTATCTAAATATTAGTATTGATATATCTAAAGGGAAAGCTAAAGCAAAAGCTAGCTAAGCTATTTCCGGCAGAATGATTGGTAGTGGTAGAGTTGACAGAAGGGCACGTGCTTTTTTGTGCAGCTTCTCAGCCCTCCGCCTGTAGTACCTTTCGTAAAAAACGTCATAATACGCGTGGCGGTTGACATTAGAACTACCGCATTAGAACTACCGCGTAGACCATCCCCGGCTTCTTTTTCAAGTAGAAAAAGGGCCAAGGATGACGTTGGAAATGCATTAGCGGTAGCCCTAATGAGAACAGCGAGACCCGAGCTTCCGACCCAGGCGACAGACTTGAGCTCCGCGTGTCGGAAGCAAATCAGGAGGGGTCCAAGTTTCAACATTAGATGCGTCCGTCAGCTTTTATCCAGGTGAGCTATCGCGGCTATGCTCTTCAGTCTGGTAGTACTCGAGTAAAAAGTGCAGTACCAGCTGACGTATCTAAAGAAGCAAAACAGCTGTGTACTAAAAGTTCCACAGCTGTATTTCTATCTCGGTCCATGAAAGAATAAGAAATTCAGGTTTTGGAGGAGGGGTATGGATTTTCCTTTGCTACTCCATAACAAGGGGTACTCGCAACTCCGAATCATTTGCCCGTTCGGAACATCCTCCCCTTCGTTCACCATTGTGTGCGGGTTGCCCGATATAAACGGCGGCCTACCGGGAACGCTGCCGGATATTTGCTTGATGTTGATATTTGATGAAGTTGAAGTAGAAGTACAACTACTCCTACTGCTACAGTTAGCGCTCACCCTAATCCATCGCGAGATTCATCTTGGAGCTATTTTCCCCTTTATGGGACAGGTCTAAGATGTTAGATGCTTCAGAAGATGGATTGGGGTAAGCCGTAACACAGCTACAGATGTTCATGTTCTTGTGACTATTTCTGCTCGTAGATGAAGACTGCTGTAGTTTCTGATCCGTACTACTGCTGCTCGTACTAGAAGAGGTTCCTGAAGAGGACGGTGGTGGAGTAGTTCGTGTCCTTATCGTTGTCCTTGTGCAGCAGCAGGTGTCATTTTGCTTGATGATTGGCGCCCAGAGAATGCTCTTGTACGTCCGAGGAAACCAGGAAGACTGATAGCATTAGAGAGAGACTAGTAGTACGATGGATTATTAGTACAACTACGTAGCATTTTTAGAGAAAGACTAGTACAACTACGTAGTCCTCAGTTTAGAGAAGATTCCGACATTGGTTCCTGAAAATGTTCTCCTACCTAACAAGCCTAGAGGTAATCAACAACTAGTAACACTCGTCACTCTAACTCTTCTAACAAACTGTCACCCGCATCGATTCCCATCAGTGAAGGATGTTGCCTATCAGTATCTGTGATGCTATTAATGCGTAGACAGGCTTCCTTAATAGTATAAGCGAGGCAAGAAATCGAAGTCCGATAGGGTCTCGACGTGTTGGCTGTCCCCGAATTCAAATACTGGAGGCAAAATCTGCTCAAACGCCATCTCCTCTCCTAGAAGCTTCGCCAGGAGCTTCTCCTGCAATATTAGAAAGAGTAAAAGAGCCATCAGGAAGGTCTTTATCTCTCCTTCTCTTCCTTTTTTGCGCCTCCTTTGCTTTTTTTCTCATGTAGTCTTCTCAAGATCTACCCTTAACTGTAATAACTTCTTCGTCATCTTCTCCTCGTTTTCAAATCGGTCGCGCAGGCTTCTCAATTTTCCCTCGAGACCACCCGCTCGCAAGAAGTAGTCGAGGGTGGCGTCGAGCTTCCCGAAGAACGCCGTTTGGGGCACCACAAACTCATCGCTGTCCACCAGAATATGAATGATAAACTGAAATAACCGAGTAAAAACTACTTAGAGTAATTATAGTATGGAGTGGGGATTTTGCACATCGGGAGCGCCAGAAGTAGCAGCTTGGCGGAAATTTTTGAAGTTTGGATGATGATGAGGCGTTCCACCTAGCTATATGCAACCAGTGGGCTGCCAAGCTAGGTGGGAGGCAAATGGCCAGGCTCGCGGAAGCTCGAGGATTGCACGCAGCGGAGGGCGTGGAAGCTATGAGTGCGACAGCCTGGCGCAAGCTGTCCACCAGAATATGAAAGCGCGCAATTGATAAACTGAAATAAGCGAGTTGTAACAGACGAGAATAACCGAGATACTGACGAGATCATGAAGGAAGAGCAACCTTGAAGATGTTAAGCTACGCCCCTTAATATCTCAGCCCCTTGGTATTTCATCCATAACGAATCAGCCACCACGTTTTCTCCTTGAACGTCTGGATCGAATGCACCCCAGCGGTCGTTTGAGGACGAACTTTATCTCCCAAACATTAGAACGACATCTCCCAAAGATTAGATTTAGATAAAACTCTATCTCCCAAACATTAGAAATAAGGACTTTATCTCCCAAACATTAGAAGTAAGTACATGTACATCTCCCAAACAACATGATTAGAACAAGAACTCTATTTCCCAAACATTACAACTACAACTACATCTCCGTCTCCCATAACTCCCCAACGTTAGAACTAGGAAATAAGAACCGTGAAGCTTTTTATCGACAGCAAGGAGTTCTTCTTTTCTCAAATTCTTCCTTGTTCATTCATATCCCTTCTAGTACTGCTACTAGTTTGTTCATATTAGTAGTACTAGTAGTGTACCCATTCTGTTTCTGGGGGTATTATAGAAGATTCTTCTTATCGTTATCTCATCAATAATTTTTCGATTAAGTAGTAGTTCATCATAACACGGAAAGACTTCGACGACGTTTTTCTTGACGTACTCAGCGAGAAAACCGTTTGTCTGCCTTTCGACGTCTTCCCGCCCTTCGTTCAGATAAATCGCGAAGTGATCGACCCCAGCTGCGATGTGGAAGTCGAGCCAACGTTTATTAGCGCTACCGTTGCTGTCGCATGAAGATCTTCCTTGACGAGTGTCGTATCCTTGGGGGCTTCTCTTTCATGTAGAAAAAGGGCCAAGGACAATGAAGACGTTGAGGATGATAGGATGATATAGCAAAGTAGAGCCAAGGATAATGACGTTGAGGATGATAGGATGATATAGCAAAGAGCCAAGGATAATGACGTTGAGGATGAGAGGATGATATAGCAAAGAGCCAAGGATAATGACGTTGAGGATGATAGAATGATATAGCGGAGGTCGCCTTAAGTTTAATATTCTCCCCCTCCCCCCTTGCGTGCACCATCATCGTTATCCTATAGGGGCGGCAGAGTTTCACTACATCTTCAGACGCTGTTGAAGATGACGTTTGCTGATCCTCTTTCACAATGTTCATTTCGTTTTCGCTAGTGAACGAGTCAAACGTTTGCTGATCCTTCTTTCTGTTTATTTCGTTTTCGCTAGTAGTTCTTGTCTTGCCCAGTAATTGGAGTGGGTGCAGATGTTGCTTCCGCTTTGCAGTGTCGTTGTCTTTGCCGACATTATAATTTTCATCTTTACGACGAGCAGGATGAAGCTGCAAACGGTATACTCGTTTGCCGTTCAGAGGGAGAACATCAACTCCCAATCCCCTCTGAAACAGGATTAGAGCTGCAGGTTGCATTAATTCTTCATCTTGGAGTCCTAGAGCATCTTTGGTGTGTTATTTCACCCTTACTTAAAGGGACGAAAGGCGCCAAGATGCATCTCTTCAAGCTGAACAATTACGGGATGAAGTCTTAACAGGACGGCAAGAATCGACAATAACGACGAAAAGATTGTGGCGTATTGTCTAGCTCCATCTTGTTCTTCGGCCGACGAGTCTACTTCTCCAAGCCCATCTTCAGCGTGAGTTAGGGTTTGAAAGTTGGCCCCCCTCTAGTAGGTCGCACATTTATTTTATCTGTGGCTTTCCTACTTGAAGAAGACATACAGACGCTCTTAGATGATTTAGGTCAACTCCCAAGCCTTAAGTGTGGTGCTTCCGAAGCCTCATTCGTCCCTATTTTCTCCTCTTTCTGCGAACGCGACGGAGGCAGCTGAATGCAATACTGCACGTGCGTGGTGGACGATAGAGGGACCACCGGGACCGGACGGAGGCGTGCCCTAGTAAAAGAAGCATTAGTATCATTTTTACTACTGATGTTACTCCTACTACTACTCCTAGCGTGATTCATCTGCTGGTTCTCACTGATGTCACTACTTCTTGTTGATTTTTCTAACATTACTCTAGTGCCCAAACTCATCTTCTTAGTGGTTTTCATCTCGGTCTTCTCTTCTTGTTCGTGTTGTCTGATCATGTTTTCCACGATGAGTCTTTGGGAATACGCCGCGTCACTCCATTCGCACATGGTGAAAGGCCCGTTGAACAACCGCTGCCACTCGTCCGTCTTCGCTCCTTTTGTCAACGGGTTCCGCCACTAATTAGAACTACCACGTTCGCAGCTTCCTCGAGAGAATGATGCTGAGAAAGGAATTTTTATGCTGCCGGCGGATGCCGATGCTTGAAGGGTTGTCGGGGTAGCCTTAAAGTCACCGACGCCCTGGTAGCTTCTTTTGCCAGCAACTGTGCCGTTCGCTTTCTTCCATACCTTTCCGCTGTGGTATCTCTTCACGAAGTCGCGATGCGTTTTTCGAAAATGGCTCACCGAGATGAGCGGCGGGAAAGCCCTCGGGATCTGGCACTTCGCAAATCGCGAAAGCGAAAAGCTTCTACTTAGAGGTTGACATGGAAGGACCACAACCACAAAAAGGCTCAACGTTCAAGGGCCACAACCGCAAAAAGGAACGGCACGCTTCCGGCATTTGGTAACCTGAATTCGATCACAAGGATTCTCTTCTTGTAGTTTTCCCTTCTGATCAAAATCAGGCTATACCAAAAATACCGGAACCATCCAAGGAACAGGGAACCACTACACGACACAAAATATTCAACAAAGACGGATGAGGCGCATAAGCTGAGCTCCTCGTCCTCTCCTTCTGTCCGTGCTCTCGTTCTTGTATCGGACTCAATCTGCTTCCGTGAGATGTCGTACCAGGTCTGCCAGATCTGGGTCATCTCTGGCTGATTCAGCAGCAACCACGTGAAGAATATGAAAGGAGAATTTTTTCGATTTTTTTTCTGATAAAGAACCCTCTAGAACAGAAGTACTAGAGTCTCTACTGGAGTCTCGCCTCCTCTATATCTAATATAATTCCTTAAATAAGGAGAAGTCAAGACTCTAGTAGTACTAGTAGAGGCAGTCCATCCTGGCACTTTCTCCCTTGAAGTGAGTCAGGGCCACCAGGCCTACATAAAGAAGGGTCAGTGCTTTATGTAGGATCCGTCCTTACTAAATAGAGAAGAGTCAGTATGGATCCTTATAGAAAACATAAAGAAGAGTCAGTGCCTCCAGGCCGATGTAGATGTAGAAGTGAGAAGTCAGTGCCATGAGGACTAAGGATGGATAAAGCATCTACATCCGTCATCTTCCATAAAGAAGAGAATGGAGCAAAAGACAACGAAAAGAAACATCTTCGAAAGCAACCGCGCCACTTTCGAAAGCAACTTCGAAAACAACTGCACCCATGACCACCGTCCCAGGTGTGACCACCGTGACGATATTGTGGCCATGACGTTTCCCAGATAAAGCAGCTATTCCGCTTTCCTACTTCTAGCCTGATGTTAGGATAGGATAGGAGTAGGCTCACTTATGACGGAGTGAGCGTATAGGCTGGATTTGCCATCAAATGAACCGAAACGGCCAGATGATCAACATGTTGTTGTCGGTACGTGGTGGATGTTCTTGCAGCTTGACATGTTGTTTTTGGTGGATGTATAAATAACACAAGACGCACTTCTAGTTCTACTTCAGCTTGAGGTAATTGGTAAACCCGTAAGGATTAGGATTAGGATGGAATCTGCCGTCCGCAGTTTTACCTGCATACTCCAGCAGATTTTCGCAGCCGTAGAAGGACTACAGAAATTATTTACTTATTCCTTCCAATCTATCACGCCCTCTATTCCCGGCATTTTTCGACCGATTGATGCGCTGTAGAAGAACGCAGACCGAGGCTGCCTCTACCGTTGCTACCCCGTTACCTTATCTGCATACTAGTGTTTTCCTTTCTCTCTTCTTCCGTGTCAACTAATCATCTACATCTACACACTTCCTGCTTTCTTCTTGACCTCGCTACTACTTCATTGTCCCTCGATTTCCGGCAGCGACATTAACTATTTATCCTTATGGGCAGAGGAAAGGCAATTTGTATTCTCTTTCACGTTATTTTTCAGGCTTTTAGAACAGTGCCTCTTCTTTCAACTTCTCCCACCGCTAAGAAATGTAAGAAATGGAGACACAAAAGAACGAACTTTCCATTTCTGATTTTTCGCAAGGCTTTGAAACGTGTGTAACACTGTAGTGTACATATTCACATATGCATACCACTATTTTGCTCTACCAGTCAGTTTTACCTTTGCCTGATACGCAGGGGCTCTTACTTCTCTAGAGGTTATAACACTTCTTCTTTGCCTACTTTTTGCCTTTTCTCTTATTTAGCTCTCTCTTCCTTTTTTATGTTGCCTTTCCTCTTCTTCTTGCCTTTCTTCTTCATAACACGCCTCGGATTCACCTTCCTAGGCCTCTTGGATGTGTTCGCCGCGGATGGTGGTCGGTCTGGTTTTCCCACAAGTCGCACCAGCACATTCGTTTCATACGTACTTGCGTATTTGGATAGTGCTTGACCAAGTTCCTCTCCCTCCAGATCTCCAATCCCTGGAGCTATTAGTTCTGCACGTCTCTTCAGTGCTGCGTTCTTTGCTAAGGTCTGCAATCTCCTCCGCCTTTCCTCGTCAATGCAGTCCGGGAAATCCATCCGATACTCTCGATGCCATTCCTCCCACGATAGTGTCGTCGCTTTCGTTTCCACTTGGCGCTTCCACACTCCTCGTCCACGACGAAAATCTTGTAGGCTCATGCAGAGGTCGAAGCTCGCAGCCTTCCAAGCTGCCCATCCTTTTTCTTGCTGCTGCTCCGCTGCCTCGTCCAACCAGAAACGATACTCTTTTGCCGTGAAGCCGTAAGTATTTCAGTCACAACGATAGAAAATCAGAAAAACATAGATATTGAACACACGGTATGTCAAACCCAAAAGCACAACGTGATTGTCTACATAATTCAATATGCGAATACATTCTAGATTTACTTAATCTTTGGCAGCTTCCATGATGAGAGAGGCCAATTGCTCAGTAAAGGAAGTAATCAGCTAAGCAACCAAAGCAACTAAGTAATATTATACCAAAGATTTAAGTTTTGACTGTGGGGAGAAAAGGAGATGATAAACCGTTTCTACTCACGGTATTTGGAGCTCGATTTGATAACCCTTTTTGCCACTCTTTGTTCCCATCTATTTGCATGTCATAATATATTTTGCTAAGACCTTCACGTACAAGCTCCAAAAAGATGAAGTTATAACCTTTATCTCGTTCTTTCTGTGAAAATAGTGCCGTGCCTCCTGATGCCTGCGGAGTGAATCCTCCTTGTTCTTCACCACGACAAACTACTTAGTCCTCAGTCTACCAAGTAGACCAAGTATGTGACTTGTAGAGCGTACTTTCATACTTACTTCTTGAATCTTACAGTTACAGACGGCGTGACTTTGGTCATCTTCTAAATTTCTGACCATCGTTCAATTCGTGAAGATGTTCAATCCATCTCTGGTACTTCTACATCACGTAGACGACGATATGGATTATATTGATCATAGGATCGGGAAGAACTACAAGAATAATCTTAAGCATACTGGAAAGGAAATGGACATTCTACTTCATCTAGAAGGTGACAATATAAATTTAGACTGTTTATTGACGACCTCGTAAGTGGTGTTGTACATATTAGGTTCATGTCCTTCATCTAAGCAACTGGAATCATATCTTTTTATAAATGTGAATGTGTTGAAGTTAGTTCAAAAGAGACGATATCTTTTGTGATCTACATCAAACTACTTCTTACGCGCAACGTAGTGGGTTACTCGTCTTCAACTGGCTCTTCAGAATCAGATACATCACATTCTGTTCACCTCCTGCACTCAAACAACTCATGTTCACGACGACAGGAAATTTACTTCATCTCGTCGCAATCATCTTGTTCAACAACTCTAACAACTTCTAGTGTATAAATTGGCGACAAACCAGGTTTTTTAGAAGATACTCAACAACAACTTTACTCCAACTTCTCAGACAATTAACAAAAAAAATGACTGAAGAACCGCTTTTAATTTCAGACGGCCACGACTCATCCGGGAATGAAGCGTTTCATCCTACCCTCGTCATGATCATAACAACTGATGTTCTAGGCTGCCTGTACCGCTGCTTGTATCTCGGCAACATCAAAGCACACTGCCGCAACGTCATTCAAAAACGTTTCGCCAGCGTCTTTGTCGGTCAAGCCAAACTTCTCACAAGCCGCGGAACCGCAGGCCTCAGTCCACGTGGTTTAGAAATCAAAAAAAAATTTCAAGAAAAAAGTCATCCGAACAGATCCTCTCCAAGAAATAAACGAAGTTGGAAAACTCTCAACATCTGGAATCACCAATACATCAGGATAACTTTTATTTTGCAATTCCATCAACAAGAAGACTAGTTGTACAAGAGTACAAGTACAACGACCGAAAGTTTGCAACCTAGTCAGCACCTCATAACTTTCACTCCCAGCGGCCAAGACTTCGCTGAGCCAGAGAGCCCGTTCACCACCCTGACGGATGGGCGGCCGCACAGCCTGTAGCAAGGGATGCATCGCAACGTCGGAATTTACTTGCATGCGTTCGAAGTTAGAGTGAGTGAGTCCGTGAGTGAGTGAGTCCGTGAGTGAGTGAGTCCGTGAGTGAGTGAGTGAATGAATGAACGTACCCACTCCAGGGGCATAAAAGATGACTCCTCAACTACTTCCGTCTACAACGATGAGCAGATAGAATAGCAGTAAGCAGATGGTGATACCGTTCTTCACAATAACAGTAAGCAGATGCTCTTCACAATGTGATGGTGGTACCGTTCTCTTTTATCTACGTTGTACTGTGGAGGAGCAGAAATGGAAATCATGCGAAGAATAAAAACGATCGCCTTGATGTGCTGGCGATCAGAATTATTGTGCGCCTACTTGATGATTACTGAATCTATTCTACAGAAGTCAAGGTGCCTCGCAAGATTTCAACTACTATCGTGCTCGTGGTGAGCCTTAACTACAAGAAACCCGATTGCCTTCTCGTCTACGCCACTCGTCGCCAAAATCTTGCAGGCCAATGCCTTTGGTAAGAAGCCGTCCTTGTCACACGCGTCCTTCATTGCTTGACGCAATTTCGCTAGGCACAGAGGTCCTGAAGAAGACGTGGGATCATGTTGTCAAAACTCTACTAGTCAACAACATCTTGATGGAAATAATAGGATCCACATCAAATAAGAAACCAAAATTGGAGTTCATCTTCAGCATGATCATCATGAGAAGTACAAGAACAAGTATAAGTAACAGTTGTAAGTTGAGAAGTACAACAAGTTGTATATGTACAACAAGTATTTAAGCACAACAAGTATAAGCACCTTCTTTCTCCCTCAATCCTGTAACGAGGGCAATTTTGAGATGTGCTAGGTTTGTCACTGCATCCAACTCACCCTCCGATGGGACCGACTCGCCTGCCTTCTGCGTCTCTAATCTGCGTGCCTCGCTCTGCGGGGATTAGAATCTCGATAGGTGGTAATTAAAGAGACCACTTGTTAAAAATATCCAAGCTAGTCCCAGTCGCTTGTTATTGTACTTGGTAATATCTGCAAGTTGTCCATAGAAGCTATGTCAGGGTTTATTAGAGGTTGGAGGTTTCCATCATCTAGTATCAAATACAAATTTATCATGATCCTTCTTCTAGTTCTCCTAGCCATAATGGAACATCTCATTATCCGCTTCGGTTTTGTGGGGATGCTCCGTGTAGGATAGGTTCGTGGGTGCTGAAAACTTGGCGTTTTTTCCAAAAAGGTGATGTCCTGTTGCTGCCGAAACATTCACGCTAGAACGGACGAAAGCTGTGGAGGTGTTGAGCAGAGATGCGGTTGCGGATGCAGATGGATATTTATATATTGGATATCGACCACACAGATGAAGAAAGCTGGTGGGTAGCTTGTGAGAACTTGAACTTGAAGAAGATCTTGATCACGATAGAAGGCACAACGACAACTACAACCGCTGATCCACCTAATATTGTGCATAGCTATATTTTCTACTTAATTCGATTCTTCGATAACTCAAGGTTTTTTAGTACAACTGTCGCTTTTCAGTTGTTCGGTGTAGAAGGTGATTGGAACGTCCTTGGAATAGCTAGTTTGCGTTCGCACATCAGTTCGCGTCCGCAGTGGGCCTGCTGGTGGCTTCGTTGCTTCCGTACGCTGAGGATATGAAGGAGGAGAAGATGGGAAACGGGGAGGGTCGTGTCTCATAGTCATATAACCAAAAAGAAAATACTCACCCTCAGCTACTTCAAAATCTACTATATCATCTTTGCAGTATATAATGTGCCAGTATCTTTAAAGGTCCCACGTAGCTAGATGTAGTGCGTGGTTGTCGTGGTCCTGCTAGTCCGTGAGTACTTGAGTAAATCGATCTTCATGACTTCCACCATGAGACCTTTGAATCTTGCAAGTATTCTTCGCTTGCTATACTCAGAGTGAGTGACTCTCCAACAAGTGGGCTTCAAAACTGCAGTTTCGTCATAAGTTCAACTCTTGGTTTGTGGTCACCGGAAACGGGAATACACATCTGGCCTCCTCGATCTGTTCGACTGCTGCGACATACTTATCCGCATGATCCGCTGCGGCGGCTGTGTTGTGTGTAGTTGTAGTTGCAGTTGTTTGTAGTGAGACAAGTTGTAGTCAGAATCTTCATGCAGCTGCAGCTTCTAGTATCTTACTGCTCTACCACAGTGTAACGTTTGTATTTGTTGTTGACCACAGGACGGTATTCATACGAATGCCGACGTAGTGAAACAAGAAGTTGTAGTCAGAATCTTAATGCAGCTTCTAGTAAAATAACTTAGTAGTAGTTCGTTCTGAATCGTCTCTGATACTAGTAGGACCTTCATGAATCATTTGCCTCGGTCCCTTTGATCGAAAGTTCTGTCCTGCCTTCAAGTCACGATTGCCTTCCCGCTGTGGTTCGTAAGAAGATGACGACGAGGAAGTAGATGAATATCAAACAAGATGATGTTATTCATTCACACTCCGCTGAGTAAAGAGGAAGATCGATGGAGAATCCATATCCAGCACAGTGATGTTGATCGTCTGACATCATATTCGAAATGGATGCTGCGATTGTACTGCCAAAGCCACGAAAGATTTGAAAGTCATATAACCTCGTTAAGGATCAAAAAGTTGTACAAAGAAGCGTCCGCTTTCGACACTGGCTGGGAATTCAATATCGAAGGTCCTGTGTCCGTAGCACCTATCGAAAGTATTGTCCTTGACTGCATATCCATCGGTTGGAAGCTGGAGAAGTTGGTCAGAAAAAAACGAAACATGCCTGTACTGTATGGCTCTGGTATTTGGTAACCTGAATTCGATCATAAGGGTTCTCTTCTTGTTTTCCCTTATGATCAAATTCAGGTTACCAAATTAATACCGGAACCATTCGCTGTACCTATCTTCTATATCCATCATTTCATTCATTCATTCAGTCGCGCTACCCTCCTACTACAAGTTGGAAGGCAACCGATTTTCCTGCTATGGGATGCGTGACTCGCCAGTTTTGCCAACGTTACTCCATCGTTATATAGAGTAACAAAAATGAAGATGATGCTGACCATGATCCTCCTCCTGAATATTCATATTTTTAATACCATACTGATAAGTAGATAATAAATTCAACTGTCGAAAACAATTCTCCTCAGATGTCGACGTCGTTGTTCGTCTTACCTTCTCTCCTACGCCCTCCATCGGGGTGTTCTGTACTTTTAGCATCGCCTTCCAGTGCGGGTCGTTGAAGTAATGGTTACATTAGAGAAAAGGACCGCCGTTGAAGTAAGTAATGACGAAATGAGGATCGTTGAAGTGGTACAGTAGGTGGACTAGTATTTCTACTTGAGCAACGCCTCCAGTTGTACTACCCGCATTCTTTGTTTTTTTATAGATTTATCACTACAGCACGACGAGCAGTAGTTCTTGTTCTCAGGTTTTTTTGAAAATGACGGAGAAGATGTTCAAATCGATCATAATCGTATGTTGTCTGGTTGATCACGGTTACGCTCTCGTACTGGTCCGCAAATGCCTCCATTCCTCCATGTAAGTTCAGGAATTCGTCGAGACTGTGCACGGCAGTTTTCTGTCCGGTACGATAAGCATCTTTCATGCTAGTACTATTAGGATTCGCCTCATCCTTCACCAAAGCGGGGTTGTACATGCGAGACGGCATCTTCTTGCCTCGTGTCTGCCTCTCCTTGTTCAAGAACAAGAAGAAGAAGTCTACTTCGTGGTTCTACTCGAAGTACAGTAGAAGACTTCTTTTAAGATGTCTTCGTCTTCGTGGTTCTACTAGAAGTACAGTAGAAGACCACTTCTTTTAATACTACAGATGTAGTTCTTCTTGAGGTGTGAGGTAGTGGTAGATCTGGAGGTAGTAGTTGGTCTACCTCTAGCACAGACCTGTCGCAGTAGTAGAAGAAGTTGTTCTTGGAACTACGTCGATATTTTTCAGGGTCGCGTAATCATGGAGTGAAATATTGATAGGAGGACTAGATTGTAGGTCGGTTAGATAATCTAATATCCACCCCTGCACGACTCGAATATTTAATCGAGGTATCAATCCTGTGGATCTTCTCCTTGGTGTCGTGGAGATGATGTGTTGTTGTGTGCTGCTGCTGTCGTTGGAGGTGTGATGTATGCTTTCGTAGAAGCTGCTGCGCTTGTGTTTGTAGTTGTAGCTGTTGTTCACGAGATGAAGTCGTCGATATTTGATAATGCTCCTGAAGAAGTAGAAGTACTATGTTGATGTAGTATGTAGAAGTAGATGTGTTGCTTGAGCTTGATAATATGCTTATGTGGTAATAAATAGTAACGTTCTTAAGCACTTCTTTCCAATTTTAGTACGTGCAGATCTTTGTTACTCAGAGAGATAGATTTTCGTCAGTCTATGTATGCAAGTTTACGTATGTGGAGGTCGTGCTCCTCTATGCATATGTGTGTGAAGCATATAATTCTGTGCAAGACGTCGGCAAGCAGGTATGCTTAGCACGATTCAAAAAGTTTCTATTGTGTGGGTTGGGTAATTGTTGCATTTTATTGACCACGACTACATCAGAAGATGAAGATGTTGCAATTAGAGGAGGATTTGAGAGTGGTGTTGACATTGAGGTGGATTTGACGAGAGTCAGATAATTTTTCAGCAAGTAGAGGTACATTTAAATTCTACGTGCGGCACGAGGGAGCTAGGCGAGGCGCCTGCGGCGGCGGGCAAGCAAGACTCAGGTAGGGACAAGTCGAAGGATCCCGAACGTCTCCTCGACACTCCCAGACGCAGGTCTGGAGGTTGCCGTACGTTCGCGCGCCAACTCGCGGACACGACCTCGCCATCACCGCGAGCTTGCAGTGGCTCACGCATGTGGACGGGGCGTGTCGACGCGGGTCGTGCGCGAGGGGTGCTAACAACGCCTGGGTGTGGGGGGGGCGGGGAAACTTTTTGCTTCCCGAGTGCCTCGCCATCGCTGGCGGGCGCTCGGCTAAACGCACTGAGCAGGTGGAACCTTTTTTACCCGGCGTTGCCCCCCGGGGAGCGCGCACTTCGCGCACTCGTATTTAAACCTCAATAAAACAAGCTTTAAATTCCACATAAAAATCTTCATGACAGGATCACTAGTTTTTCAAGCCAAGTACAACCGAAGTAGAAGCTCATGACAGGATCACTCGTTTTCACTTAAGGCTGCCTGGTTCCGTAGCGACCCGAGTAGAGACGCGGCAGCTCAATGCGACAGACTCCTGCTTCGGACGTGAGTAACGCCTATGGCAGATTAAATAGGACCGATCACTCTTTCTTGTTCCTTCCTAGCAGAAAAAGTACAATCTTCGTGACAGAGAACGAGATAACCGAGAATCGAAGCGCTTTTGGACCGATGATGCATCTCCAGGAAAGGTGGAACTGCAGCTGCACCACTGACTTCTTTATTCGACGATATTACCATTAATTATACAAGCAACCAGTAGTCCTAACTTGAGTGAGTGAATGAATGTGCCTAGCGCGAGGTGGTGCAGTCTCCTGTGTTTTACTACGATAATTGCTGTCTAATTCATTGCACTGAGTGTTGTAGTGCCACTACAGGAGGAGGATCCAAGAGAAAAACAACCAAGGTAGTACCTTCGTAAAATCTTTGAGCAAGCCCGACCGGCGTATATGCCTTTGTGGTATGTATCGGCCTTGTTCTGTTAGAGTCGGCCTTTATTCATCTTCTCGGTCCCCCGTCTCGGTACCTTGTGTATTCTTCCATCAGAACAAAAGGGCACCGAAGAGAGGCTGAGAAAGATGGAAAAAAGCCGACCATAAACCCGTTTGCTGTCTCATGATCATCTCCTCATACCAGTTGGCCATTAGGGTACCCCATCTTTCTGGGTGCGTCAACCCTGCGTTGTACGCGTCGTCTGAGGCTAACATCTTGTTGGTGGCTCGTAGTTTGTGCTTGTCCTACTACTTTTTCTAGATGAAGATGTAAGTCGTCGTGCGTCTATGATGTGTACGTGTACTTGCTCGTAGAAGTCGTGCAGCAAAGTATCTACTTAGTATAAAAATCTTGTTCTTCTTGTAGTAGTCGATTTTTTTTTTGTTTTACCACTAGAAGTTGTAGTTTTAGGAAGACGCTTTCGTTGGACGCTTTCTGCAGGAACACAGCAGCCACTGGTTGTTCCTCAACTCTGTTGCAGTGCTGCTTTGAGACGGCTAGGATCTCTTCTCAGCCAGTGCTGCTGCTCATCTAAAAACAGGTTGCTGCGGAACAGTTCGCAAGATCTATCGCATTGGCGGATGTACTGATACTTCTGCTCCGTCGTGTCTTCCTCACGTGCAGCTGCTCGCTCGGTCGTTTAAGTACGTGGGTGTTTTTTTTGAGCGGCTCGGTCCTTTGAAAGGACAGAAATAACTCCAAAACGAATAAAAATCACTTTGCTGCACATCAAATGAATGGGGATGCAGATGCAGCAATCTACCACACAAATCGAGGACAAAGTTCCGGTCTATAGTTGCCGACTAAGATTGCATCACAGCGTGGACCAGTTGTAGTGTACCTATTTTTCATTTCTGGTGAAACTACAGTCCGAGTCCTCCCTATCAGGTGAAATTGTTCGCATTGGGAGATGGTTGCTTCAACATTTCAAATTCAACTTATGTAGTCTGCTTTTCATTGATTGGAGAGCTTTCGGCTGCTCTCATCGTATTGCTGGGATATTTGAGGGGTGTGGGAAGGTTCGCACATCTTCATTGCATATTATGGCTGTGAATGAATGAATGAATAACATCAAAAAGAGAAGAAGAAGTCATCTCAGACTCTCACCTTTTGTCCTGAAGACTCTCAACTACAACAACTTGCTCTCATCCTCTACCTTTTGAATAGAAAATCCGCTCTCAAGATGATCATGATATACCGAGTCACTGTCAAACGACGTTTCGTGTGCAACCTCAATGCCAAAAGTAGAAGATTCATTGCTTAATACAACACCAAGCAGATGGAGAGCTACTTCTTGAACCTGCTGTAAGAAGGACACTCCTACATATGTACCAGGGCAAGAAGGACATCCCCCCCTCCCCCCCTGCTCTCAACGTCAAAAATAATCTGCTTTACCGATATTGATATAGACAAATAAGAGACAGATCTATTTGCGCGCTGCGACAAGCTTAGTACTTCTATCCTCACTGTTCTGAACAAGAGAGCGCGCTTTTGCTCCGAGTCGTGAATGATAACAGGAACGATTCTTCAGTGTTCATAAAACCATCCCTAACTTTTATCAACTTTTCCTACATGTTTTCGGTGGGGATGTGGATGCTGGAAAGGTGACAAAAGCGAAAGGTTTTTGGAGTCAGAGTGAAAAAGCGGCTCCGACTCAAGGGACGCGAGGAATTTTTTCCGCTATATGTGAGGACGCCGCGCGATTGGTTGGCCTTCTATGGATGACTGATTGCTTGACTGATTGATTGATGTGCCTGGCAAGAGGTCATTGATGTATTGGAAGATTTACTATTTTTATCCTAGGTGCTTAGTACTAAGTAACCCAAGGAAAACCCAAGAGGACAACAACAGCAATCTAAAATCCTAATCAACATCATCTGAAAACAACGACCATCATCGTCCTTGCACCATCATGCTTGGATCAGCGTCATCTTCTTGGCCCTTCCAACGCCGATCTTAATTTTTGCAGACTTCCTTCTTCAAGCAAGACACCACGGACCCCCGACCAGCGGAACGCAACACTAAAAGCGACTTTAGGTCACGAATGCAACTCGTGAAGTAATAGAGCACTTTTTCTTACCTGTTCGACAGGTTTTCAGAACAGCCCGACGTCGACTGGAAGCTGTGCAAGAGTACGTCCACCTCCACGGTCGTGGGAGCTGGAGCTCTAATTAGACCTTACAAATATTCATCTTGAAAGATGGCATCTTTGACGCTTTTCCCCCTTAGTAAGTAAAGGGCAAGGCAGGCATCAAAGATGCTTCTTAGGATGAATTACGGTCGTACGCTTCTTAGGATCTAATTATAGTTGCAGAACCTTCTCCTGGACATGCTCGAACCAGGTTCTTTCGTCTTTAACATTGCTCTTCATCCGATCACGGTCGCCTCACGACCCTCATGGCCCTGTGGTTGTCGAAGATGTTCCTCATGAAGAGCATCCGCCTCCTCTTCTACGACCTTTCTAGAAGGTTCCACCGCTTTGGTCCAGTCTTCTGGCGCGTCTCCATACCGCACGAGCTCCAAAGTCACAATTGCATGAAAGTCGCCCGCCTCTTCCACCTTCGTCCCTTCTGCTTCTTTGCTTGCGGCCGCTTTGGCCACTTCTCCTTTTCCAAAGTAGTCCCAAACTTTAGTGCGACCCAGCTCTACCTTCTTGATTTTGAACAAGCTCCCAGGCGACGTTAGGACTTGGTGCTCATAGCCAGCGGATATTAGAAGTAGTAGTAGTTTACCCATTCGCGGGGTAATTAAAACTGTGAGATGCAACTGCAAGATTGATGCAGCTCCTGCATCAGTCTAAATATAGTTATAAGGCACAACAAGAGATTAAGATTATTTTCCTGGCAAACTCCTACTAACTTGTCGTTAGGTTGTGGACATTAGGCACACCGCAATTAAGGCATTCTAGGTTATGAATGGCTCTGGTATTTGGTAACCTGATTTCAATCATAAGGAAAACACGAAGGATATCCTTGTGATCAAATTCAGGTTACCAAATACCAGAACCGTACAGGTTAGGTTGCTGCACCACCAGTAATTAATTAATTCATTCATTTAGACCTGCTCGCGAGGTATTGTTTGGAGTGTGGGGGACACCTTGTCATGGGTAGTGCAGGGGTAAGGCACAAGAGATTATTATCCCTTGGCAAAGGCAAACTACTAAGCTGTCGCTGTGCAATACATGAGTGGATTTAATTAACGAGGACGAGAATGAAGGCACGAGCGAATGAGGCAAGATGTGTGCAAGGTGAGTATTTTCCTGTTCTGGTCTTGCGTTGGGCCTTTTTCGACAGCATAAGTAAGAAAGCACTTATAAAGTGAGCAGACCATGAGCAGGATGGATCATCACCATTTCTTGTTGATTAATTCAATTTATTAAGTACTTAACCATAACCAAAGCCAGCCTGTCTTCAACCAATGCAAAAAGCCGCCTCCCTTTTTAGCTACGCGTTGTTGTTCCCGTTCCGTGAGGCCTTCCGGAATTTCGATGTTGTACATCAGCGGTAGATCGGTATCTCGTTTTGGAGGGTCGTACGCATCGGCCCAGTTGAACGGGGCCGCACTGCAAAACTCCTTCGGTATAATGTTATCGAGCATATCGGGCGCTTTCCAAGATGCTGCACTCGGAGGTCTGTTCAACATGTAACAGATGGCAACTCCTGCGAGAGAAGTCGTATGTCTCGGTCTTTCCCAAACCAAGTACGAGGACACTGGGTAGTGTGCTCGCAGATACGCTTCAACATTCGCAACGTCCATGGCAGGGGCCGTGATACCTTTTGGGCCTGGAAGATTGCGGATCAGAATACCTCGGTAAACCCAGGTGCCCTCCTGCACGAGGTGAGAGTTGTAATCGCCTTTCAATGTTCTCCAAGGCAAAAGATTGTTGGGCCCACCTAAGTTGAGAAACGCTTCCTTGTAGATGCTCGAAAGCCCTTCTGGCCACATCCGCGGATACCCTCGCCAAGCGAAAGGACTCTGCTGATCGTTGTCGAATTCGTTTCTTTTCGGAGGAGCGATCATCGCAACTGATGAACTACCATCGTACCTGTGATTCCTTGAATCCATAACGCGAAGCATCTCCCGCTGAATGTTGCGCACCTGTAGCACTTTGATATTGCAGTCAACGAATGCTCCCCTTTCGCACGCAGCTCCCGCTGGAGGTGCCGACGGGTAGAAGAGCGTTGCGGACTCTGCGTCACCGAGAGCAACATCGACATGGAGCTGCACGACACACTTTTGAAATTGTGGACTTCCAATTTCTTGAGCAGCTAATGTTCTTGCCGAAGAAGAAGAACTACCCTCGTCTCCAGCGGAGGAAGTACCTCCTCCGTTGCTTTTTGAACTCCTGGTTGTTCTGTCTGGTCGCAGGTTCATACACATTTCCTGCTCGGATGCATGGGAACTCATAGCGTCATACGACATGCCGTCAATTTCCGAAAGAAACTTCTTCACGTCGCTCTGATTCACCTCAGGCACAAATCGGCCACATTGTCTTTCGTCTGCCAGACAAAGCAACGCAGGATTGCGCAGATCGGCTCCATTTCTAGCGATTTCCTCACAAGGAAGATTAAACTCGCGCCTCAGACAGTAATTAGAGGAGGCACTATAATGATGTATACTAGGGTGGAACAATGCAATGCCATCAAATACAATACAATTAATCTCGCTTTTTTTTTTGTAGTGCGAGCGAGTCGCACAAAGTTCAGTGCAAGAGAGAGAGAGAGAGATCATCTTGTCAGAGATCATCTTCTGGATTATACCTAAGTCTTCCTATTTTCTTCCTCCAGATGGTGATCTCTTTGGAGATGCATTTCCTAGTACACTCGTAAAGTAAATAGAACTTCCTTCTTGCGCTTCCTGTTTAACGAAAGTTGCCTCGTCACTGTTTCCGGAAAGGTCTCCAGGATAAAAGCGACAGGTACCAACGGGGCAGCCTTGATCAATGCCAGTGTGTTGCACATCGGTAGCGGGATCCAAGGGTTCGATCGCCCGACGATGCTGCAAAAAAGGATTTCCAAATTCCCATGCAATAGGGGTCAAGACCTGTATCGCTGAAACTCCTAGAAGAACTTTGCAGAGGTTCTTCTTCCAACGAGAGCAGCAGGTAGCACGGCGTTCGGCTTCTTGAGCTGGTGAGGCAGTTGGAGTTTGAGCTGCGCCTTCATCACCTGCGCCTCCAGCAGGGTTTGCGCCTTCAGGCTCAGGCGCAGCCTCAGGTGGGTGTGGACCTCCCCCCGTTTCCAAATCATCTTCCAAAGGAGCACCTGCTGCTGGCGCTCCTCCTCCATCATCTCGCGCCTCTAAAAAGCCCACCGGGTTCGGGGGGTTGCCCGCTTTCTTGAGCTTGACGGCGATGGTAGAAGTAGGCACACAGCCCAATCCGAGGACGGCCACAAAGAGCAGCGCCCCTGTGCTACGAGATTGAGATCCTCCAGATAGTCCGAACATCGTAGTTGTTGTTAGCTCTTCTAGTATAATAAGCTTTGAAGCGGAGAGAACAGCTGTGCTTGAAATGAGTTGAAGCGGAGAGAACAGTGCTTGAAAAAATTATAGTTGTTTTATAATATTGCGCAACACGACATCAAGCGAATCAATTCGACTAGTATAGCGATGATAGTGATGCACCCCAATGGTACTCGAGAAGCCTGCGGTTGATCGAGTAAATGAATCACTTGGCTGTTGTTGTTGTTGTTGTAGTGAGCGTCTTGACTCAATTGATGAGCTTAGTGATGATGTTGCTGATGTTGAAGACGTTTACTCTACTGTGCTGCTGGTCGTTCCGGTGACCAACCAAAAACTTGATCCGTCGAAGATCCTCAATTTTGAATTCTTTACTGATCGCTAATTTTAGATCCGTGCGTACAGTTCAGTATTTCAAACGCCCTCTGCCGCCTACTTACTTTAACCAACTGACAACTTTCTAACTACCCCGAGGATACTGGAAAAAGTTGACTGGTCTGATCGAAAATGTTTCGGATGGATCGACAGCTTGCTGCAGTTACTGTGCTAAAAAATGACCTATTTTCGACGCAAACTCAAGGATACTACTTGCTGCTTGCTCGGCGGGGACACAAATCAACTAAGAACAACTACTATCTTGAGCTTCAAAAAGTTGAAGTATCTCGGGGGAAGTAGAACACTAGTGCGGCTTTATAACTGTCAGTGGTGTAATACTTCTGAGTCTAAGAAAGGGCAAATAGCAGACGAACTTTATCAAACAATTAACGAGGACGTTAAAACAGCCAGTAAATGCACCAAGATATTATTGGGTTAGACTGCAAACAGATCGAATGCGCTAAATAAAACAAGTAGGCAAAACTAACAAGAAAGCAAAACGATTTAGCCCTTGGTTGACTATCTTGAGCGAAAAATATCTTGAACGATCTCGGGGGAAGTAGAACACTAGTGCGGCTTTTAAGATTCTAGAGGGTCTTACTCTTACGCGCGTATTGATCTGATCGTTCGATTTTATGGATCTAGCATGCAGTGTTTCTTAAAAGTGAACGATGTGCGCTGTTTCATGCAGAATGCAAATGTTTTAAATTCTATCAGGGTCGAGTTGTTTTCAAACGTGCTACGCCTGCAACGAGTCTCCGGATCTAGTATAGCATAGGTCTTGACTGTAACAAAGTCCCACTTTGAGTCTAACAAGCACTATAATATTACCAATCCAAACTTTATGTTCCCTAAAAATCAATAAGCACCTTATTCTAAAAATTCAAAAAAAATCGGGGCAGTTAATCGTGCACGAAAATTTTCTATAAATTCTAGCTACTTAAGCAGAGGGATCACCTCTGTGGTCCCAAGCTCCTGCGGCGTACTCGCACACTTAGCAAATTCGGCAAGGCTTAATATTCTAGCGGGGATGTTATTCCTTGCAATTATATCATTGTCCGGAAAGCGTTGGGGATAGTCAACGCCGGCCATGTCTTTAGGCTATGCCTATACCTTTCAGCATCCTATTCAGTAGCTTAGTGCCTTGGTGGCTCTCTCCACCTTCTTATTCTGTTGCGCTCGTCTCTCTCTCTCTCTCTGTCTGGCTTGAACAGAACCACGAATTTACCTCGTTACAGAATAGCATGGTGTCATACTGACCACAAAAACAAACAAAGATGGAAAAACGCTCAATCTCACTGTCAAAACTGTGAATGTTTGTGGTACTCGCCATTGTATGCGATGATCTGAGTTTTTGGCTCCTTCTCTCATTCTTGAGTCTAAAAGATTCAACATCTTCTTGCTCCTCTAACTTACTAGGACCACTTGTACCACCTCCACCAACTCGGGAGAACCAGCGGACAACTACTATGTTAATAAGTAAAAGCATATAATCTCGTCTGTGTCATGGTCATCTAAGTTCAACTGTACTATGTTCGTTGACTAGGATCACGGCAGATGACAACTATCGAGTTGCAAGCTTTTCGAGTTTGTTCGGCGCACCAGCTTGGGTGGGCGCAGAGAAAGCACAAAGATAAGAGCCAAGCAATAGCTTGACCTCAGGCAGAGAACCCTATAATAGTAAGAACAAAGAGATCTCTGTGAAGTGAAGGGATCTTAGTAACAAGGAGATTTTATTGTCCTTGTTGTATGAAAACTTCCTACACCAATCTTGCATAAGCAGCATCGGATCTGCTGCCTCTTGCTTTCATCGGTTTTTTCGTACCGTTTTTGATTTTGATTGATGCGTAGCGTGGAAATAAAATATAGTTGTCTTGTTTTCTGTTCTTCTCATGATTATGACGAACCACAGACAACGGGAGAGGAATCATTATCCGGAGGAAGAGAAATCGCCTTTTCCTCCTTCAACAACGTCTGGCAATGCATATGCGCAGTCGGTCTTACGCAATCGGTCTCATACTTACTCCAGCCTCGTCCACTACGCCCTACGTACTTAACATAGACTAAATCGCGTAGTGGTCTCATGCAGTGACCGCTGTAACTTTAGCATGCCACGTGTCTTCTTCACTTGGTTAATATGCTGAAGTGTTGCGCTACAATACAATACAATACAATACAATTTATCTCGCTTTTTTTTTTGTATCGTGAGCGAGTTCCGATAAATCAAGTTCAGTGCAGACTGCCACAAGGGCGTCATAGATTGTTTAAAAAGAAATCGTTTTATTCTCATGGGCCAGCACCCGCTAAAACCGCTCTGCGCCACATTTCAGGAGGGACGGCATGAAATCGAGTCCCGCACTCTGTGCACCTTGCGGTAAAGTCGCAGCATACCGAAAGACAAGATGCACAGACGTAGCCACTCTCGACTAACCGTTGATGACACGCACAGACAGTGGCTAAAGATGTCGTCGAGAAGGCTAACCCTAAGGGGGGGTTTTTCGACTTGTCATCTTCTGTATCTTCTGGAGACGGACCACAGGCTCTTTTCAACATTTTCAATGGCGGACCGCTACCATCAGTAGAAGGAACAGCAGCACAAGTAGCCGATGACGGAGGAAAGACGGCTGCATTGGTGTGCAAGTATTCGCTCAAAAGCAAATCGTATATCTCGTGTGTACCCCCACCTGTTTTTCTCACGGCTTGACCTAGAAGAATAGAAGGTTCGAAAGCGCCAGGACGAGCATGTTGGTCACCTTCTTGTTGTTCAACAGGACTTGTACTACTAGTACAACTATTTGTACTTCTAGATGAACTAGTATCATGCTGCAACAATGTGGGTAGTCTTATGGAGTCGATGCGGACGCGATGGCGCTTTGCCGCTAGCACCGCGCGAAAGAGAGCGTCGTAGCGTTCTGCGTATGCAATTGCACTGGAACTCGCATCAAAAATCACGATTCGACTATTTCCTCTGCCAACGCCATCATGATGAAAATCCTCGTCATCCTGAAGTAAAGCCGCTGCACTTGCAACCGCGAGAGCTTCTCTGGACTTAAAAATTGTTGCTTCCCCTGGACCATCATTTGTTCGCTGACCGTAGGCGTAGGAACTTGAGTCTTGTTGAAAAGATAAAGATGATGATACTGCTGCACTAGCAGGACGACTAGCACCTGCACCGTTATCAACTACAGGTACTATTAGAGGTGTCGGGAATCCATCCCAGAGATCATCTGGGTCCCTTTTTCCCCTTGTGTTTTTCTCCATCTCAGATGACTCATTTGGAGATGATGAATTCCCTAGTACACGACCCATAATACTATCGATCCGTCCGCCATAGCACGAAACCTCGCAATTTGACAAAGTGCCTTGCCCAACACGGCAGGAAGTGCTCGCTCTGTATGTCGTACAAACATATCAAGCTGCTTGTCGGAAGCTGCCTCAACTTCTACAACATCAGAACTCTTGTTCATCTTTGCTACAGCAGCACTCTCTTTTTCCTTGTGTAACATTGAGAGCATTTTAACCGCATCGCTCTTCATCTGCTGTAACCCAGCCCGCAAATTCCACGTAACTCGTGGCCAGTGTGCTTCGACTTCTGTGATGGGAACAGGTGGTAGTAGCATGTAATCTCCTGGTAGAAGAGTCATGGGGAGCTGTTGTTGAGGGATATTTCCAGAAGAGGAGGAGTTGTGCTGAAGGGAGGTGGAGGAAGAGGGCTGAGGAGTGTTAGCGCTGTCCGTAATTCATCTTTCAAGTGCAGCATCCTTGATGAAAAGTACTCTACTCATTTCAAGGATGTAGTGTCCAAAGATGTGTTACTCTACTTATGGGGGAGTCCTTTTCCCTTACAGGAAAGGGACATACTCCTCGTCCATACATTTCAAGGATGTAGTGGCCACAGTAGATGTATTAGGTACAGCCTTAAGAGTGTACAGGAACTCCTCTGCAAATGGTGGAAGTGCGAGTTGTTGCGCTGTTCTTGCGGTGGACAGGAGTGACACGTAGTGTCTCGAAGTGTGCAATTTTTGGATAAATTTCAGCAATTCCTGCAGAAAAGTTGCTGCGTCGCCTCCCTCAGCGTACCAAAAGAGAGGGTTCAGATCCACCACAATAACAGTGATGCCTGCCGCACGGTCCGGTCGCGCAACCACACTTGGAAGCGGCTGGGAATTTAGCCAACCGGCTGCAGAGGTAGAGGACGTAGAAGTTGTAGAAGATGCAGGTGTAGTTGAACTAGACGAGCGTGTCTTCTCCTCTTGCTCACGTCCTTGATCGTCATCTATTGCATCTTCCCATCGCTGGCAACAGCACGGACAGAAGTTTAGAAACAACTGGCTCTGCACACTACAAGTATCGCAAAATGCTGCATCACAGCAAGGACAGCACACGACAGCACGTGATTGCTGGCAAGCCCAACATGCTGGAGCAGGTGCTGGACTTCTCGTTGTGACTACGTTGTTCCCACTGCTCACGTCTGGTGGTGCTGCTCGTGGTCCGGCTGCGGCTGGCGCTTGATGATGTACTTGTACATTTCCGTTCATGATTCCGCTTGAATTCGTCAAGCTCTGCTGTAGCAGCTGCCCTTCTCTTTGTTTATGCGCATTTCTCGTGGTTCTAATTGGCACATATGGTATCATTTCGCATCCTGTTCGACTTTCGACTAAAGCAGTCCCATCAATGAGGTAGATCCCGCAAGTGGAGCACTTCGAGGGCAGGCGGGAAGTGGTGTCAAAGCATTCTGGACATTCATATAGAAGAAGCTGGCTGTGCATGGAGGAAAAAAGTGTACTCATCCGCAAGAAACTACCTACGTTTTACATCGGAAAGTGCCTCTTTTCTTGAGTATGAGTACGCTTTTTCCTGTCATACTGTGGTGGTTATTTTCTCCTCCTCCTGCTCCTCCTTTTCGCTGCACCATACGTGGAAACGCCATTCGTACTTGATATGCGAATGGACGGGTTGTCGCAGACTTCTGTTTCATAGGATCGTCCCCCTCCTGGGCTTCTTCGAACTGTCCCGGAGGTTGTAGGTGTGCTAGAAGCATATCTCGGAAATCATCGCCACTCTTCGCGATCCTGTAGGAATGCGCAAGATTCTTCAGGATCCTCAGCTCAGGTACGACCGATACGATGTGTAGACGCACACGACTCAGAAACGAGGACGAGAAGTTGTTCATAGAATTGCTGGATGAATTTGTTGCGTTGGTTAATAAGGTGCTTGATGTGCTAGATGAAGTAGTCCCCTGGTTTATGTCATCCGATGATGTAGTAGTCCCTGTCGCTCCTGTAGTTGCAGCACCTCCTAATAGAGCCTCGATATCGGCAGTACCGGAAGTAGTGAGCAGCATTCTGCAAAGGTCGTCGATCTTTCGATGATCCTTGTCGTGGGTCGTCAATGAACCGGAAAGTAGGAGAAGCTCTTTCTGCCCGTATGCGGGGCACCCGCTCAACTCCGCACACCCGGCTTCGACAACGCGCTGCAAACTGAAATATCCGCCTCCACGTTTTGGGTCGAGTAGAAGCCGCTCGAGGGCGCGCCGCTTCGACAATGCTGGAGCCTCGCCTGGTCCTGATGAAGAAGTTCCTCCGTCCACATAACCCGGACCAGATATGGGCATCACGACTTCTGCAGTTCCGTTGTAGCAAAGCATCACGCCCAACATCGCGATGGGGTTCTTGCGATGAAAAAACGTTACGAAATCTAGCAAGTTTTGGATCAAACCATCGCGATTTCCGCCTGCCCAAACCGTATTCGCCGCAGAAGCTACACTCGTCGCAGCAAATGCGGAACCAGCTGAAGCTGCAGAACCGCCTCCAGCTTGCTTCGATAAATCCAGTGCCACCATTACATATCGCAGTAATCCAGCACGGCGTGAGGCGGAACCACCGCCCACCTTGACCGCACTCGAAGACGATGAGCTCCTCCATCCTGCCTCGCCGAGGGACGACGCTGTATTTTTAATATCCGATTCACCATTAAAATCCTCTTCATCGTCCTCATCCTTCGGGACAGTCGGTTTCTTCTCATGATCGTGAACCAAAAGGCCTGATCCGGAATCCAGCTTCAAGTGTTCCCAACTGCGAAATTGGGCCCGGTTCAAGATAGCTGCAGTGCGATCGTCTAAACCGCGTCTCACGTTTGCCTTAGACCGTGCGACTTCGCGATCCTGATCGACGTCATGGCTCGCCATTTTGGTTCTCTACTGATAAGCAGAAACAGGAACATAGAGTCACTCATTCATTCATTCACTACTCGCACAAGATCTGCGTCGGCTCCAACGAGTGGGCTAAGTTTCAGTTGCCGAGTCAGCTACCTGTCAACGAGGTCATTGTGAAACCCAGCACCATCATGAGTTCATTGCACATCATGATCATCGGTCTTTAAGCTAATTCTTACGGTCTACAGTAAACTATGGTACTGCGCAGTCCGTACTATCATCTTTTCTGCTCAGGGAGTGGCAGTGGTTGTGGTCGACGATTATACGGTTTACAACTAATAAATATCAGCATGCTCTACAACTTGAGGTTGTAAAGATATAGTTTTTTACAACTATTATGTAGTACATCAGGAGCATGGCATCTTCCGGAAGCCTTTTCTTTCAGTGGGTGACCATCACGACATCCAGATCATTGTCATTCCTTCCGCCGGATGAAGTTCCGGAGCTGTCTTTAGATTATTTAGACTGCAGATCATAGTATGGGCACGGATCATCCTGAAGATAACCGATCATTCCATTTGTTCACGCGGACGGGATATTCGTCAATTATGGGTTTATTCTCCCACAACCCACGATGAAAATGAGCAACAACTTCCGCTAAGAGTGAGAGTCTGTGGAACGAAACAAAAAGCCTGCTCTTGGAGGTTGGGTCTTGTGTTACCAGTGTCTGTCTTTTGTTTGTAGCTGTGCAAAAGATAAATATTGACAACAATAGAAAAAATTCTCCTCAGTTTCTTTCCAAATGCTGTCGGGCTGTACCTGTACAAGAACATCATTAAATTCGGCATCTATTTCACATTTCTTCTCTTCATCAAAGCACCACCTCGTTGGAGATTCATCGAAGTTTTGACAACTACACTCGTCCACTAATGATCAGTAGCAACCTCCATCGCACTCAAAAGGTGGGATCAGCTGAGAAACGTAGATCAAGTTACAATTACAATTACAAGTGATGAAGTCTCTTAGAAGAAGTAAAAGCTTTTGAAGAAGTAAAAGATCGATGAAATAAAAATATCGTGATGTAAAAGTTGCTATGTGCCAACATGTTCATGCAATCATTTCCTCCCTCTATGATTATGAGCAGCGTGACCATGCACACTAGCGAGTGACTTCTCTGGCTTAATACTTCCCGTGATTTTTTTTTTTTGGTCGCAGCTGGCCAGCTGCATGATATCATAACCGTCTACTTGGTTCTCCACGATGACCTTGGGAATAAAACATAGAAGAAGTAGGAAATTGATGTTCCAATTCTGTAACGATGTTGTTTGACCTAGATAATCCGTAGCCCGACTTACAGTTTTTTTCCAACGAGTACCGTTCGAGTATTTCTAGCCCAACAATTCTATGTGTGTTTCGTTCTTAAGGAAGATGCGCGTGTGGTCACAATGACAACACACGCTGCGGTGTGGGGATGGCCACGAGGCAGCCTGCGCCGCGTAAAATGTGAAACAAACTGACTCGCAGCCATCCGGCGCTCACGGTTCACCTCCCACCTCCCTTCTTTATTATATCTCGTCTACTTCACTCCATCGTCATCATGTTCTTCATCATCTCATTGTAGCATTACTTGGACTATCTTATTCATTCAGTCTCGCCGCCTCTATAATCGACGACTATCATGGGGAACATTCACCACATGGTAATTCAGTAGACTTGATATAATGTCGGATGATGTTGATGAAAGTGAAACAAACAACTTCTAAGTATGAAAATTCCAAATTCTCACTTGTTGAAAAATATTCATCATGCTAGTGGTTTTGGGGGTTTATCGGTAGTTCATTTTTTTTAGATTGAGATGAAAATGTATTTGTTCATTGTAAAAAATATTTCTACACCTCTGCACACTACGACGTATCGAACTGGGAGTAGTGGTCCAATGCAAATCATCAATCATCATCATCTGTTCCTATAATTTCTTATTACTTGTATGTACTAGTTGAAAAATCATGGCGGGCATGAAAGACCTTTTGTGTTCAAGGCTGGCCCATTTTGTTCAATCAACAAGGTTAGCTCGACACCTCCTTCGATTTTGATCATACAGAAATGTACTAGTCCTAGATGAACAAGCTTCCCTTTTTTACACGAGAAAGGCCTACGAAGAAAATCGTACTGCACCACAACTATGCAACAAGTTGCAGATCAATCTGATTCTCCCGAGAGGCCCTTCAATCAAGATTCGCTTCTTCGTGCGACGGCATGAAAGTCATGATTGTCCTATTTGTAGTGGTGCTGGAAGAATTCTAGTACAACTAGTTGTAGATTTATTCATCCTATTTCTAGAAGTTGGTGCATCTGATCTTTTCAGATTCAGATTTCTCTGTCCTCGATTGTAGTCGGTCTCTTTATCCGCGTCTCTTTCTTCTGCATGCAAAACAAATTCCGCCCCCCATTGAAAATACATCGACTTCTAAAGCTTCATCGTTGTGAAAAAATTCGTGAGTCTGAGTGGACATCTCTTGATAAGAAAGTCTGAGTGTGTCCAAAATTTGAAAAATTTGAAATCCGTTGAGGACTACTAGTTCTTAAGATGAGGTGGACAGAAGATGAGATGGACAGGCACATCATTGAAGTCAGAACTGTATAATCCTGCAACAAGTAAAGCTGATTTGTTTCGAATTGCTCTCGTTTCGAATTGCCTCTGTATTTCTTCAATCTTCTACATCAAAGCCCTCTTAATGATGGCGATGATGATGATGGATGGAGTGGATTGTAGGTTGTTGTAATTTCACGTCCCTGCGTTTAGATTCACTAATTGCTAACGCACACACTCCTAGAGCTAAAGGGGAAGGAGGAGCCCTCGTAAAAATTATCTCCTCCCAACGAACCTCCTAATATTACCACAAAAAACGTGCACCTTACAGTTTTATTCATGGCCCCTAAAAAAAGTGCTACACCCTCTCCCGAAAAGCATTCACAACCCTCAGCTTTCTTGGCTGAACGAGCTTAGTTCTGAACCATCCCCTTTAGAATGAGCTTGTCACTGCCTTTTCTACTTCCACAACCATCCCTCCTTTTCCTCTTTAGTTTAAAGTAGAACTACCCAAACCTCGTTCATCATACTCAAAACTCGTGTATCATACTCAAACCTCGTGTATCATACTCAAACGTCGTGTATCATACTCAAACCTCGTGTATCATACTCAAACCTCGTGTATCATACTCAAACCTCGTTCGCGATTAGGCGTCGAGCGGCTTGCTGAGGCATTCGCCAGTGGTCTGCATCATGCGCTTGGTGACCTTGTACGGGTCGCAGTTAGCGGCCGGACGGCGGTCCTCCATGTAGCCCTTTTTGTTGAGGAAGGTCTCACGCGGGATACGGATACTGGCACCACGATCGGCGACACCGTACTTGAACTCGTTGATGGAGCAGGTCTCGTGCTGACCCGTGAGGCGCTTCTCGTTGCCCTCTCCGTACTCAGCGATGTGCTCTTTGGCCACCGCGCCAAAGGCCTTGCACACCGTCTCGATCACGTCATAGCCACCATCTGCGCGCATGCCCTTCACAGAGAAGTTCGTGTGGCAACCAGCACCGTTCCAGTCACCTGTAAAAGAACTATAGAATTTGTTGGGTATATGGACATGACAGGATAAGCACTAGGAGATCATCATGAGCTTGTTTCCTTTTATTCTGCAGTCTACACGTGTTCGTGTACATCTTTGAAGATTTCATTTTCAACAAAAGAATTTTTTTAGATCAACACAGTAACGGTAGTTATAATCTGCTCAATCTAAATTTTGTAAAGTCCTAAAATCATCATTTTTTCAGAAGCGAGATAATCTTAGTAGTTGTAGTAGTACCTTCCATCGGCTTCGGGGAGTAGGTAACCTGCACGCCAAGGTCTTCTGTGACGCGGTTCATGATATAGCGGGCCATGTGCAGGTGGTCGCCCATTTCGATACCCTTGCACGGTCCGACTTGGAACTCCCACTGACCCGGCATCACTTCGGCGTTCACACCCGCGATCTTGACGCCAGCATAGAGGCAGTAAGCCAAGTGGGTATCGGCAACTGCACGACCGATGGAGACGCCCGTACCAGCGCCACAGTAGTACGGTCCCTGGGGAGCTGGCTCACTGCCATCCTCGTTGAAACCCAAGGGCATCTTGGAGACGACACCTGGTGGTGGTGTGGTGGGACTGGGACCAAAACAATCTCTCCTGGGACTCACTTCTGGATGAAGTATTCACAATTACAAGCGTAGCTTCATGTTCATTTCAAACGTCGATAAAAAGATGAGTCTGACTCACAGAAAAACACTTTTTCTACCATAGGTCGACGGCTTCAGCAAGGTGTATTCCTGTTCGATTCCGAACCATGGGTCCAAGTCAGCATACTTATCCATGATGGCGGCGCACTCTGCACGAGCGTTTCCTGGTTGATTGCTTCATGTGTCTTGGTGTATGGTTCTGGTATTTGGTAACCTGAGTTTGATCCTAAGGGTTCTCTTCTTGTTTTCCCTTATGATCAAACTCAGGCTATACCAAAAATACCGGAACCATTCACTTGGCAAGAGGTCAGTGGTGAAGAGTTGTTTATCGGGATTGCAGTAGAAGTTCCTTGTTTGCTAAGCGCTGTTTCGTTCGTCGATGTTCTACTTTCTAAATCGAAGCTTCATTTTCCAAATCTAAATTTTCTAAAGAAACGGATAATAAGAATAAGTATTATACTTCATCGCGAAGCGAGTATCAATAAGTTCTAATTTTTCATTTTCTCCTTTCTTCTTCTCACCACCATGCGCTTCCCGTCTCTCCACGACCTTGTTGTTCTTGAAAGCCGAAAACGAATATACTTCATGAACAAATTCGTGCTGATTGATTGATATGCCTGACAAGATCAAGAGGTAGCTTTTGGAGAGAGAGGTAGGTTAATTATATGCTTGCAATTACTACATTTCATTACATTTAGATGTACCAATAGCCGGCTTCATATCCGGGGTGACGCACTCAGACATGACAAGGACGTTGCTGCCAGCACGGAAGGGGTCCTTAAAAATGGCACGGGGGATCAGCAGAATTTCGGAATCAGAACCCGGCGCTTGCTCAGTAGAAGAACCATCAAAGTTCCAGATTGGAAGGTCGTCGGCCTGTGTTTCGTGGTCGTGATCTTTACAATTCTGTATGCAGGAACAATGGAAGTGAAAATTCAGGTGATTCAAACGCTTCTTTCATTTCTAAAAAATCTAAATTTTCTAAAGTCGAAAGTTCTTCGTCTTCGCAAGTTTGTCATATTTGTATCTATTTACGAAGACTCAATAACAAGTACGCAGGTCGGCATCTTGGACAGGGTCTTGGTCTTGGAGCGAGGCACACCAGCCGCATCCAGCCAGACGTATTCCGCCACGCAGCAGCTGGAATAGGTCCTTTTGGGTCCGAGTTCGGAACCGCCACCGTCCTTGCCCGCTTCGGGCATGACGTCTTTCATCAGAGCCCACGAGAGTGCCATTTTCTTTGCGGCGTTAGATTTGACGGAACAGTTATACTTGAAGTTAGTAGTTCCTCGACAGATAAAAGTTAAAGAGTCGGGACAGAGCTTAGACTTATACAGGTCCTGTTGCAGGAGCTCGCTTGTAAAGCCAAGCTGAACGTCTTTGCTGCATACACCTTCAGCAATATTCTTCTTAGGACTAGGACACCCGTTGCTGCCGTTCTTCGAACGTTTATTATCTCCTGAAGCACAACAGAACATCTTCCTTTAAAAACTTGAAAACTACTAGTCTCTTGTAATCCTCTACTAGAAGTAGTTGTAAAACAAGTTACAGTAGTTTTTAATATCTGTAGTTGTAGCTGCTACGACAGTACGACAGGTAGATAGAGTTATAGAGTAGTTTTGATTAAACCTAAAGGTCGACTCCGTTTTTAGTTCTAGAACGGAATGCAACGTTCCTCGTCCTCTCCCATCCTCGTCCAGAATAAGCTACCTTTTCATGTGTCAATTTTTTCCTTTTTTTACGATGACGCCCCTCGCCGACTTAAGCTTTCTCGTTTTTTTAGATCGAGGCACAGAAAAAGAAAATAGCGTTACTAGGTCTTCTGGTCCACGAGGTCGAACCTGAGTGAAATAAATCGCTCGTCATTAAAAAAACTTCATAGCGTCTCGTCACATCCGATCTTTCAGACCGATTGTCTTCAGCACAACCCTCATGGTCGTTACATTTAGACTCGTATCTCCTCGTCAGCAGTTCTATAAATGACGCAGAGACCCCAGCATTCCAGGATCTCCATCACAGAACCGGGAGAAGAAAATGCCGACAACTGTACAATAGCTTCACCGATGCCCGAAATTGATGAAGAGGAAAAATGTAATGATCTCGTCACAGATTTTCGCGCTCGTCGTAAGAAATACTCGGACGTCAGCGAAGAAATCATGGGGAAGGGGAGTGGATAGAGGAGTCTAGATGATAGAGGAGTCTTTTCTTGGTATCGAGAAATGCCTAATATTAAAACAATGAATCTCAATCTCATGGTATACTGAATACATACGGAACACCGTCAGACGAGGACATCTCATTGCACAAGGAGTGAGTGAGTGAATGTACCCACTCCAGGAACAGAAGAGACCACTACGCACTACTTCTTTTTGCATCTAGATTCATGCGACCGCATGATCTCCACCCTTTCAATTTCGTTTGATCGTGAGTCTGAGTGGTACCCTGAAGTAGACCACTTCCCCAAATCCCTCAAAAAAAATCCGCCTAGTATCAGTCCCCCTAAAAAGAACTGTCTACCCAAACAGAAATTCATCTAGCTGATTTGAAAGTTTCCTCGTTGCTGAGATCGCTACAAAAAACGTCATACCTATGGTCCCCCCAACAAGGGCAGTGGTCGTAATCAAAGACGAATCATCGAATGCAACATCATCTATGTCTACTATGGTCGTCCCTGTCTTGTATTTCTCTAACGATCGTCCCTCCAGAGCTTCTAGAGCTCTCAGTTCCGCAGTAATGTCTGTTATCGCTGATGCGTAGTCTTCAACAAAGACGACTCGTCCTTCACCTCCCGAACTCCCTATTCTCGTCCTTCGACCAGTACGGCTACTAGCTCCCTTCTTCCCGTTCTTCTCCATAAAAATCGTAGTTGTGACAAATTGTACTGAGCCACTGGATGCTAGAAAATCCGTCAGAGGGAGCTTCTCACCTCCGGGAATCAAATCGGTCCTGAGCTCTGCATGGGAATACATTTGCTCAGGCCTCAGCGAACCTACGTAGTCCTGTATTGTTGCCCGCTTCTCCTTTTTCTTGCGCTTGGTTTTAGAGAGGATCGCCGAGTGCACTTCTCTCATAGTACTGCTGCACGTGAAGGGGCCACGTGAAGATGTAGAGTAGTAGTAGTAGTAGTAGTAGTAGTAGGAGGAGTAGTAGTAGTAGGAAGGAGGAAGAGGAGTAGGAATAGGAATTATGTGAGTAGGAGTCGGAATAGGAGTAGTAGTGTACCCATTCGTGGGGTATAGAAGAAGTTAATTACGATTAGCAGGCTTCTTTTTTTCCTCCTCAGTCTTGTCTTCTCCTTCCGCTGCACTTTTGCAGATGTGATCTATAGAAGTCGGTCCTGTGCTTGTCATTGTAGTATATCGTGTATGTGCTTGTGAATGTGGTTGTAGTTTCAGGTATGAGGTCTTACAAAGGTGTTCTTGCCTGTTGATTACTATTATCCGACATGGAAAAAAAATATCCGATCATAATTTTCCCTGATGCGGCCGTGCAAGTTGGAGAGAGCATGCCAACAGACCTTTTTTCCCTCTACTACTTTCAAATTCAATCTCTGATAGATCTTCACACGCAAAATGATGACCTCACACAAGACGGAGCAAGAATGATACACCTTCAGCCGATTCTTCAATTGAATGGCTCTGGTATTTGGTAACCTGAGTTTGATCCTAAGGGAAAACAAAAAGAGAACCCTTAGGATCAAACTCAGGTTACCAAATACCAGAACCATACATCAATGTGCATATCAATTTCACGTAGGACATGAAGAATAATACAAGGCTTCATCATAATGGCAATGACTTCTCAAAGAAGTCAAGCGAATCGTGTGTGAACCGGTCGATCATGGCTACGCCCACCTCCTGTATGAAAAAAATTCTTCTATAGTCAGTCAAAAAAAGAGAATTGCATTTCTCTAGAACAATAGAATACTCACTGGTGCGCAAGTAGGTCTCTACTACTACCAGCTCGAGGAAATACCTGTGCATCACGTTGTTTTACTTAACAAGATTATAAGCGGAAGATGGAAAATCAGATTCAGATCAGTTCTTCCTTTCCTTGTCATATTAACAATAACATTTGATCCTTTTTAATAAAGAGAATCTTGATTGCGATTGATGTGATGGTCATGCGAGAAGTAGCTTTTTTAACAGATGGAAACCTTGATTGATGTGATGGAGACGGTCATGCGAGAAGAAGTAGCTGTTAAGAACAGGTGGAAAATTGAAAGCGTCCTTCATAACATGATCGATGTGATGCGAGTAGCTATTCTCCTTGACACGGGAGGAGCCTAGTGCAACGATCTGCGGTGTGTACAAGTCCCCGTGTAGCGTAGCTGCTTGACAGGTGTCTGAAATCCAAAAGACTTTGCCATACCGCTTTTGCTCATACATCACGCCTAGCGCATCAGCAAGGTCCTGGGACTGCAGCTCTTCCCAGTCCTGAAACTTCAAAAACGAAGCACCGCTGTGACCGGTCAGGGAATTGGAGCCGATAGCATTTTTCACGTCTACTTCGTGATGATGAAGACACTCAGTGGTTGCTGAACTTCGGTCAGTGGTCTGTGACTAACAGGATCGCGAACTTCGTTGATTCCTCTGACTATAATCAGGATCTTCTATGACGGAGGACTCACTAGAAGTCTGTACTTCTTGTTGCCGCCATAATGTAGATCAACAGGTTAGACTCGTGGTTCGTCCCAAGACGCTTATTCCTTGGAGTGAAAGGCGCATGCTGTCCTTGCAACAAGCGCAAAAAGTTCGTGACCGTGACTTCGTCTCCTCGGTAGTCCACCTCCACCGATCCGGCTGCACCACTGTACAGATTCAGTAGTTTCGTATGGTCGTTAAATATCCTGCCAGGAAAGACGTTTCGGGGACTGCAGGCATAATCCTCTGCAAGAGAGCTTAGCGCTAGAGAGCTAGAGAGTAATTCTGAGGAGATTTACCTAGGACTGCAGGCATAATCCTCTGCAAGAGAAGTTAGAAGAGCTAGAGAGTAATTCTGAGGAGATTTACCTCGGACTTTTCAAAGTCAGTATTTCTATGGAGTAAAGATGAAATGTGGACTTCCATCGAGTAATTCTTTATCAAAAATGAGTAATGTGGACTTCCATCGAGTAATGTGGACTTCCATCGAGTGATTCATCTCACTATCTGTGTGTCGTTGAGTTGTGCTGAGAGTTTGTTTCACCTTGAAGATTCTTCCTAGAAAAAAAAGTGTTAGTATAGACCGCCATAAAAAGAGGATGATCTGTTCATCCGGAACGCCGCGTGCTTTCACAGTGTGGTAGAAGGAAAGGGCATTTGAGGCATGCCGGTAGTTGTAGAAATAACGACTGGTGTCAACGATTACAGCCCAATTGTTCACATTCGCTTCCTTCTTTAACTAGAGGCACCGCCAACCCATCTTTTAGAAGGGAAAATCTTGTAGAAGCCTATTCCAAGAAGGAATTGGCTAAATAAAGATAGAGTAAAAGATGGGTTGACGGTACCCGTAATTCTTTTTTCCACTAGTACGTCCTTTCTTATTCTTTCCTCCCGTCTCACCACCACCATTAGCGCTTTCGTTCATCTCCGCTTCAGCATATGCATCCCATTGTTTTCGCAGTATTTCCTTGTATTTTGCTGCTGGGCCAGGAAATAATTGCTCTGATATTTCCTCAAAGGTCCCGGTAACGAAATTCTCCACGTTTTCTAGAGCCTGATCGACGAAGGCTGAGACAGGAGTGATGAGGACTAGCGAGGATAGCAAGATTGCTTCTTGTACGGCAAGAACTGCTCCCATAGGAGAGCACGACCTCCACCGGTGCTGGAGACGAAAATGCAGCATTCTCAGGGAAGATCCGATAAAACAATAAGAACGCAACTGCGTTGCATGTTGTTATTTGGTGAGAATCTCTTACTCCAACAAGAACCTTGTAACTGCTGCTCGTGAAAATAGTGAATCTGCGACCACAGTGTCTGGTTGTTACTGCAAAAATGCGTGTTGGAGACGAAAAGGCAACAGTCTATTCTACTTATTCTAGTATCCCTCAGGCGAGATTCATTAGCAATTTTTAGGCAGAAGAACGCCTAACTACCCACTAGGGGAGGGGGCAAATGCGCCTGCGCGTGTTGATATAAGGTGGTGGGGTGGAGCAGACGGCGGCATGGGGCGCACTCGCTAGGGCTATGAAATGCGAGTTGACACGGCGCGAAATGTGAGTTGCCCGCCCAGCCATGAAGGGGATCCACAAGTCGTGGTTGTCATCAAGTTCTAGTTCATTTTGCCTCTTTCAGCACCAGGGCCGTGTTGTAACTGTATGTGTTGAAAGTTGTTCAGCACTGTCCGTAATTGCTGATCCTGTGCTTGAGGAGCATGTTGACGAGGAAGTGGATAGATTGACTAATCATTGGTTTTTCTTGTCGCTCTCTGATCATGCGAATGCGGTAGAAGCAGTTATTTACACTAAAAACAAGAAGTACTATTATCTTGACATTGGATCAGATTCTGCAGGTTTCGTATCAAATTATCTTACGGTCTGAATATCGTGGTCTCACCCCAACCTGCAACATCAAAGTCTATTTCAAGTGAAGAAGATGATTTGTCGGATATCATTCATTGGTCGGATAATGCTTATGCTGCGTGCTCTGCATATTACAGTTGAAGTAGGATAAGGTTCGTGTCTATTCGTTATTATGCTTTGCCGCATGCTAACAAATCCTATTTTTCTTGTCATTTCTAATTGTTCATAGTACATTGCTTGGATGAGGGAAGGTTAACAACGCGATTATTTTTGAGGATAGACACCCACGACACCTTCGAAAAACTCGGTCGACATTTCAATTCATACGTTGGTTTCCTAATACAGTAATAGTAGTGTACCCAGTCAAGGGGTATAAAAGAGCAGATGTTAATTTATCCTGCCTACGCATCTTCCGGCAACTTCAAGCCAAACCGAATGGCAACCTCAGGATCCACCTTTTTCTTGACTGGGCTCCCAACTTTCTTCGGCTCCATGCCAGCTGCTCTAAGTTGAGAGTTCACCTGCTTCAACAATTCCTTATTCATCTTCTTCTCGGTTGCGGACATCTCGACCTGGATGTAGAGTAATGTTGAGGTAAGCGATATGCCTAAGATTTCCCTGACGACTTCTACCCGCTACGGAGAAGTAGTACTTAAACTAGTTGCTTATTAGTTATTACTTACTGACTTCCTCTTCCTCTACTTAAACTAGTTACCTATTACTTACTAGTGACTTATATTACTTAAACTAGTTACTTATACCTCTTTCAACCGGTCTCCCTTCTCAGCCATCATTCTATTCAGTTCGTCCTGATTCGCCAGCTCCCGTTTTTTCAATCCCATTTTTTTCTCCGTTTCTTTCGCGTTATATTTCTTCTCATCCTCTATCGTTTGCAGAAGCTGTAGGATATGGAGAGAATATTTTGAAGTTGAAGTTGGAGCAGCTATATGAAGATATTCTTGAGCTACAAGAAGTCTGCGCCGTTTATATCCTTCACTCGCAACATGAACTACATTCGGAGATCATGAAAATTTAACAAACAAGCATAATCATAAGCAATATATTAGTTAATACGAAGATGCAAGTATTACTACATAAGCAAGATATTACGAAGGTGCAAGTAGATTTAGAGGCAGGTTTTTGGTGCTTGCTTACCCCGCTTTTTATGCCTTTCTCCCTTAGGAAACGCATAAAAAGCGGTAAGAAAAGCACCTTTAACCTACCCTTAATAGATGTACAAGTCCTACTTCTATTCGTTCTCCTACTAATATTAGTTCATCTCCTTCTCACCTGTCTCCTAGCCTCATCCTTCAATCTCTGCTTTTCATCAATCCTCTCAGCCATCTGCTTCATATGCACTTCCCGTGTTTCGAGCCGCATTTTCCGTAGGCGAGCTTCTTGGACTTAGAAGGGGTGCCGGTTGGGGTCTTTCTTTGAAAAAGTTTGATGCTCATGCCTTTCCCAAAAAAAAAAGCTACGAAGTTCATGCGTCTTTCCCAGCAACAAGTAGATGGAGATGAAACAAGTACGCAAAGGATCTTTCTTTACTAAGAGTAACTGGAAAAGCTGACGAGGGTGTGAATCTACTCGGCGATATGCCTAAGATTTCCCTGACGACAAAAAGCTTTTTCGTACCATCGTTTAGTAGACTAATTAAAATCAACCACAATTTTTGGTAGAGCTAGTTAGTGGAAGAAAAAGTTTGGAAGATCTTGCGTTTTTCCCAGCAACAAGAAGATGGAGATGAAACAAGTACGCAAAGGAACAGGATCGCTACCAAGAAAGGATTATGTTGATACTGTAAGTATTACAAGAACCACTTAATACAACTGTTACTTCTACTTAAGACTCCATGAAGATGTTACAAGAAGTAGTAAGAACTATCTTCCACATGTTACTGTAAATAGATGACAAAGAAGCATAATTATCCGCAGCTGCCTGTGCAGCCATCTCATTCGAGCGCTTCGCATGCGCCTCCGCACGGCGGTCGGCCTCAGCTACCGCCGCATCTTGAGCTGCCGTTACGGTCGATGCCATCTGTAGAGTGGAGGTGGAGAAATTGTAGTGCCATAAACTTAAACATCAAAGCTGTGAAGACTTCTATTAAATCCTGATTCTTGCATCATGAATTTTTACGTACACCTAGACCTACTTACAAGTGTTTTTAGTATAAAAAGAACGTAAATCGCAGCCTACGCAAAGCAAGCAAGAAGCATCTATACCCTAGCCATAGCCGCGCCATTTCGTGCTACTACCATATTTTGATGCATTTAGATGTAGTACCCTAGCCATAGCCGCGTCATTTCGTGCTACACGTGCGTCCTTTTCTTCTTGTCGTTTTCGCTCTACTTCGTCAGCGGCAGCGTTGTATCGCTCCATAAGAAGCTTGTCTTGCTCTGTTGATATTGTTGACGGTGAAGTAGAAAACAAGGATGAAAAGGATTTATTAGAATTGAAATCGATATCGAATGAAAATTGAAGAAGATTTGAACACGCAGTGGTCCAGAAGATACGTAAGTTGTAGTTGTCGGATGAAAATTGAAGAAGATTTGAAAACGCAGTGGTCGTCCAGAAGATATTAAGTAAGTAGTTGTATCCCGGAAGCTCGAAGAAGATCAGGAACGACACCTCACTAACACATCAGCCCTCTCAACATGCATCAACATCATCATGTAGGTAGTTGCATCCAGAAGATATTAAGTACTTAAGTAGTCGAAGCATTATGATCAGTACCAACTTGCCTCAACTTCTCGACCCTTCTTCGTTCTTGGTCTTTGACGTTTTCTGCTTGCACATTTGCTTGGTGGTCCTTCTGCTGCTGTCGGATCTTGTTCATCTTCTCTTCTTCCCTCTGGATTTCGTCCTGCACTCGCTTTTTTCTTAGAAAAACATTATCTACATCGAATCAACTACACGCTAGTAGTTGTAGTTCTATCACTATTACTAAGTTATAGGATAGGATAGGATGCCGCTGCCATAAGACTAATGTATAACGCTAGTAATCGTATAAGGGTCTTGTTCATCTTCTCTTCTTCTCTCTGGATTTGTCTCTAAGATTTCTTAGAAAAATATTATCTACATCGAATCAACTCCATTTTTAATATTGTTTCAGATCAGAGTGGTCATAACTTAGTCAACCGATCCTCCAACGCGTCTATTTTCTTTTGCTCTTGCCGTTGCCTGTCCTCGTCTAAGAGTTGTTCATCCCGCATCTGTTTCTCCAGCATGGCTAATCGCTTCATCTGTTGTATCAAGGTTTTAGTGGAAATTTAAGTACTTATTTCACGGCGGCACTACGAGGATAAAAAGAAGTATTATTTGTGGTGGAGCCGACCTAACTAGAAAAAAGACAGACCAGAGGAAGATATAGAAAAGATTATTGTTATTCCATGCATGGGTGGCACGAAGATGGATGCATATCTATGACCATGATGCCAGGCTGTAATAGTCAACATTATCAATATTATGATGTTCGCGCACGACGGACCCAGACCCTACCGCCGCACGTGTTCCGCGCACGCAGCGCACCTACCACCAGGCACTACGGACGTCGATGCGAGCGCGCAGGGGACCTTCCTGAAGACGGTCCGGCTGTAATAAATAAAGTAGAAGTACCTCATTTGCTTTGTCCCGCTCCTCTTTCTCATAGAGTTCGACATCCGCAAGTGCCCTAGCATACCATCTCCGATCTGCTGGGTTAGAGCTGGGGTCGGAAGGATTCACTTTTCACACCATCAGACTTGAAATTTACTTCTTTTAACTAGAATTTTGATGGTATTTTGGTACTAATAAATTTGGAGGTAAGGTGGGTTAACATCTGTAGTTCTAGTTGGTGAACACGACGATAACGAAAGACGCTTAGAGTTAGTCGTATTGCGGAAAGAGTCTGTGGCGTGTTGTTGACTGAGTACAACTCTGATTTTCACATGAATGTGAGGACTCAGTTACTTCTACCAATTTCAAAAGCTACGATCGCTAATTGGGTTCGCGTACTAGTAGGAACGATTCTTGTTCGTCCCCGATGTATCATCACACAATCATCTCTTTCCTGATAATCATAACATCTTTATCCCCTTGTTTCATGTCCTTCAGCTCTTTCACTTGTTTGCCTAGCGCGGAGCGGACCTTGGCACCTGACTCGACTTTTCTAAGTCTAAAATCGAGTTGACTCTTTCCTTCCAGAAAAAGGGCATAATCGTCAAGAACTCGCCAATCTGCGACACTGTTTTAGATGTGGTAATTCGTTGGTGGTTGTGGTAGTGGTTGTTCTATGGTAAGTAGAGACTCTTGTGATCGAAATGTAGTTTGGTGGTCCAATGAATTCTTATAGTATTTTCTTTCCATGACCATGACATTGACAACTTTGTTAATTAGCTCCTTGAGTCCCATCTGTGTTAGCTGCTTGAGTCCCATCTGTGGGAGAATTCTTCGGGAAGAACAAATTAGACTCTCAGAAGTTCTAAATATTTTAGCAAAAAAACCAAGTACAGTGAGCTTTCCTCCTTCTCTGCACCACCGACGCCACTGCCTGACACTGCGGACCCCAACTTCATGGTCGCTTGGAGATTTGAATACGCCTCAACTCCAGAAACATTGCTGCCTTTTCTGCTATCCTCGTCAGCCGCTGAACTACCTGAAGTAGTTTAAGAAGGAACTTACTACCCGAAGAAGGAGTTGCTGTTGTTGTTGAGAAGGATACTTCATTCTATTTGGTTGTTGCACTAGTAGTAGTAGTAGTAAACCCATTCATGGGGTATGTCTTACATCTGTTTTGGGAAGGGGTTTATTTGAGGAATGAAGTCATGAGTAGAACAAAACGAGTTACACAACTCAACATACTTTCCCATTGTCACTGCTCAGCTGTTCTTCTTCTTTCACTTCGATGTCGAGATGAAAGTAAAAATAATAGAAGGCAATTTCTCTCTCTGATCTATCATCTGGAAAAACCAAAATTAGCTTTTTCTACTGATCAACATCTGGAAAAATTAGCTGCACCTGTCCTGCTCCGTATTTTCTTGTCCAATTTCTTCAGATTCGTCTCTGTTATTGACGCACTGTTCAAAAATGACTCAACCTCTGACTTGACAATTTCTTCGTTCTGTTTTTTCGTCTTTGCCGATATCCCAGGACCGCCGTTCACCCTGGTGTCATAGAGAGAGGTTCTTGAAAGTTGGTTCACCCTGGTGTCATAGAGAATGAGAGGTTCTGGATACTAGTTGTAGTAGAGCTGCAGATGGAAAGGTGGTTGATATTAGTTGTAGTAGTTGAGCTACAAAGAGCTAGCAGAAATAAAGAGAGGTTCTTGATAGTTGTAGTAGAGCTACTAGCAGAAATAAAGAGAGGTTCTTGATAGTTGTAGTAGAGCAAGCTGAGCAGATGGAAAGAGAGAAAAAGAGAGCAGGTGGTTGAAAGTTGTACTAGTTGAGCTACAAAGAGAGAAAAAGAGAAGTGGTTGATAGTTGTAGTAGAGCAAGCTGCAGAAATAGGCGGAGGTGCAAGCAGAAATACGCGGTGACTATTGTTGCAAGCAAGGAGAAGGACTTCTACCACGCGTGATTATTTGAAGGAGAACTAAGTACTCAACTGTTAGAAGGAAAAGAAACCTCCACAGACAGATATTTTCTTATTTATGTTTGTGGAGGACGAGGAGTTTCTATTTCTTCTAACAGCTAAATAGTAATAGGTTACTTAGCTATCGGCTAGGAAGGAGAAATTCGAGTTGTACCTCGCCTTGAATCTCTCAATGAGAACATCCTTCATTTGCTCTCTCTTTTGAAGGGCTAACAGCTTCTCCTTTCTTTTGTCGGTCATCCCCTTCATGCCTGGCTCAACCTGCGAAGGCTCCTTTGGCTTCGCTGTTCCACTTGAACCCATCATGGTTACGGTTACTTAGGTGGAAGGAATTGCACAGAGAAAAAAGAAAAATGGAAGGACGCTTATGGATGGAATCTATGGTGCTTACCTCTTGTTCTTGAGAAAGAAGTAAAAGTAATCAGGTACTAGACCTTACACAAAAAAAGGGTTGATAGACTATAGAAAGTAAATCTATTTCAAGCGTCGTGCGGAGCACGACTTCAAAGTAAAAGTGGTTAGGACAGTTTGAGGACCTGCATTCTACACGGGCGAACCTCCGTAGCCACAGAGGGACTACCAATCAGCAATTACCATCAACTACAATCTCTGAGAAACAAAAACCATTTACACGGGAAATTGCATGCACAAATGCGAGGGAACATGAAAAATGCAAGATAGGATAGGACGGGATTGATAACGTTACTGTGGTGAGGACGACGTCCATGGGTTGCTACTGTGGGCAGGACGTCCATGGGCTGCAGAAGGAAGAGGAGACGAGATGACCGATCTTGTACAAGTTCATGATGAGGCTCTCTCTAGAGAATCCGATAATCTTGTTCTTATACTTTCTGTTTCCAGAGAATCCCACATTCCGAGAGTGCTTACAAGAGACAGATGGCACCATTGGGCGGCTCTTGACAACTACACCCTCGACCGAATATACTAGTAAGTTGTACTTACTCAGTCAAAACCAAGACATGACCATGCACCCCCATCAATAGACGACACCGATGAATCGCTTGGAGAGACATGCACCCAAATGATTGGGCCAAATCAGTCACTTCCAGATCAGACCTCGCCTCTATAGTGCATCAACTACGAACTACCCCATCAGCCTGCTACCCCAAGACGAAGGATGATCCTACAAAACGGGTTTAAGAAGTCTTCTACTACAATTACAACATCAAGAATACACCCTGCAAAATGAAGACTTTCTTGATCACTTGTTCTTGTTCTATTCTGGTGCTTTTAGCGGGCATGTGTTTGTTTATTGAACAAGTTCTCGTGTAGGTGTACGTGCAATTTGTTGAGTTTGATGACAAACAACGAAATTTTTATCGCCAAGTAAGTAATCGGTGTACCTCTAGGTTCTGTTGGAATCAAAATGTAAGAAAAAGCACATTCATACATAACCCCCACGAAATTCAACTAGCTTATCATTTTCTTTAAATCATCTTCTTGGAAATAGAAGAATGCTTCACTTCACTTGTTCGCTGGAAACCCCCGATAAGACCAAGCTGCCAGTAGCGCAAATGACAATACCACCTACGGTGAGGAGGATAGCAACTGTCACTGGCGTTTCGAAGATGAGCCAATCAAACACAGGTCGATACACGCGAGACGACGTAGCAGGAATCACTGGCTCCTCTCCTGCGGAGTTATGAAGGAGGAGGAGGAGGGAGATTAAGAGATCTCAACTAAAAGTTACAAATAAGTTCGTTGGGACGAAATAAGGAACGCAACACACTCTCAAGCAACTTGCACTTGCACTCGAAAAATAATAGTCATTACTTTATCTTCTCGCACTAGTTGTACTACCTTTCCTCGCCTACCAAGTCGAAAAAAAATATAATTTTGAAAAACTAAGTACTTCTAGCTATCAAAAACAACAACAACAAGATCAAACGAGAAGGCTCTAAGATGCTTCGCAAGATGAATTAAAGGAAGCTGCCTTAACAACCTTTTTCCAAGTTTATAGATCATCATAATCAACCTTTTTACAAGTTTAGATCATCAACCTTTTTACAAGTTAGATCATAGTGCTTTTAGATCAACCTTTTTACAAGTTTAGATCATCATAACCTTTCTTTCCGTTCTTGCTCTTGCGGTCTTGCTCTTGCGGAGAGTAAAGTGTTCGATAGTCAAGATGGACATTGGGACCATGTGAAAGCGGATCTTCTTTGGGAAGAAGAGCACCCAGAGCCAGCGTTTGTTCGGCGCACCAGTTCGCCACGTGTAAGAGGCCATCTGTGTAGGTGGTCAGCAACTTCGTGGTCTCCATGTTTGCGACATCATCATCAGTTGTACTGTTGCGCCTTTTAGAATACAGGCCATGCAGCTGGTGGGTTTTTCGTGGAGGTCAGGAGGATGTTCTTGTAGTTGTTGATTTAATAGACGCAGAGCAGCATGAACATGACATGATCAACTAAAACTAAAAAATTGAGGAGACGTTCTTACCAGTCACATTGTCTTTGTCATCCTCTACCAATATTATCACCCAGCATCTTCTTCTAAATCATCTACTATTGGTCGTCGCACCTCAACGTCAACTATGTCAACATAATGCTATTGCTAGAGTTCGATGCGAAGGCTCGCCCTCCCTGCTGGAGAAGATGCAACTGCCGACCGCCATGATGATGTTGATGATGTTGTCGTCCTCGTCCTGCACTATCTTCATGTTCTTGTGCAGCCACCTGGAACCGGCTCATCCTACCACCCATCATCGGACGCCCACGCTGTCTAGTAAATTGCTCATCAAGCAATTCCCGCAACCGGCGCAGAGGATCCGCGACCGCAATCAGAGGATCCTGGGAAAAATGGTCATCTTCTTCTTCGGAGTTTCTTGTTGAACAAGCTCTTCTCGTGGCAGGAAGGATACCATGATCTTCGAGGAATGATAGAGAGTCAACAAGAACTTCTCCATCGGATGGCGATGTTGCAGGTGGTCCTCTACTTCGATGTAGTTTTCGTCTTCTTCGATGATTTTGAACAATATGTCGCTGTCGCGTTTTTCTACTACTCGATGTTGAGGTTGACTGAACACCTTGTTGGACGATGCTCCCGGACCCGGTTTGGGTCTCGCTGGTGCTCTCTTGCTGTTGTCCATCATGTGCTACTTCTATCTTTCCAACCTCTTGCTCTTCACCAGATGATCGTGGAGATTCAACAACCAAAGAAGTAGAGTCATCTACAACTACATCAGATGTGTATTTTTCGTTGTCTACTTCTTCTTGTCGTGCCTTGACATTTGTACTTGTTCCACGACCTCTCCGCATGCGTGATCGTCCACGCGCTTGATGTTTACTCTGTGTTTCTGCTTGACCACCGTGTTTCTGCTTGACTCTGTGAAATCGCCGTAACAATCTCTCCGCCAGGGTCTCCACGTCATCCTCCTTTTCACCTTTGAAAAACGCCTTAGTCTTGCGAGACGAGGAATACGTCTTAGTCTTGCTAGTTTTGTCCGAGCCATGTAGACGTTGGTCAGGATGAGAGACCAACATCGATGCAGCTGCTGCAGTTGTGGTCGTCGCTGCAGGGACAGCTGCTGCAGGTGCTGCAGTTGTGGTCGTCGCTGCAGGGGCTGCTGCAGGTGCTGCAGTTGTGGTCGTCGCTGCAGGGGCTGCTGCAGTTGTGGTCGTCGCTGCAGGGGCTGCTGCAGGGGCTGCAGTTGTGGTCGAGCTCTCCGCAATTCATCTCTCAACAAGAACACCTTGAAGAGTACTGCACGAGAGCATGACAGACAGAGAAGATGTACTCTAAGAACATCTTGAAGAGTACAGCACGAGAGCATGACAGACAGAGAAGATGTACTCTCGAGCATGCCACAAGACAGACAGAGAAGATGAATTAGTCAAAGCCTTAACCGTGGTTGGGGCAACTGTCGTGGTCGTTGACGTCGTTGTACTAGTAGTACTCGAAGTAGCGGTAGAAGACGTGGTAGTGGTCGTAGTCGATGTCACCGTGGACGTTGTCACCGTGGACGTGGTTACTGTGGTCGTGGTTACTGTGGTCGTCGTTGCAGTGGCTGTGGAGGTGGTGGTAGATGTGGTTGTAGTTGAATTTTGAGCCTCGAACACCTCGACCGCCTGAACCGTCAACTTCGTAGTGTCAAAACCCGCAGTGGCCAAAGCGCTCGTAAAACTCCTTGAAAATGCGCTCTTGGACGATCCGGGGAATGAAGACTTCTAGCTACGAACAAGTGGAGGTAGCTACCACGAATATTATGTCGCAATCGGCCATCGGGAAGAGGTAAAACAAGTGGACTTCTAGCTAGACTTCTAGCTACGAACAAGTGGAGGTAGCTACGAATATTATGTCGCAATCGGCCATCGGGAAGAAGGAAAATCAAAAATTATTGATTGACCACAAAGCAGTTATAGCTTCCAGTCTTTTCTTCGAATGCTAGTACAAGAACTAAGTACAACAAAGTAATAAAAGAAAACTTCTTTTTCTTATCCAGGAAATGAAGTTACCCAGCAAATTTTGATATTGATTGACCACAACACGCAATCAACATGCAATCAACATCTTCATCAACATGATGCCATAAACTATCACCTCCAGTGAATGCTGTAGAATTGGCTTTCAGCAAAGCTGAGACCTCCGTCAGACTTGTCTGGTCCAAGTCTTCCGCGGACATGATTGGCTTCCCGGATTGCTGGATAGATTGCGGGACCGTGTAGAGGACATCATATTCGAAATTCGCATACCAAATGGTGGTGGGTGAATTAGAGCTGTAGAAGTCCTTTGAAATACATAGTTGCTGGTAATCTTAAATACATAGTAGCTGGGTCAACAACCTAGGACTTTCCAGCAAAGTAAGCATAGAATCTATGGACGAGCACGAGTATTAAGTCTAATCTTATAATTGCAATTGGTGGGTCAGGAGCATGGTCCTTTGTCCCCTTGCATTTGTCTATCAATCTGGCAACAGAAAGCAAAGAGGCAAGGACTGCGAAGATCAAGATGAAGAAATTTAGTTTGAGATTGCATGTGCATGCATCTTTGATGTCTGAAGTAAGTGCTGTCCTTAATGGCGTCACTTGCAGTGTCCTGCTTCGTCTTCGAGCCACCACCCTCGATAAAAGAAGACGAGTACGAAGATGCCTGAAGTTTCCGAATCGCAACAAAATAAAGTGTCCTGTTACAGGAACGAATTCGTCGAGCCAAAAATTATGAAAAAATGAAGTGAAAAGTACACGTGGAAAGAAGTAAATGCGACGTCGACGGTCACCTACACGACCTCAACCTACTACATCACTCATATAATAATTATAAATAGTACTTCTTAGTTGTACAGAAGTAGACCTACTACATCACTCATATAATTAAAAAAAAGTACTTCTTAGTTGTACAGAAGTAGAAGTACTTCTTAAGTAGTTGTACCGTCTGAGCGTAGGCGTGATTGATCTTTATCATTTTGGTCGTGAATGGGGCATACTTGGACTTCCCCAATGACGAGTCGGTCAATATCTTCACGATGGCTTCCCGAAATCCCTCTTGAAACGTGGCAGCAGCAACGGTGGCAGCCGGGGAAGCGAACATATCCAAGATATTAGAGAAAGAAGTAAAGTGAGGAGGAGAAAGTACTTAGGAGTTGTCGAGGAGAGACGACGGAAATGAGGACTCATTCATTCATTCATTCATTCATTTACCTAGCACGAGGTTGAGGTCAGACTTAATTAGTTGCAAGCACCTCTTATAGCTCGTACTTGGGAGTTGTCGAGGCGTCGAGAAGATGATGCAGGCGAGAAGATGTAGATGATGCAGATGGAAAGAGACAATGATGGAAAACGAACTTGTAGGTAACGAACTTGTAGACTATTTCTTGTCAGTAATCTTCAGCCTTACAGGCAAAAGTAGTTTTCTACCGGAATATAATTATGTTGTTTGTCTATATATGCGCATGCTTGCCATAACTGCAACTCCCTCTTCGACCATTCCGCGGCCATCCTCACCACTAGAAGAAGCGAGCTCAGCTAAAGATGAGGAACTTGTTTGTTGCATTCTGATCTTCGCACCTGCAAGCTCCAGCAACGGGACAGTTGCAGGTGGGGCCCCGACTGACAGGTTTCTTAGAGAAGCAGGAACTACGTGTGGAGATATTTCTTTCAAAATCGGCAAGAATTCTCTTCAAAATCCGCAAGAACAAGATCGAAGTGCTGTGGTGTACATACTAGAAGAGGACACGAAATCAAGATGGGTTTCTTAGAGAAGCAGGAACGTGTGGAGAGGATAGTCAACTTCAAACCCGACTTCGATCTTCTTGCGGATTTGAGAAAGGATGGGAAAATGGAAGGGAGAGGAGGGCAGGGTGGGACTTTGAAAGATGACGGAATACAGAAGATGGATTACTACACTCGGCGCCCCGAATGCACTGCGTGTAGGATGCGCAGCCCCCAGAAGCCGGAGTATTGGCGTGGATGATTGGATGACAGGCAGCACCGATTTAACGCTCCTACATTGGCTACGCCGAACACCTACGCTATTCTAGCATATCAACAATTCAAACTTCGATCTTCTTGCGGATCTGTAAAAATGAAGAAGGGTGTGTGCACCATACAATATCAACTCCCGCAGCAGCTGAGGCACGGTACACGAGAATGTTCGTGTAAAGGTCGATGCAAAGCCTCCCAGCTCGATCCATGCGGTCAATCGGATATTAGAGGAAGAGCGGCGGCCCGCAAGATGAGTTCATAAAGAAGTCGTGAAAAGTTGCTTTGTAGAAGACGTTAGCTTCTCCTGGTGAAGCTCGAGGAGCTCTCAGTTGTAGTTTAACAAAACGGAAGTAGATGTTGATGATAAAAAGTACTTCTAAAAATGAAGAAGATGGATCCGACAAGAAGAAAAAAATGTTGACCTACTCTCAGCAACATAACAATATTTCGCATCCGGGACCCGCTTGATTTCAGCCAAGATCTTCACTCGTGCTTGGCACTGCAGACATCGTGCTCTGAAGTGGCGCGCGAGATGCATCAGGTCGTTGTGATAGTTTTCCACCATTACTTCTTGGCTCACTGCTGGAGCTGTCCGTTCGGCTGACACTTGAGTTTGCTGTTGTTGAATGAACGAGGATCCCTGCTCCTCAGTGTCCAACATACCAACTTCTTCTCCATCGTCATCAACTACATCGTCATCAACATCGTCGGCGGGCATGTGCGGACGAACCTGTAAGAGGTTTTGAGAAACTCAAGAAAGGACTAAGAGGTCATAGACGACGTTGATTCTTCTCACGCTTTGGCTTTTCATCTTTTTGTTGCAACTGTATTTGTATTATATCGCAGGGCTGTTCTAGAAGTTCGCTACCTTAAAAGCGAGGGAGTCGAGGATGAGCGCCGTTTCTCGTTCAGCGTCATCGAGAAACGCTTCTGGGTCTTTGATTGCCGACTCAGCGACCATTGTCGACAATTCCTCTGTGGGAGTCTCGCCCTGCACCACGTTTCCACGACCCGCATCGAAAAAAAGGGTAGTTCTGCTAACCAGGAGTGCCAACAAGGTCGTTGCAGAAGCCGCAGCTTTTCTCCTTGCTGATTTCGAGAGAGGCCGCCTCCTGCATCGGTTTATTCTTGACCGGGCGGACGACGAGCACGAGAGCCATCCTAGATGCAGCAGCAGTTGTCCTCCTGACACCAGCGGTGGAGGGTGCGAAGAACATCTTGGAGCGCAAGATGCTCCCCATTTCTTCGAGGAGGCATCTTCCGCGACCGCCTCCTTCTCAGAGGCGTCGGCTTTCCCATTTCCACGTTGCCTCGTTGGGATTAGCATTTTATCCCGTCGTGGTCACTGCATGATCCTCGATACTACGCACCTGTGAGCCTCATGCGGCTGCATCTGCATCGAAAATCGAGGCGGGTCCATGATGTCCTTTTAATTGTATTTCTGACAGGTAATTGATGATGTGTCTGATGTAGTGCTGTAGCAGTTATTCACGCTTTTCTTGGGCGAACTCTCAACTCTCAGCTTCGACCGATTCTCTCCTCAGCAGGCGATTTACATTAAAATAGCTTTGTTCAGGCTCTTTCTCTCTCATTGTGATGTCCAATCAGGGACTTTAAATTTTCCGTGCACCAAAACCAATTCTCGTCATTTTCTCTCTAATACTCTACCAAGGTCGCGCACGATATTTCGATTTTCACACACAGTTTGAAAGGAGAGAGAGACCGTCGCCAATCTTCACCATCTCCATGACGTTTTTGGTTTCCGACGGTATGTTGCTTCCTGTTGTATCTCCAAGAGAATCCTGAGTTTTTCATGGTCTTTTTAGAGGTTTTTAGGATTAGGAGTGGTGCGTTAATAGCCCAGTTCTCTTGAGAGTCTCTCTGCTAGATTGCATCTCGGCGCCCATCATCTTGGCCCCTTTTACCTTGTATTTCATGAGAATACAAGGGAAACGGGTACCGAGATACCGAGAAAGATGGATAAAAGCTGACCTTAATCTCTTATCCATCAGTTAGCTTTCAATTATACGTAAAAATGCCTACCTGCTCCGCATCAAAGAAATTATTTTACCAAACACGCGTTAGTGATAAGCAACAAAGATCTGGTTCTGTGATTCTCACCCGCAGCACCGTGTCGCTACGAAAAAAAACGAGCTTACGACAGGCAGTCTTGCAGGTATCACCCCATCAATGTGGCAGTTAAACTATATGTCAACTACTTTTTCGTCACAAGCGAGAATGTCAAAAACGGATATTATTTCTACATCTCCAACTTGAAGACTTCAAGGAGGTCCAAAACTAGTTCTACCAAGTGTTCTTCTTTGTTCATCTAGGAACCCGCCATTCTTTAGTGTTCTTGAAGATTAATTGTATTTAGACGAGTACTAACAACTACAGATACCACTTCCCAACTACTATGTTTTTTATTCTTTTATTCATTCATTCGAACCACGTAGCAATTACAAGTAACTGCCTGGTTCCGTTGTGACCCGAGTAGAGCGTCACACGACAAGCTCTACAACTACTATGCTGGTCGATTTCACATCAAAGAAAACCACATTACTGATGACTATTCTTCATGATTTTCTTCATGCGATATTCTGGTGCTTATGTTTATGACTCATCAGCAGGCGACTGAGCTGGACTTGCGCTTTCCTCGTCGTCGTCGTCAGCTGGAGCTGGCTCTGTTCCCACTAGAAACGCCACCGACTTCGATCTCAGCTTACTATACGTGTTGTCGAATACCAGGACCATCGTTCCTGAAATTCGAATAGATTCTTGTATGGAGAATAGGGATCGTTTCAATAGTGATGGGAGAAAAACAAGGTGCCCTTGACACACAACATTATACCAGCGTTACTTACTAGGAGGATGTTTCCAATTCCAACATCTCAAAAAACGTTGTCGTATTTGTACTAGTCATGTCGTGTCATGATCCCTCTTGTCACGTCTTGTCTGTAACATTTAAGAGGCCGCTCAGCCACCCTGTACCTTCTATATCAGATAAGACCACAAAGGTGTATGAATAATAGTTGACCTTGCAGAGAATGTTCTTGGCTAAAAAAAGTACTTAAAAAGGAAAAATGTAAATCAGTCTAATAAAAGAGTAGTCTAAAAGTAAAAGTTGTAAGTACTATCTTCATCTGCCACCAGTAAAAAGGAAAAATGTAAATCAGTCTAATAAAAGAGTAGTCTAAAAGTAAGTCTAAAAGGGTCATTCATTCATTCATTTACCTAACATGAGGTCAAAATCTAATAAAAGAGTAGTCTAAAAGTACTACTATATAAGACGAGTAGTATCTATAAAAGGGTCTAAAAGTTGTACTATTATAAAAGTAAAAGTTGTAAGTACTAGTCTAAAAGGGTCTAAAAGTTAAAAGTTGTACTATCTTCATCTGCCACCCAGCTTCCTTCGATGGTATCAACATTGTCATAGCGCTCGACTGGCAAGACATCCTCCTCCACTGAGCCACCATCCTTCATAACTCGTACTCTGACGCCAAATCCAATATCGAAGTCCTTCACCCTGAAGCTCCATCGCATCAAAGTCCCCTTCTCCACAAGGTAGGCGGTCGTGAACTCGGACCTTGCACTTACCACGATATCCTCAGCACCACGGATCTGGAGGAGTAGAAGAGGTTGAGGTCCGTGGTGTTGTCATGTCATGTCATGTCATGTCATGTCATGTCATGCCATGTCATGTCATGTCATGTCATATCATGGCACCTCTTTTGTAGTATTTCGGGTCTACCGGAAGTTTGGTTTCGTTTCATGATATGTTGATGTTACCGACATTACGTTACGTCGAATCGTCGAGTTGGAAGTGCCAAGAATGATGATTGTGCCTATTCTAGAGGGTATTCTAGAGCTGTTTCTACTTTCTACTTCACTTTGCACTTCCTGATGTGATTTCTGTAGATAGAAAGAACGTTCTTTTTCTTTTTCCTGAGTAAGAACTGAGTGGTCACGGTCACCACATCCTGACTATTGTACCTTGATATCCGTCCACTTTTTCGCTGCTTCTTCTTTCTGGAGTAGGATTTCCTGTGCGGTTTTGCCCCACGCCAGTCCCATTTCATTCCTGACTTTGACGATCTTGCCCTTTCCCCGCTTCCAGAGAGCTTTGGTTTTCTCCGCGGTCTTCTCTTTGGCTTCCTTCGCTTTATCGCGGTACTCAGACGTCTTCTCCTCCAGCTTCGATTTCAACTCGCTCGTTTTTTCTCCGATTTTCTCCTTGGTGGCTTAGAAGAAAAACACGATGTTGACGACGTACTAGAAGTAAGTATTTTAAGATGTTGCTTGTAGTTTTTATGATCATTATAGAACATTCTTATAATTGTGGCGGTGCCGACCTAACTAGAAAAAAGACAGACCAGAGGAAGATGTAAAAGAGAAAAGGGCAACTGTCTTTCCTCCTCTTTTCATAATATTCAGCTGCTCTTTCTCCGATTTTCTCCTTGTATTCCTGTCCCTTCTCGAGTGCCAGTTTCACCCTTTCTAATTCCATGGCCTCCGCATATTTCCCCTTTGCTTTCTCAGTCGCCTGCGCTGCAAGTGTTTGCGTTTTCTCTGCGAGAGCGGCAACCCTGGAGATAAAAAGTGAATGTAAAAAAGGATTAAAATCATGGTCAAGTCAAAGAGTAGAGCGATTGTTTTCGCAATTCCACTTGTACTACAGCCAAAACTAATCGAACTTGCATGCGGGTCACTCATTCATTCAGTTGGCGACTTCGGCTGCCCTTCTCTTGCTAGAACTCTTTTTTTTTCCATAGGAGGACTATATGCCACCGCCCGTTTAAACAATCATATACCATCTCCTAAACAACTAGACAAATTTATTACATACTGGAGGCGCAGAAGACCGTACATCATCTCTGGTCATTTTTACTAAAACTACTATCTCTACTGGTCAGTGCTAAAACTACTACTATTTACCGTTCATTCTCCATAGCTTTCGCGTATCCCTCTTTTGTTTTTTCCTTGGTTTTGTCGATGATCTCTGTTCCCTTCTCGCTCAGATATGAGACCATGTTGCTGACTCTCGCGCCGACGCCCTCTGCCTTAGGCGGATCTGGCAGAGGCTCCGCAATCGGTGCTGGCTCTTCTCCCGACATTTGATGTGCAATATGTAGCAGTAGTAATAGGTTACCCACTCTAGAAGGGGTAATTAAGATTATATGTACTAGATGTTTTCTCCGTATGATGTATGTATGTATCAAAATCCTCTCAATTAAAAAATATTTTCAGAAGATTTTTCTGATCCATGTGTTAATGTGTTGGACCTCTAAACCCAGGAAGGCAAGATACAAAAGAGAAAAACACTAGTGCCAAAACAAAAAGTACGATCAGTACCACGAGCAAAAAATCGACGAGCACCTTACCAAGCTAGGGAAAAAAATACGGCAGCTGAAGTCTGCCCTAGGCAAGATACAAAAGAGAAAAACACTAGTGCCAAAACAAAAAGTACGATCAGTACCACGAGCAAAAAATCGACGAGCACCTTACCAAGGTAGGGAAAAAAATACGGCAGCTGAAGTCTGCCCTAGGCAAGATACAAAAGAGAAAAACACTAGTGCCAAAACAAAAAGTACGATCAGTACCACGAGCAAAAAATCGACGAGCACCTTACCAAGGTAGGGAAAAAAATACGGCAGCTGAAGTCTGCCCTCAGCAATTTGTTTTTCTCGTAACTTATTTGCTGACGGACAATTGGGGTCTATCGGAAGAGCAGGAACAAAAGGGCTGTTGGCATAAGCAAAGTCGTTCGCTGTTGCCGTTCTCGTGCTATAAGTAGTAGTACCTACTAAATTACCTTGCTGATATTCTCCAGCACCAGCTTGCTCAGCACCACCTATATAATGATTATCTTGCTGAAGATATTCTCCAGCACCAGCTCGCTCAGCACCACCTATATAATGATTTCCATCAACTATCTTCACAGGTGTTGGATCTCCACTACTGAAACTACAACTACCAAAGAAATGTTCCAAAAAGAAGGAAACCGTCATCTGTTTTTCGGAATTTTTTTTGGAGGGGCCGCAGTTCTACGTCGTTAGGATTAGGATTAGGATTAGGAGTTGGCTCGCTGCAGATCGATAGATTAGGAGTTGGCTCGCCGTCCACAGTTTGACCTGTATCCTCGGGCGAACGTCACTTAGACTCACTTAGTACTTTGGATATTCTTTCTTATAGATTGTAGAAGCTGGAGGCACACACATAGGCTGAGCCTGGTGGATCAAGAACTTTTAATATGCTAGACGACGGAGTCACAATCAACAAGAGTCATTATATGACATCAAATAAGCGTAAGTTTGGTTATGTTCAAAACCTGCAAAGTTTGTCGGATTTGGTTAATTGGCTTTTTCTCGGGTTTTTGATACATGGTATCGAACAACTGACCTACTTTTGTTGATCACTCGCAGCTGCTGCTCGTTTGAAACTCCTAGCGTTGCAATAGGAATAGCTACTTCTTTGATAAGACTCAACTTGCACTTGCGGCCGTTTCTCGCACCTACTCTCTCTCGTTCTATAGAAAAAACCTCAGCAGTACTAGATTCAACCAGCAACTAACTGCTTCTTGGTTGAACACAAGTATGACGCCTCTGACCTTACAACAAAAGCAGCCGATGCCGACCACGCTGCAGCTGCTGAAGAACCACAATCAGGTGTAAGAGGATCTAATTTTTTGATTTCTCTAGTAGTAACAAACAGACGACGTTGACTCAATATCCAATCTTGTTCCCTTCCCAAATAAAGCAGTACATGTGTGCGCAGGTTTTTCATGAACGAAGGTAGAGGCCATAGGCATACTCGAAATAGTTCTTGCGCTGTTTTCTTTGCGACCATGCCCATGGCGCTTGTGTCTTCGCTCGTGCTTCCGACGTACAGAGGTGAATCTCGCTCCGATTCATCTTAGCACGACGCTGCGTTTCTTACATGCAAGGCACGTCGCTCACTAGTTCTAGTACCGCTTGTACTAGCATCATTATGTTAAATCTCAGATGTTGATCTAAATCTATGCAAATCCTTGACGATAATTCTCTAGACATTTCCTGTTGTTGTGGTTTATTTTTCCTTGTTCTCGACGATTTTGTTGAATGAAGACAATCCTAAAAAAACCAAATATTTCCTTGCGAATACGAAATACTTCCAATGTTACTACTTCAATATCTGTTAGTTGTGCTTGACAGTGTCCTTGATGTCTTTGTTGATATGTTCTGATTCCTTTTTTATGATGTTCTTGGAGTAGTGTACCATGAGGTAGATGTGTTTTCAATCCATTACTACTTCATTATAGTGTTTCGATTTCTATTAACCCCAAATATCTATGGATGAGTCACCTATTTCAAACTCCCCCTCTACGTAACAGGTGCTCACCGTGATCATTAATTCTACTTAGAAAATTTTCAACGAATGTAGAGAGCAAATCCGATTTGAGAGGTCGTTCCATAGCAGCTCTCGTTCACTCTCCCTTTCTTTCGGTGCTCAGGCTGTGTTCTACTCATCATGCTGTGTGGTGCTCAGGCTGTGTTCTCATCATGCTTGTGCTTCTCCTTCCGCAATAGAAAGTAAATTTTTCTGCATGATCTAGTTCATCTCAGAGCGAACTTCTGCACGGGCACAACCTCCACGACCGAAGCTTTACTTTTACACAGTCCCATCGCGCATTGCCTTCTTGTTGATGAGTCGGGAGAAACCCGTTTTCGCGAGTGTGGCGCTGTAAACCGGAACTTCTTTCTCTCCCAACAAGGCAGCTGTGATTTCCTCCGAGTCCAGTTCTCCGCTGCAGTCCATGTCCAAATGGTAGAAAATTCTCTTCCTTCTCCTTATTGCACTGGCGGTCGACGGCCCCGGTGGGTAATGGATATTTCCCGCCATGGCTTGCATGAACTCTTGCGCGGTCACGGTTCCATCCCCGTTCGCATCCAAAGCAGAAAAGATTTGGGCACGCACTGCTGGGCTCGTGATGTCACCAAATATCTCCTTCAAATGCTGTTGCAAGTTGTTCAATTCGACATCCAACGGGACACGCTTTTCCGCCAATTGCGCGTCACGAATCTGCTGTTCCTCCAGTGCTTTGTCGTTGTTGAATTTGCCCTTCTCGCCAAAGCCATCTCGCAAGGCCTTGGGGATCTTCTTGTTCGCGCCCGCCGCGGACAAACGACAGCACCAAACCTTATCGTGCTTAGCCCACAAGTCCTTGTCGTCGAAGCCGTCCTGTTGGGACTGCGAGATCCACGACCCGAAGTTGTCCGCACTCCGCAGCACCCACTTGTTCAGGTAGATCTTGTCGCTGTTGCGCTGAGACTCCGTATTGGTTTTCTTGCGAGACGCGTTGTCTCGGTTGCGGAGGAGGTTGTTGTAAGCTTGCCGCATGCTGTACCGCTTGCGCCCGTCCGGGCCCATCACATAGCATTCCTCGTCAGTGAAGGTCACCTTCATGATCCTCTTGTAAAACTCTTCTTCCTTTCGGTCGTCCCTGTACTCTTGAACCTATAGAAGATGTAGATGAGGGGAAGATCATCAATAATTTTGATGTTGATGGTGATCATGAAGATGATCATGCCGAACGTAGTTGATGGTGATCATGCCGAACGTAGTTGATGGTGATCATGAACAAGATACAAGACGTGGTCCTTGTACTCTGTCTTGATTGACGACCCTAGTCCTAGTCGTGCCTTGGAAGATATTACAGGAGAGGGATGATCAAAATGATAGTACAACTATTTTGAAACATGAGCTTGGAGAACATTTTACTGATGTTCGAGGAAATGCTGGACCAAGTATCTACAACAGGATTGTCATGAGCATCAAGGCAGGATGACCACAGCCGAAGTCAGTCTGTGAGTAAGCCCAGAATTGTTCATTGTTGTAGGAAACGTGGAACCCGTAAGACTACTAGGTGAGCCATGCAGGAAAGTATGTTTCCGGACTTTCAGATGATCTTGATCTTGATCCTGAACTGACCTCAAAAATGCTGCTACGTTGATGAGATAAGAAATTGTCATGAGCAGAAAGGCAGTATCTTGACTACAGGCGAAGTCAATCTGTGAGTTAGCCCAGAATTGTTCATTGTTGTAGGAAACGTGGAACCCAAATGATTACAAAAAAATCATGCAGGAAAGTATGTTTCCAAAGTGGCACAGATCTACCGCCTGAGGTATGCATGTGTAATTCCTAGGAACAAGACTGATCCTGGTCAGGGAAGATTAAAAAGAAGATCCTGACATTGCTTGTCCATCATAACAATTCTAAATAGAAGTAGTAAGAGTAAGTACCTTTGCCGAAATTTCCGCTGGCGAAATGCCGAGTACCACTCCAAATTCCTCGAAAGAGAGGTCCCCGCTTTTATCCGTATCCAACAAAGTGAGCAAATTTGCGCGTCGTTCTTGGTTCAAAGGGGTGCGGAAGTAGTCGGGGTAGCCCAATCGGGAGAGCCCCGTCTGAAATTCCTCCATGGACACCGAATTACTCTTGTCGTCATCGAGCTTCATGTAAAACTTGTACCACCAGCTGGTATCGCACGCGCCGTCAGCACCTCGCATCATCTTTCCGTATCGGTGCGCAAGCCACGCACGGAAGTACAGCAGCTCATCCCCCTCTGGGACCAGTTGGTATTTCTTCATCTTGTCCTTCTCTTCTGCATTCTATTAGAGCTCTCACACAGATATCATTCCATCGTGAAGAAAGTCAGAGTCACTTTGGATTGTTTTACACGGAACAATAGTATTCTTATCCGTGTTATTGTGAAATAAAAATAGTAACTATCCGCGTTAGACCCCGTACATGGTCACTTGAAAGGCATCTTGGATTTTTCACATAGTATTCTACTTATCCGTGTTATTGAAACAATAGTAACTATCCGCGCTAGACCCCTTGCTACATGGTTAAGTACTTGAAAGTCACTTTGGATTGATTGTTCACACAAAATAGTATTCCATCGTGAAGAAACAAGTCATCTTGGATCCGTTTATTCCCCCTTACACGGGAGGTGGTCCAAGATGCTGCTTCTCAAAATAATGGGAGCTGACTTGTTGCGGAAGTCTTAATTGTAATAGGTAACCCAATGCACAGTCTCCTTTGCGCGCTGCTTCGGAGGCATGCCTGCGACCGGCTTTTTCCAGATGGGCATCCGACACGTTCCCTGCAGTGGTGGATCCAACCAGACACAAGCGCCAGCGCAGTAGACCACCTGCAATTTAATTCTGATCTTGCATGTGAGGTCATAGACTTAGACATTGAAGATAGGGCTATAAGGTTATAGACTGGCATTGAAGAAGATAGAGCTATAAGGTCATAGAAGACATTGAAGAAGATAGGGCTATAAGGTCATAGACTCCTGGCATTGAAGATTTTTATAGAGTTTGTTAAAAGTGAGTGACAGCCTCCCTCCCCCGTACCTGTTCCCAATCCTATTCAGTTGAGATAATGAAATTGCTGAAACCTTCAGTTTCATCTACCTCAGCAGAAAAAAGTTGTCAGAGTAGTTTGCTACATCATCTTCACGCTCCTGAAAGTATTGTTTGTACCTGATTCTGTATCAAATCGCTTCCGGTGAGTCTGCTCAACGTCGAAAGATCGCGTTGACACTTCAACGATGGCGCCACAACCCAAAAGGAGGACCCAACTGGTGGATCCGTGTCCACCTCAACGTCCTTGAGCACGCTGTCCAGGTCCTTGGTCGACCGCACAAAGTTCCCATGCAAGGACTCGTCCTCACGAGAAGCAAAGTTGGTCTTCGGCATTTTTGTGTTCGTGATCAAAATAACAAGTAGAAAGAAGAGTAGATGAAGAGAAAAAAGGTTACAAGGAATAGGAGTACGAGTGGGACGAGAGTAAAAATGTTATCATTGCGGTTAAATATAGGATAGGGAGATCTACTATGAAATCATCAATTATGTCGTCATCAAATTTTCATCAATATATAATCTTGGGGTGGGGTAAAGTCAACAAAAGGGGGAAAGCGCCTTTATATCTAGATGTTGAAATAAAAGGGAAATGTAGGACATTGAAAGATCGAAAATTGGCGTGGATCAAAATCAAAAATCAAGAGTTGACTTTCATCAGGTCAAAAATGTAGAATATCTCGTTCTCTCCAACATCATGCCGGTGAGGAAACAGAAGCCTGCTCTCCTTACGCTCTCCAGATTCTTGATGTATCCTTTTACTTTTTCAAGATATTCAGACATTCAGCACGTCACAGAGGAACCAGGAACAGTTGATCATCTTCGCTCCTAGTTGATCGTCTTCGCTCACTCGCAATGGAGTTTGATATATTTCTCTCATATCTACGTCTAGCTCAAGCGGTTGATGTAGAAACCGTCGTGAACACGAAGACACTCCATGTCGATGTCCCAATAGTACATCAACGCTCTCGACTTTCTCATGATGCGCATCGTGCAGGTTCATAATGCGCATCGTAACACGGCTAATTTCAGAAACAGACAACATCTTCAACAAGAGTCGTGGTCAGAATCAGATAACAGGGAATCAGACAAGAGTTTGTTGTATCTGTGCAAAATCAGACTTAGACAACAGGTTGCAGTATCTGTGCAAAATCAGACGTAGACAATAGGTGCTTTACTGAGTTTGGTTTATTCTATTCAGACAACAGGAACTTTCTCTATTCAGTTAGACTTAGACAGAAGCAACTACAGAGAGGAATATCACAATTACCGCGCCCAGCGTCATCCTTTTTCCCGATCTCGATTACGCGTTCGCGCATGTCGAGTTGTCGGAGGCAGCAGATCATGAACACAAAAATTCACTAAATTTGATCACAGCAATTTTGATTTTTGAAGAAACGCAGCGTGCTGCTATTCTCATGCTCCCGCAATACTGCTCTCCTGCCTTGCGGCTACGGCGCGCGCGAGACGCTTTAATTGCTCACGACGATTGTTATGGGATCCCAAATACGTTTTGTACATCGCCTGCGCCGGAGGTTCTATTTTCGTGCCAGCCTTGTAAATCAGGTCGAAGCCGCCGACCTGTAGTTAGTAGTAGTAGTAGTAAACCCATTCTAGGGGTACATACATCTTATTTATTAAGATGGTACTATTTTTTTTTTCAGCGATAGAACCGATTTGGTTGCAATAGAAAGGCAATGAACAACCAAGAAGTAGCGCTTTCTTCACAATTATTGTAAACTGTTCCTGTTGTACCTGTTCATTATTATTCGATAATGAGGAGGGTGATGAATTGTTTAGATTGTAGGCGCTTTCATTAGTTAGTTACTAATTCATTTCTTGATAATGATTATCTCAGGTAGTTGTACTTATTACTAAATGCTCCTGCTCCTCAGGGTACTGAATCTTGAAATTAAACAAGTACATATTAATACCTGATCCTCGAGCTGTCCTCGAAAGTAGTTTTCCAGGTCTAGGACTGTCAACGTGTCATCCAGCAAGCCGAACTTGAGCTCGTAGTCTTCTCGTGTTGTGGCTGTCAGACTGGGACTGCGCTTTTTAGACTCGTCGGAGCTAGACCATAAGACAGAACAACCCACAAAAATCACTGTCTAAACCTGGAGCTTCCTGTAGTAACTCACCAACATATCTGTGGAGTAAGACATCTGCATCTGTCGACTAGGACTGCTCTTCTCCCGTAGGAACTCGACATATCTGTGGAGTAGTGGTATTCTCCTATAAGTAATTAAGCCTTAATATTCACTTCCAAAAGCCATGGCTTCAAGTCGCTGGCTAGGATGATATCAAACCCGTAGAGCTCGAAACAGTGTTTGTCTGAGATTATGTTAAAGGTGAGCAATCAGTGTTCACTGACTCTGAAAGAAAAGGGCCCCCCACGCCTCTCCCTTTCTTTTCCCTTCGTTTTCCCCTGTTCTCTCTGCACGGGTCTCCTCCTTCGATCGACTCAGTGACCCCAAAAATCTAAATGGTCGTGACCAGTGAAATAAGTTGAGCCTTAATTATGGCACTTTGGACGGCAAACAGGCTTCGCAATATGCACTCCTGGATATCGTAGAACATCTGATTCACGCTCTCCCGGCTGTAGGCTGTGATTGTTAAAGATGGTGGACCTAGTATGGAGCATCTCTAACGGCGGATGGAGCGGAAGTTGTATTGTACTAGCTAAAGATGATGTATCCATGTTGACAATAGCAACTGGAGCAGAAGATGTTGTAGACCATAGTATAATGGAGCGTATCCATGTTGACAAGATGAAGACACAGTTCCAGTTGCAGATGACATTGTGACGACAAATACAATGGAGACCTCAGCTACTAAGGAAGAACATCATACTTCGTGAAGATGTGATCGGTAGTTTGATGGATAGGTGAACAGGAGGCCAACGCCTAAACCACTAAACATAAGTATAGATAGCTCTTCAGATGTTGGTCTCGGTCCCCTCAACATGAGTATAAATAGCTCTTCAGATGTCTAAACCACTAAACTTACGAAGACCTCCATGTTGCTCGTTGCTCAGACTTGGTCCCCTGAACATAAGTATAAATAGCTCTTCAGATGCTGCAAGTCCCACTTCCCTCCCCTTCTTTCGTCATAGTTTTCCTGATTCTTCTGGATAGCGACGTTGGTCAGATGAATAGCATTATTCTCGAGGTCCGACGCCTTCATACTGAACCGCGACCCACTGAATCGCGCAAAGCCACTACGATAGAGGTACACCTGTTCAAAGGAAGAGAGAGATGTTGTAGGCGTTGATGTAAGCTTTGAAGCGGAGAGAACAGTGCTTGAAAAGAGTGAAGACTACACCTAGAGGTAAAGCGCCTGAGTTTGATCATAAGGGAAAACAAGAAGAGAACCCTTATGATCAAATTCAGGTTACCAAATAGTACCAGAACCATCGGCGTTGATGTAATTATGGGAACAAGAAGTAGGTTGTAAGTAGACCTGTTCTTTTAAGGAATTCTTGTAGTTCTTGGTGCTAATGATTATGTTCTTAATGTTACTAGAGTTGGCACATTTAAATTTATCGAATACAACGACTGAATATTTAATTTTAAGGTGTGCCACAAGTGGACTCCAGCTTGTCACTAAGAAGACATAAAACAAGTACCACAAGCGGATTCCAGCTAGTCACTAAGACGTAGAGCCGCAAATCAAATTTCCTTCCTCCTATGAGCAATGGGTTTGCGATATACCTCTGAACTACATAGGGCTCTACTTCTTTCCTATCGGACTCATGCTCTCCGTCTGCTTTTCTGTTAGAGCTGTCCGTAATTCATCTTTCAAGTGCATCCTTGAAAAGTACTATGGGAGAGTATTATTCCCTTAGGTGGATACTCCTCGCCCATACATTTCATCAAGGATGCGATGATGTCCAAAATTGTTATAGGTATACTAGCCTTAATTCTGCTCCACCTAGGTTCTTGCGGTTTCCAATCTGAAATAGCCTTCAACGAATCGAAGAGAAATATACCCTGTTCGTCGTTGTTGTACAACAGCGCGTAGTTCTTACTTAGGGGGGTCCATCCGATCCATCCAAGTCCATCCTACATGATCCGTTCTATAAATTATTCTAGTATAATATGTCATGTATGTGCCCCTGATATCGCCTCTGTCGTGACGACCGTAGGGTTTCAGTCTGCAAATGATCACGACAACATCAACAGCCTAAGTTCTGACGGTACAGCAACAAGTTCTTGTTGCATGCTACATTTCAGTATATCGGTAAAAAATTCACAAAAAAACAAGAAGATGGGATAGGATTACGTAAACGTATGCTAAATTCTTTTAGTCCTTACGATGATGTTAGTCGGTTCGGATTGGACCTACGACTTCCTTGAATCTTCTTTGAGTTCTACGAATTTCTCTTTTAGTACTTATATCGGTAAAAAATGCGCAAACGCCAACAAGATAATTATACTTAAGTACACACAACATCAATTATACCTTTCCCTGCGCCTTCCCCACTGGTTTCATGATCCAGTGTTTTCCATTCGATTTCTTCTTAAACTCCTCAACGAACATAGAGTACTCTTGAGGCAGTGAGTACGTCACAGGCGTTATGCCCATGAAAGCTTCTGCTTCCGCAGCATTGCCCATTCTTTTTAAAGCTTAAGCTGCTAGGAGTAGGACCACGACCTCTTACTTCTGTAATAAGAATATCCATCCTTGTGGGCGGCACGTGGGGATTTTTTGAATATGTTACAGGGTTCCCTTGTACACGGAAGCAAGGAGGAGGGATCGTCCCCATAGCCATACATTTACATGAGTAGTTGTTCTAAGTAAATGCGAATTATAGGATCCCCATACATGATAGTACATAGTATAAGTAGTTGTTCTAAGTAAATGCGAATTATAGGATCCCCATGCAATACAATACAATTAATCCCGCTTTTTTTGTATCGTGAGCGAGTTCCGATAAATCAAAACCTACCTGCGTACTTTGCAAGCGAGTTTCGCACAAAGTTCAGTGCAGACTGCCTTCTAAATGCGAATGATTCGCATCCATACATAAACATAGCACATAGTATAAGTAGTTGTTCTAAGTAAATGCGAATGATTCGCATACTAGGGCCTTATTTTCTCCGCATTTTTCTTCGCTCTCTTCACGTGCTTTATCAGAAGATCCTTCCGTGTCAGCTCAAAGTGGTTCCGGAAATGGTTCACGCGCTGCTGCGGCTGTGGATGATGTGGCGAAGAGAGTGCGAGGTTGAGATTAAAGTTTGTTATACAACTTGATCTCGAATGAATGAATGTGCCTAACAAGAGGTATGTGCCTAACAAGAGGTATTCTAATTTCTTTTTTAGAGCTTCTTGAACTTATCAATGACGCCATTCTTGTTTGAAAATGAAGCATTGACGATATCTTTCCTTTAATACAACGAAGACAGGCTTACAACCTGAACCTACGAAGATGAATGGCCACAAAATAATTTAAATAGCGTTCTTCTTGGTCGTTGTCTTAGTACCTGCAAATGGACGTAGTCAAGCTGTTCATGGATCCACTCCTTGTCGCACCAATAGATATCCCAATCGAGCTCAGCGTCCGTTTCTCTGTAGCCTCTTGATCTCAGAACGTCCAGCACCGTGTTGTGGAAACTGGTTTTGAACTTGATCTCCCGGTCTGGCTGTTTCTTTAGGTACTGCCGCAGAAATTCCGACATTGTTCTTTAGTCAGAATTTTTCACGAGAACCAACCACTTGTTACCGGCTTCCAACTCTGCTGAGTAGGATACACGATGTGTTCCTTCAGCTCGGAATGTCGCACGAAATTGCCGACAAACAGCACAAACGAGGACTTGTTGATGACACTTACTCTCTATGCTTATTCTAGTACCGCAAGAGCAACCGACTTGCGCTAGTTCGGGAACGGTAATCCGTTCTTATACTAGTACCGCAAGAGCAACCGACTTGCGCTAGTTCCGGAACGGTATGACGTTTGATCTAGACTAACCAAGCATCTTCAAGCTATCATGCTGGCAAGGCGTTGGCGAGAAGATCACTGCTGATTAGTGGTTGCCCAGACTGATGACGCTTCAAGCTTCGTCTTTCTAGTCACAGGCTGTCTGGTATGGTTATCGCTTTAAGGGGAAAGAGATCTCAGTAGCGTTCTACCTGAAGCTCTCTCACCGGACTGAGTAAGTAGACGACTCAAGTAATCTTCCTCCTGCTTAGTACAATAAAGCTGAAAACCTGCGCGCTCACGCGAGAGGCTGACTGGGCCTGCCGCTCTTGCGCTACTTGTTCATCTTGTTCATGTGTGGAGCTTTCTTTCTTCTACAACGATATGGCTATGCTCGAATATGGTCTCGCCCTCAACCTAATCATTAAGCACTGAGTTTCACTGCCTTGTCAATTCAGGTAACAATTCTAGCGCTTTCTTTGAAGAGCAGGCTCTGAAGAGAAGCAGCGTATCTTACACACTGCTGACGCGTCTGCAAAGCTCTTCGCTACTGCCCCTGTGCTGACGCCGTCCGTCAACGAAGATAAACCGAGGATAGCAGCTACTGTATACTCAGTCATGTTGTCGACCTCATTGACTTCGAACGTCAATGAGCCTGCGTGTGCGTGCTATCAAATCAACTGAGCTCATACTTATCGTTATCGCCCAATTACAATTACAAATTTTCCGATTAGTTCGACGCACCAGCAGCGGTGGGCGCAGAGAAAGCAAACACTTCACAGACACAAAGAGAAAGCTGTAGAAAGACTGAAAAGATACTTATCGCTATCGCCCAACGTGTGGATTAGTCATCGCGGTTTTTGTTTATTAGAGATCGGGCCGCTTTTCTGCGTGCTGGTAGTTGTGGCGCTTCGTGAAATTCACCACACTCTTCAGAAGTTAGACCGTATGGTTCTGATTTTTATCATTTTGTTTTCGGTTCTCCATTCAATAAGTATATTATTCAATCAGGTGCTTCTCCTCAGAAATAAATCAGAGGAAATGCGAGCACGGGTATACTTGTTACTTATCTCGTGGAAACGCGCTACGTGCTTCCAGTGTCGCCAATACTTCTCTGCCTGCACAGCTTTCGCGCAATCCTATAGTTTTTGGGTCAAGGCAGTGGGAGGACGTACGCATGAAGGTTTTTGAATCCGGTAATCCATATACATATAGTCAACGATTAAAAACAGAGATAAGACGAAGCACCAGGATCAGCAGAAAGTAGAGCTTTAGCGACACCTTTCTCAGCAGTGTTCGAGTTTGTGTTTACCTTAACTAGTTACAATTACAATTACAAGTTTTGCGAAGGGGGTTATGGCGGGCGGTATACTAAAAGTATGACCCACGTGTTCTCCAGGAAGCTGCCCGGCGATGGTGGGAGTTCATTAACCTCCTATTCTAAACGCTACTTACCTATTTTGCACCATCGATTTCAAAATGATCAAAACTAAGAGCTTGCAGAAAGCTGTCTGCCTCTGAGGACGCACCAGCAGTGGTGGGCGCAGAGAAAGCAAACATTTCACAGACACACAGAGACAGCTTTTGCCAGTCATTTTGTTAAATATAAACACGAAAGAAACCGCGAAGACAAGATGTTAAGCAAATGAAAAAAGAAGGAAGGTTCAAAAATGTCAGCAGTGTTTGAACCTGTGTTTGCATTGGCTAGGCAGACGTATGCCAGTCAACATTTTGTTAAATCTAAACCCAAAAGAAATCGTGAAGAAAAATCGCTAAGCAAAACGCTATGACCTTCTGCTTCTTTTTGATCTCTTCATTAATAAACTACCCCTGTGTCAGTCTGCACTCATTCGAGGAGCTAACTTCATGTTGTAGGCCAGGAGAATATAACTACTCATGAGGAAGCTGAAAAATCATCGGGCTGCATCTGATCCTTTATTCGAAAGAACCGGAGGTCCAAGACTCAACAACACCAAGCACCAAAACGATGCAGCATCGTCAGACTTCAACGTGTTCTTGATGTGGATCGGGTTGAGGAGGAAAGTTTTTCTGCGCTAGATCGTAGAAACACTATTCGGAAGAACTATAGAGCCCACGGCATACGTGGTTAAGTAAAAGTGGCTGAGCGATACTCTGCTCGGGATCTTGGAAGGCGGGAAGCTAGATACAGAACACCGAGTCTCTGGGACCTGCACTATCGTTGTAGCCACTCCTTTGGACTCAACAACTACAACTTTGGTTTGTTCGGTTGACGAAGGTCTAACCTACTTGCAACGCACGGTGTGGAAAGGGGTTGGCGGAGGCCTAACCTAAACAACTCAAAGTCTTTGTGGTTCGTTTATGTCTTTCCAAAACGTCACTTTGGTGTGTCGTGTTTAAGTCCCGACGAAGGTCTGGGATCAACTATGTAACTGTTCTTCGTGGTTCGAACTACTACTAACAACACTGCGCGGAGGCGTCAGTGACTAACCCTTTGTTGCGCGAAGGCGTCAACAGTTACACTTACAGCTGCGCGGAGGCGTCAGCAACAATAGTACAAACAAGATATGTTTCAAATGATCACTACGGACTAGTTACGTTCTAACTATCTTGTTTAGTTCTTAGCTTATGGTTGGACGGTGTTCAACTATATGTAATTCTAGTTTTGGATATAACTATGCTTGCAAAGGATGTTATGTTTCAATATCGGAGATCAATCAACAATTTATATGATATACACCTAGGCCGACGGGCTTACCAAGTGATTTACAATCCTAAGTTTGGCTGGGTTGTGTGAGGATTTGTTGAGGCTCTTTTACTTTCGATCTATGTTTCTCCAAGTGAAATGCTCAACAACTTCATACACAACCTTTCGTTCAACAACTTCAACTTTCTACTTCATCATCAAACAGCAAGTTTCAGACTCAAGGTCGACTTCGATCACGATTTCGATCATTGCACGCATTGAAATTTCCACGTTTGAAGTCGACTTTCTTCGCACGTCTTTAGTTCGGATCTTCGATTCGTGTTTTGATTTGCTTTTCTTCTTTTCGACCGATATCTGGATCCTGTCTAGCTTTGACTACCACCTTCCAATCACCACCTTAGAGTATGTCGTCTACCAGTTCACATATAATCGACCAACGCCTCTTCGGCATAGTCTAAGGTGGTGCGGTTAATCTGTTGCGATGGAGGCAACTAGACTACCGTGGTCGCCATGGAGAGGCGCTAGTAATCCAACAGGAAATTTGGGTGTTTCGCTTGTTTCCCATTGGGAGTCCTGCATGAAACGATATATCTGCGTGAGTGGCTTTCCTGGCTTCACGTTTCCGAAAGCTAACACGTGGTCCAATGTAAATCCAATCGATGGGTCCGTTCGCGGTGGCGTAAACGTGTACGTGTTTGCTTTATCTGAAACGGTGATTGGTATTCGTTCGAATTTGGTTTCTTCGAGCATTTCGTTGAACAACGCATGTTCTTCCTGCGTGAGCGACGGGATAAGAGCTCCTTCTTCATCTACCCGGGGAGCATTTTCCGAGATTCCTTCTCGATTCAAACTATGTAGTGCATTGAAGTCGCCAGCCACGACAATCGGGGTTTCTCGACCGATATCATCGCGTAATCCGTTTAGAAACTGCGCGAGGTTCCTGTCGAAGATTTTCCGGGTCACCAGCCGTCTGAGTCCAGGGCGGCTGTTCACGGAGTACACACCGACTGCCAGAACGTGGGGTGTTTGTACGCTAATGATCCGCCCTTCCATTGACGCGCAAAAATCATGGGTTCCGGTCGGTTGCAGCAACTCGGTCTTTATCGTTCCTTTTGCTGAAGCTCGTGCAAGAGCTGCGACCCCGAAGTTCCCCGGTCGTAATAATGCGCTGGCAAACTTGATCTGCCAGTCATGTGGTGCAGCGTCATTTACGATCTCTCGTAACGTGTTGGTCCACCGGGCTTCGTCTCTTGTCGCGATTTTTGTTTCGAGTAAGAATATTATATCTGCCGTGCGCAACAGCAAATACAATCGTCTCCATCGTGGGAACGATTCGAGTGTTCTGTTGAGCCCATCGATGTTCCAGACGGCGATCAGCAAATTGTTGTGACGTTTGTATTCGATCTCTGCGAATCGTACATGGTCCGATAACGTAACCTGCTCGCCAATCAGCTCGAGTTCCGATTCGTATATTGCTCCGAGATTTTGGAGTTCATAGAGGCGTTTTTGTGTTTCTTCTTGTGAACACCCCGAACCGCGCAAGTACGCTCGGACGCGTGATAGTGTGAGTCGCAACGGAATCAATTGTGACGCTGTAATGGGGTTCAAGCCCCGGCACGGTCGACCGTCGAGTCGTTGAATATATGCTGACCGCGCACAACCTCTCGTGATGACAAAAATTTGTCTGATGTATCTAGATTCCCATTTCCGGGGTGCAGGACGTAGTCGTGCGATAAACTGCCCGCGGCCTAACCACATAGAAAGGTCATTGCGGGGTTCGGCCATGCGGGTTTTGCGTTTCTTCAAGTTGGAGGCTTCTCTATGTGCCGCTCTTGTCGCAGTTGCCAACGAAATATTCAACGAAAATTCTGCCCCCTTCTCAGATGCTGTTGCCTGTGGAACGGTTTCGCAAATGAGGTGTGGTTCGTGCAATCCTGTGCGGAGTCCTCGACCTCTGTAGCCGACAATGTGACTAGCATCTCCTGTTAATCGTGGTCGGTCAATGATGTGGCGAACGACAGCGTTCAGTCGTGTGTCCCATGAAGAATCGTTTTGCAAATCTGTTACTGCTCGTTCTTCATCGAACTGCCATGCTGAAAATCCGTCGTCTTCTTCGGCCCGGACAAAGCAATCGACGGAAAACAAGTTAATGCGAACACCTTTGTTAACCTCCGCATGTGGTGCTTCGACGACTTCTTGCGCTTCGGGTTGGTAAGCGGCACCGTATGCGATTTGAGGAGGTTCGATTGATAGTTCAGAAAGGTGGAGGCGACGCAGGTGTTTTTCGAATTCTTGTAAGAAATGTGATCCGTTGTCGCACCGGATTTCGGTATATCCCCCAAATTCAGCGTATTTGTTAATTCTGAATACCTCCTGAGCCGCGGCTTCGGCCGTAGCCTCTGGGAGCGCTGTGGCCCACATCACCGGTGACGCGGCGTCGACAGCTGTGAAAATGCACGTGTTTCCTGCGGAACTTCGCGGCAAGTGCGTCATGTAATCTATGAACAAGGTAGTCCCTGGAAATCCAACTGTGGTGTGGTCGCCGCGGGGCACGCCCGGTGCAGGTTTGTGCGACGACGTGTACAAACACTCAAGGCAATACTCGACGAGTTCCCTCGCGACTTTGAGGACATCGTCATGAAATAATCGGCGTTGTCCGAGTAACAGTGCCAAGCCAAGTGGTCCCTCGTGGAAACGGGACGTATGTACAAAATCAAGCACCTGTCGCAAGACGCTGACATCTGATGCTCCGAGGCATTGTGGGACGACTGTTCGTGGAAGCCAAAGGAACCATCCGCGTCGCGCGCGATGAACGTAGACTAATCCGCCATCAATCGCAAACCGCCGCGCGTCAGCAATAAGTTGTCGCAACAATCTGTCATTCGTTTTTTCATTTCGTGCTTGCCTCGCTCGTCGCAATGCCGACGTTAATTTCTCTTCGGTGAGTCCGCGAGAAAGAGCATCTTCGATGTCGAACAGATGCGCAAGTTCTTTTCGCGAGCCTTGTGTAATCGCCTGAAGTAGATCTCCCGGAAGCGTCAGTGTGTAGGAGGGTCTATGTTGGTAAAATGCAACCATGCACGGTGTCTGAGTTTCGATACCGCGGCCAACGATTTTCACACATCCGGGAATAATACACCCAAAGTACAGCACTTTCGCATCCTTTAGCACCGCGACGCGAACGGAGGAATCAGGGACCTCTGCATAGATAATGTCTTGCCTGAAATCCTCTTGCTGGTCCCGGTGGTCGTGGACCTGTACAGCCGTCACCGTTTGTAGTCGTGTTTCTGGGAACGCGGTCTTATATAATTTTATCCATGCCCACGCTTCAACGGAGTCGTGGTTATGGGTGCCACCACATTGGTCAGGTGCATCTTGCCATATTGTGGCCGCGATATCCGCAACACGCTTCCGACGTCCACTTGTTGGATCTGTTGTCGTTGTATGGGTGTCTGCCGGTAAGTCGACCACAGGTGTTTCGACCTGAGGTGGTGGGTCATGTTGTTCGGGCTCATCAGGTGCGGCGCCGATCTGTATTGGCGGCGGTCGGGGAACAGTTTCGCGTGGTCGACCCGCGTCTGGCACTCCGACACCTCGTCGAATGTCTTCTTCGTCGATAGTCCGCCCGCAAATGTAGTAATGGGCGTTGCCATCGATTTGTGTCAAGGTACAACTTGCACATTCAAATCCCGCATACGGGAACCCCGCAAAACACCGGGTCCCAGCAGGCATGAGCGAGACTCTATATCCACCTCTCCGGCTGGCAAGCGCTTCCCACTGCGCTTGTGTTTCAGCTCCCTGGACCATATCGTACACAACATATTCTGTCGGTCGTGGCGGGTGTTGTGCGGTTGGGAACAACGATGAAACAATTCTTTTGAATCGTTTGTAAGGGCTGTTCTCGTCCGACACCCCCCGAAACCGCAGGTCACGTCGCCCTTCCGGTGGGAAAGGGTATTTTGGACGAATCGACAATGCGATACTGTCCTGCCCTTCCGTTCCAACCCGACCTACGTACAAGGACAAGGGTTTTTTTAGCGGGAATGTCACGGGAACGGTAGGCTTTTCGCGCGGTGCAGCCGTCTTTCGTTCTTCGAAGTTTTGTGCTGAAAGTGGTGTTATCGTTGTCAAACATTGCGACGTCCTCTCTGAATTTTTCAATTTGTTATATCCACTTGCTGTGACCTTCGTCAGCCCCTGCAACATTTCTCTCCAGACATCGGCGCACGAGAATAACGGCAACACCGCTGGCATAAAGCCGCGATTTAGTTCTACTGCTTCGCAAATTAATCGCCCAAGTGGATCTCCTTGTCGGACTGCTAGGAACATGGCGGAAATGTGGATCGGGACTCCATGTATGAACGAGACATGATCGGTCAACAAACCCTCGAGGAGCATCTCCAGTAAGTGGAACTGAAGGATGCGGCCAAGAATGCCTTCTAGTTGTATTTTCCGGAATTTGCCCCACGAAGTGTATTGAGGCTTCGGGGGGTGGTATGCTCGTGCAATCGTGATGGTGGGGAATTCTTGTCCCTCTGCCCATAGGGCCTCTCCAAGCACAAGGCAGACTTTAACCACCATCAATCGTAAAAAAACAGGCAACGTCTTTTCGAATTTCTGCAATAAAATTTTGGCTGTTCGATCGTGCCACTCCTTAAAGGAGTCGGCGGTCCGACGGTTGCGGGCTTTGTCCAATCGTTCTTTCATCCGTTGGATTATCTCTTCGCCAGTCGCATTTTGTGTAATCTTGGACCGAAATTCGCGGACGTTCAGCTGCACTTCGGGCTGCAAATGCCTGAACGACGCCAGCGAGACATCTTCTGTCGGGAATGGTGTCTCTGCGGTTTCGTGGGCGTCGTAATTCTCAAGCTGCACAAATACGAGGAACCGCGGTTGCAGTCGTTTCCCGGTTGTGAGGTCTGTCACAAGGATTTTTGGTGTGACCGACACGGGTCGATTACCCAACGCGGTCACGACAAACTCGACTCCTTGCTCGATTTCCTCAATTGAGAGGACGGTCAATGGAGGAGAGCAAGTGACTTCGGTGATCGTTGAGGCGAACGCGATCTGCACGGAGACTCTTTGCGCCGGTAAGTATTGGCCAATCTCTCGGATGCAAAGCAGATGCCGGGTTGCGAGATTAGGCTGCAAAACCGACTTACGGATTGTGTGTGTTGAGCAAAGCTGGCAGGCCGTAAGGAGACCTTTCAAACCATGATCAACCGGTGTATGGGTGGCATTCGGAGCCACGGAGCACACAGAATACCGCCGGAATGCCGAGACCGCCTCTTCTTTGACCGTCTTTGCAGGTTGTGGTGCGATTTTCCCATGTCCATATAACTGCTTCACCAAATCAATAAGGTCTTGGAATTTTTCGCGTCGTATTTCTTCTTTGAGCGGTTCCTGGTGAGTCCCTTTGTCGGCGATGTTCGCGTCCCGCAGTACGTTTGCGAGATAGCATTCGTCCTGTGAAAGCCCTGACAAGATCTCGGTGACTGCAGCCAGCAACGAGCGCATAATGGTCCCATTTGAGCACACAGACCAGAGTTGGCTTAACGACAACACACTATTATCGAAATGAAGTATGTATGCGACCTGAGGCAACTTAGGTCTGACGATCCGCACCCAGAAAAGCAATGCGAGAACTTCGGCGTGCAGCGAGTGAGCACCGATTCGCCGTTTCTGGTCCTTCGAGAATTTTTTTGAAGCTGCTAGTACAAGTCGACTCGTCCAAACTCCGGCGATGAGTTGAAGCTGGACCACGAAGCACGCAACTCTCGTAAGGGAAGCATCGATGGAAACACGCAAAAGCCCACAATGTCCAGCAGGGGCGGCATGCCAACCTCGTGCACCCACCAAATCAATTTCCGAATGTTCCACTGTTGATGAGAGCGAGTCCTTCAGTTTTTCAAATGCCGCTTTTGCTTTCTCGTCCTTTGCCATCAATTTGTGTTTCTTAGGTTCTTGGAACGATGCCAAATAGTCCGTATCGAAGTGATAGAACGCATCTCTCAAATAAGACGCGATCGCCAAGAACTGGGTGAGGCATTTAACACTAGAAGAAACTGCCTCCCACTTGTACGCCCGGATTGCGGCAGCCTTCGAAGGGTCGACGATCCGGCAACGGCGAGGGATGTCGATTCTCCATCCTAAAGCATCGACGATCTGGGCAATAATGACCTTTTTCAACGAGAAAACGCAACCGGTCTGGATGCTGCGCACTAATGTGATCGCCAAACGGTAAAGGAGCTGGAGCCCAAACATGAAAACAAAACTCAAATCGTCTACATACGGAATCAAGAACTCACGTCCACGAACGTGCATTTCCAAGAACCGGATCTTCTCCTCTGCTGTTTTCCTCTGGTCAGCCCGACGTGGGAGGTGCGGGTCTTGTCGGAAAAACTGTTGCGCCGGAACCTGAGGTTTAAGGCAGTTCAACAATCTTTGTGCCCACATTGATGGTCGCACTTCCGCTTCGGTTTCTTCAGCTGATTCGACTGTCGAGTCTGAATCTATTCCACGGTCATCACGGAATTCGAGGAGCGGGGTCACCGGAATGTGCCCATTGATTCGGACTGGGTTTGAGGAAGCTTCGTAATCTGAGTCATCATCGGAAAGGCTTGGTTGGAGGTCTGGGACGTGGTCGTGGGAAGCAGCAACATGTCGGTGTTGTCGGGTTGTCGACCCTGCCTCGCCTGCCAAGAGGGCATCCCCTTGTTGGAACACACTAAACCCGGAGCTGCGAGGACCCTCGGCCAACTCTTTGACAGCGGTTTCAAGACGGTCCCGCGCGTCGGTATCATCCAGCGTGTCGTCCGAGCAATTCGCGAACAGGGTTTCTGTATCCTGTTGTGTAAGTCCAGGATCGCGGAGTCGTCCGAAAAAGGTTTGGGTTCCCGCACAGAAAATCTGAGGTGCAGGGCACCAGCCTAGGAACATCCTCAACGGTTGTGCTACGCGATGCGCGAAAACCCAGGTCATGAACCGATACAAACGTTGTGACAGCAACCATTGGAAGTATCCTTTTGCGTTATCCAGTTGGACCGCTCCTTCGGTCTTATCGTCGCGGAGCATCTGTGCGGCCAAATGCGCATCAGAACAAGTTTCATCGTTCCATACTGGAACACTCGGTGTTGTGGGTTTTTCGCCTTGATTCGTCGGTTGCGCGGAGTTAGAAACCGGCTTGCGGATCTCGTGCACCAACCCCTGGGCAAGTGAGAACAGCAACAGGAAAATCAAAACGATCAATCCACAGCCACTCCCCCGCAAGAGGTGCGGTTGCCATCTGTTGCGGAAACGGAGGGTGTGATCGGGGTCTTGCACCCACTTGAACGCAGCCATTCGCTGTTGTGGGTGTAGTTTGTTCCCAAGTGCGTCGTCGACGCCGGGCTGCGAGTCTTCTGCGAGCGACGCACGGTACTCGTCGTATTCTTTACCGGAATCCTCATCGTCCGAAAACAGAAGATCATCCATGTACGTGGCCTCGACGTCCGGTTCTGAAAAATCGGCAGTGACGGCTGAAGCATAAGCTGGCGTGGAGCAAGCAGCAGACGTGGCTTCACCATCCTCATCTACTAGCACCGCGGAATACGCCATAGCACCGTGGGAGCAGAATGAAGAGAAGGAGGTGCCTTCGATTCGGGAAAGCGCGGTTGTATCGATGGGCGGCAACTCGGCGGCGGAATAGTTCGAAAAAACAGTTGGCGGGACTTGTGGGAGCAACTCCGGGCCATATTGTTCAAACGAAGTGTCTCCAAACGTTACTCTGGTTGCACTACTCGTTGAGATAGTTGCATCTTGAGTTGTCGTTTTTGGTTGGACAATGACGTTCGTGGAGCCATTGTTGGCCGCTCTCGTTTCCGGCGTCGGAGGACACGTTTCGGGACTACTGGTCTCAATATCGACTTCCCTTTCGTCTCCCTGCATAACAGTGTACAAGGCGCGAACTTGTTGGGGCGCATCGACAGGGGTACCACATTTTTCGAGTTCTGCGACTGCAAGTTTCTTATGGTTCTTATCCTTCACGTTCAACTTACGCTTTTCACAAAACTGTTGGAAATAATCGTGATTTTTTGCTCCCGCTGGCGCCCGCGGTACAAAGAAATTGGAGACCAATGTTTTCGAGGCCTCGTGGAAAATCCGTTGAAAAACGTAGCACCCGATCGAGTCGCCGGGTGCACCTGCAAACGGCATCTGATACCCGAGCCGCATCATCAACTGATGCCCTCCGATGAGGCTGTCACTTGGATACAGCCATGACACGGCCATTGCTCCCATCCCACGTCCCAAATATTCCCATTTCTTAGGAGGTGTGCAGATAGGGTTTCCAGTACGGTTTAACGTTTGGAACGTCCAGTTCCCGACTAGAGACCTTCCTGCTCCAGGTGCAGGCCCGATAGGGACAACGTTCCGAGGTTCGCCCGGCCCGATGCGCCACCATTCGTAGGCGCCCTTTACGTTCTTGAGCCAACCCGCAAAATGCAGGTCAAGGTGAGCATATCGGAGCACTTCTTTTAGAGGTCCTGTCGGTGCGCCTAAGTTGACAAGTTCTGTCACTCCTTGCATCGTGAGGAAACCAATGCCATACGCTGCTAGGAAATATGCGTTCGCAAGTGTGTGCCCCAGTAGATATAGGGATACAAAGCAGCCAGTATCCAGGAGCATCAGTGTAACAACAACGTCACCATTATTCCCGTAAGGAATTCCTACCCAAACACGGTTACCGAGAGGATCGACAGAATATTCACCGGTTTTACCCGTGGCATCTTGTGCAAGTTGCGTCTGTCGCTGGAATCCAAGTTTCGTTCGGAGCTCGTCACAGCCGGAGCCAATGCGATATGTCAAATTCACCGCGAGACCGCATCCCGCACTTCGTTCCGCGTCCTGTGGGTGCCAGTACAACCAGGCCGAAATGCAGAGGGCGCCAAATGCATTGGCGAAGCCGATTGCGTTACACTCGATTAAAGCGGTGAAAATCCAACAAACAGCAGACCAGATAAGGCACACCCAACACAGAAAGTAGCATGGATCTGCTTCTGGGAGCGGGTGCCGCCAAGGGTGACGGCACAAAGCACGCCGGGTTCGGTACGCAGCTTTGCGGGTTTCAGGCGAGCGGTAGTGAGCCGCGCGGTATGCACAATCCACATATGCATCCCTCGCATCAACTACTTGGGTTGTGTCAACTGGTTCCGAAGTAACTGTCGCCAGGACCGCCGGATCCAAGGTCGGAAAAGCATATCGCAGTTCAATCTCGTTGATTCCACCTTGCACGCGCAACAACACAACACCTTCCGAAGAAACCACGTCCACTTGGTAATCCGCTCGAACCTGCTTTCGTCGGAACAAACTTCCTTTCAACACTGTGGCTCCATTTATCGGTGGGCCAAGTGGCAAGGCATAACGTTGCACGGACTCAAGGGCAGAGATCGGGAGGCGCAGTGCAGAGGCCTCAGGCCAATATTTCAGGTGGGTGCCGCACTGTTCCAAGACAGACCTCCACACATGTCGACCGCGGCTCGGCGCATCTCCACCCGGGGGCGGAAGCACGACGGAAACTTCCAGCGCATCGGATGTTTGCTCAAACCAACGATTCAGAGACAGTTGGTTTTCAGGAGCAACGAGAACGAGATCGTGTTCGTATCTGAGTAGCTCAAACGCAGCGTCGAAGACGAACGAGTTCGGTATTTGGTTATCGAACGACCAGACCACCAAAATCTTCGTTGGGCGATCTGGACGACTACGGGTGGACGTGCGGATCTGCGGGCTCACCTCGTCCAGCTGATAGACGTCTCGGTGCCGTTGTCGGAAAACTTCCTTGACGGTGTAACCGGCATCTTCGAGGACGTCAACTTGGGACGCGACCGCCGCACAATTAGTAACCAAGATGTACGATGTGTCGTACGACAGTCGGACGCCACGTTCACGTGGTGTGTAGTAGAGTTCCTCTTCTCGGTTCGACTCGCTCGACGACCGGGCCTCGGGCAAGTGCTGGCATCGGACCATAGGTTGTTGAGATCCTTGGTGTCCACCCTCGGAACGCCGTGGCGGTAGGTGTGCAGGTCGAGAGAGTTTCGCAAAGATATCTTGAAACGGCGAAACCAGGTGATCGTCTACAGGAGGATGGGCTGTCGTTTCGACCTCAGGGAGGCATTTAACTTCTCGCAATGCGCTCTGTGCGCAGCAGGTTTGAGCACAGGAAATCTCGGTCTTTAAGTCACCGCTACGAAGGCGCAATAACTCGGAATTTTGCGAAAGGCCACTTTCATCCACGTCAGTTACAGGAGACAGTTCACCGAAATCGACAAGTTCAGCCGTTGGCTCAGCATTCGGAGCCACCGCAGTGGTCGCAATTGTTGTTGAACCACTAGCAGCATAACTTTTTTCAACCCTCATGACAAACAACGCTTGTTGCTCGAGCGTTTGGTATTCTAACTCCGGTACCCAACGAAGCAAGTTGCCCTGCTGGCTCCATTCTGGCGCTGCAAGCCGAGAGCACGGGTCGGCGATAACACACAAATCATGTGCAGTTCGCAACTGCTGGGAACGCGCGCAGTCCCAAAAGGAGCGATGTCGGGGTTCCGCAGACAATGTCAAGTCCCAAATCACGAGCGGCCAGCGGCCATTGACTTGAACTCGGTGTAACGAGTAACCACCAGCCGACGTTTGCGAAAACGTTTGGCGGTCAATCATGTATCCATATTGTTGGAACAGCGATCGCGCTTGGCTAGAAGCCCACGATCGAGAATTGGTGAACAAATGGTAGCGGACCCCGCGGCGCAGCAAACCAGTAGAACTCTCGTCTGTTCGGAACGCATTTGGAGAAAGGGGCGTCGGCATTGGAAAGGTTGTATTGCTTATCAACGGAGGGTCAATTCCCAACATGTTCTGCGAGTCCACCTGATATCGGGGCCACAAGGTCCTAATGATCTGTTTCCAGCACAACGTAGCAGACAAATATTCAAGTTTCGAAGTCGGGATCAGGACAATCCGGTGGTCACTTTCTTCCCGGCGCAATCGAGTAACCAGAGTTTCGACTTGTCCGAAATGCGCAACTGCCGCGATCACAATAATGCGATCTGTTTTGCGGGTGATAAGGATGTCACAAAGCCGTTTGGAACAGGACGTTCGGTTATCCAGTCGCCAAACAGCAACAACCTGTACATTGTCTGCTGGAGGCGTGGGTGACTTGCTATGCAACCAGCAACAAACGGAGTCATTCGACTCGGGCCCATTGATCGAAACGATGGGCAAGAGATGTTGTATTGACAGGTGTTCCGCGCCCTTTCGGATTCGAGAGCAATTGGTCAGAACCATTAAAGGCGATCGCGCATCGAGATCGAGGTCCTCACACCAAGTCGCCGGGTGAGAGGCGGGCGGTATCACTGCGGAACCCTCCGATGCAACTCGAGGCAGACATCCCGATCTAGAAGGTGGATGAAGCGATGAAAGGGGCATGAAACGGCAATCAGCTGCCCGCAAGAATTCCCAGCAACCCTTTTGTTCGGCTTCGGAATCCAATCCAGAGGTGAGAGGCAACCGGTCGGCCGGGCGGTCAAATTCACCGATCTGGAACCGTGGTTCGGGTTCTGCAGCTGGGCTAGTTAAGAAATCGGGTTTGTTTAATGCAAGTCCCAAGCAAGTTCCCCGAAGTTGTTGGCAAACCCGCAACCAATAATTTTGGGCCAACCAAGCAGGAGAGGCAAAGAAACGGAGGCGAACTTGGGACAACAGACCAACTGTGATATACCGAGATCGTGCATCCCAGCAGGTGGCAACAAAGAATTCAAAGCTGTCAGATGTCTGCATCCAATAGCACAGTTCTGCGACCAACGCTTTCACCATTCCCCGGGACCACAGTTCGAACGGAACGTCGTCGGCACCTTCCGGTTCAACAGTAGCCGGTTCATTTCCAGGAGGAGGGTCAGCGGCTTCTTGCCCCGAAACAACATCGACGAATTCGGTGGTGGCAGCCAACATCTCGGTAAAAGCCGTATAAGTGTCGGTGAAGTTGAAGCTGCGATACAGCGGCTGTGAGTCGCCCAGAGCTTCCACGCGGTCGTCAAAACCCGCCGATGGGTCCCGCGGAGGTTGTTGGGCTGATCTTGCCACCGAGAACGACCCTACTCCTGGGAAGACTCGCGTGTCCCTGTCGATCCACGCGTTAGGAGGAGGTGGAGGGACGAAAGCGCTTTGCGGTAACGGTTTACCGGCTCGAAGGGCCTGTGTTTGAACTTTCCGAGATTCGGGATCAACCGGTACGTTATGTTCCATCGGGACGTCTCGCAAGCGACAAGCGAGTTGATGTACTGAGACAGACTCCATCGAAGTCTCCTGCCCATTCCTTAGGTTTCCCGAATTGGCCGGCGTCAGATGCGAGCGACAGTCACAACAACCGCGGGTGTACATCGAAAACTGGTTACCAGCAAAAAACGCCCCAATCGGGTCCAGATTCCCATGACCCATCAACCCAAAGGTCGGGTCTCGAGGTTGGTCTGCCATCACAGGAACATAGTTTGGTGGCGGAACAACTCCAAGTTTGAAACTCTCCGAACCGGTTTCCGTCGAAGGACTTTGTGAAAACAAATCCGGACTTCCGAGGTTGTCAAGATCAGTGTCATCACCGTCCAACTCAGCAAGAGCGAGAACGTTTTCCAAAAGAGCGGCAAAGGTGTCGGAAGACTGTTCGGTCAAGATCGTTTTGAGGCCGTCGACATTAGGGGACGCATGCGCTTTTGCACCCATGCTCAAGGCGATGTCGTACAGCTTGCACTCCTGCAAAATCTTCTTGACTTCCGAGTTTCGGCTCTCGTCCAACCATTTTTTGGACCCACCAGCAGCCGCGATTGTGGCAGCTCGGACTACGAGAGACTCTCCAGGACAACTAGTAGGCGCGATCCGGTTGCAAAGGAGGTTGGACGCGTTGTGGTCCGGGTTGGCCCGGGCGCGCACTTTCCGAAGCGCCGTCGGGCAAAGGGAACGCCGCCCTCCACTTCCATCCCCCAACGTGATGTACATAAGTTTGTGATGAATTTTGCAATCAGCGCAGTCCTGGGTAACGGTCGTCACAACGCCCGCTGCTTTTCCGATGCCGCCAATCAAATCGGACGCATCGTGATCCGCGGTCGAGTGGAGGGTTGAATGACACCGAACAACTGGTCCTCGAGACCGGGAGTCACCTCGGACTCGGTTTTCCGAACTGCCTTTCCCGACGCCTTTAGGGCTCTCGCGAGGTCCCTTACCTTTCCCGGGCCCGCGTTTACCACTTCCTTTCTTCCCACCTTTTGGTCCTCCTTTGGCAGCGTATTCGGTCCAGGCGTTTGCAACAAGTACTTCTGCGAACATGTAATCCGCTGTGACAGATAGAAACTCTTCGGCGGGGTCATCTTCCACGTCAAGCGCGTCGTACGAGGTGTTTTCGCTATGCAACCCGCTTGGGCCATTCATCAGCGCAAGTGTACCGTTACCATCTATGGACCCGAACCCACCAGGACCATAAGAACCAAGGGTTTCAACGGGCATTGAGGCCAGTGCGGAGGGTGCAAACGGGACAACGCAATGTCCATACACGTGTGGGTTCAAACTATTATACGGACAAAGAGGTGCGCAAAAAACTGTGTCGGTGCAGTCACCAGGGTCTTCATCGCCACCTTGATAACCTCGATGTCGGCCGCGGCGGTTAGCGGGGGCGTAGTGGACGTCCAGCCCCATAACACGCGTAACTTGGGCGTTCTGGTTGCAATATCTCACCAACTTCCGGAGACTAACACCGAAAACTTTATCATGTTGATCCGTGGCGTGCCGATCTCTCGAGTCACGTGGTAGAGGCTCGTTTAGAAGTTCGTCCGTCGTCCGCTGCACTGTTTTTGCGACCAACCCGATGAGGTAATTAGGTTGGAAAGTGGCACACCTGGCGAAGAAGATGTCCGTTCCATATGTGTAATCGCGGATGCCGAAACCAAAGCGGTCCAGTTTGTCCTCCGTTGTGTAGTAGTGGGTAGCCCATTCGCCCATTGCCGTCCGGGCCGCAAAACCCGTATTATCAACTTCAAAATAGAATTCTTGTTGAATCTCCATCAGCAAATGGTCATACTGGAAATGACAGATCAGGGCCAAAGCCGTCTCGAAAACCAAAAACGGTTCGAGTTTGTTTGCATGTCGCATCTGGACCGAGTCAGCTCGTCGAAGAGCTTGTCGGGCTTCTTCGGATTTGAGCTCCAAACCCGTGTTCAAAATTTCCCTTCGGAATTTCTGCGAACGGTAGAGTTGGATGCGTTCTCGCAAGTCAGACATGTACTGCTGGTGTCGTCCCCAACTATCGCGGGTGTGGTTGACAACTTGGGCTCGGAAAGGAGGGACCGAGACACCACCGCTACCGGCGCTCTTGAAACCAAGATCGTCATCAAATAATTGTGCATACGCTTCGCCCAGTAAAGCTGCCAAACTTTGTCGGACAGGCCAGCGTCTAGGCAAGTCCGAGTCGACACAAGCCATCCGACGGTAGTCCCACGGACCTTGCGTATTCGGGCGAATCATCCCAAACGTCGGAGGGGCAGCAGGCAAGGAAGAAAGGTCATTAGGAGCAGCAAACAACGAATGGTAACTGGAACCCGGGGAAGCAACCGGGATTGCGGTCCCGCGGCGGGCGGTAACATTCGTGGTGACACACTCATCAACCCCTCCCGCAAAGCACTGGGTGTCAGAAGGGTCGAGGTCCGAACGGATTTTACGCAGGTAACGTAACTCGTCTTTGGCTCGAGTATATTGCTGCAAGTGTTCGGGATCACAACCACCCTTAAGTCCTCCAGAAGCATCGGCGAGGCGGACACCAAGACGGCGTTCGTATTCAGGAAACGGATCTGTGTAAGCCCAGCCCGGCGTGAGAGCACTGGAGCTTGAGCAACAAGACTCACTATCTTCCATTGAAAGGGCGGCATCTTCAACATCGTCGCACGTCCCACCGAACGCCTGGCGCAAGTTTGCACCCCGTTCTTTCCGGCGTGTCTTCCGTGTTTCAGGTTTGGTCTCCGCTCCAAACTGCGGCTTCTTTCCTTTTCCTTTGTACCACGGGTAAGGGCGGGAAACCGAAGAAGGCATGAGGCTGTCTCGCAAACACTGCGCCTCCACAACTTCCGACGGCAAAGCGACTTGTCCAGGTGGAAGCTCTGCCAACGAATCACGGGTTTGTTGGCAGAGGGTCTCGAGGGCCGATTCAGGGCTCTCAACGGTGCTATCAACCAGATGTTTCGCCCGTCGTAGGTCGCCGGGGCTCTTAACTGGTGTTTCGGCCACCTGCGATCCGCCAGTCACCAAAGAGCTCGCCGGCACTTCCAACAGAAACGCATTTCCAGAGGAAGCTTGTCCAGATGCGTTATACAGAGGTTTGATCGCAGTCTCGAGGTGCGCTTTGAGTTCGGACCCGATTTGGGTTTTCAAATCAGCAATCGACTGTCGGTCCTTTTTGGCCTCTTCCAATTCACGTTTGACACGTTGGAGCTCAACTTCAAGTCCAGAGACCACCGGTGGTGGTGGCGGAACCCACTCAAGACCTGGGGGCTGCCGAGCCGGCGGCGGAGGCGGAGGAAATAATCGACCAGAAGGAGGAGCACGGAGATCAGGGATTTCTTCCCGCAGATCCGAAGAAGCAGCTAAGTTCCACTGAAATCCCGAAGCGGGATCGACAACGAAATCGGATTGCTGACCCACGCTGGCTCCCTTCCAATGCTGTCCCTGTTGGGGTTCATCTCCCGTTGGCGCTGTCGGACGTGTTGCTCCAAACCCAGGCGTTGAAGAACCGGGCGGCATAGTCGGCGGCAAAGCAGCAGCAAGTGGAGGGGTTACAGCCGTCGCCGTGACCATAGGCAGTCCAGGTGGGAGGCTCGCCAACGATGAAGCGCCACCCACACCCGCCGAAACAACTCCTGCTGACAGGGAACGTCGGGGGGACAAGGTCGGCAGACCGTCGGTTGTCGGAGGCGAATTCCCCGCCGGGCGACTAGCACGGGAAAAGTCACGCTCTCTCTGTTTGAGCTGTTTCTTGAGGTGTGAAAGTTCATTTCGAGTCTTCTCCAGAAGGCTGTCCTTCTCGGCTTGAAGGGCAGCCAAGGCAACGTCCCTTTTCGAGAGTTCACTTTGATGCAACTTTTCGTTTTGTTCCCGTAGTTCCTGTAAAGCCACAACTTCGTCCTCGGCCGTTTGCGCCCGCGCGGTGAGAGCGGACGTCGCAGCTTGATTGTCAGCACTTACTCGTTCGAACCGTTTGCGCAAATCCCGAAGTTCATCGGTGAGAGTGGAAACGGTTCCATCTGCTCTTTCCTTTCGAGCTTCCGACAACTCTAACGCCGATTTGGGGACCGTAGAAATTTGTAGAAGGGAATATTGTCCCTCTAATTCGCGCAAAGCGGTTCTGGAAGCATCAAGGTCGTTACTAATACCTGCCAACCGCATTTGGGTTTCCTTCAACTCGGTACTTTCTTTCCGGTATTGGGCAACATCAACCACACGAGCGGAATCGCTGTCCCGAACTTGATTCTGGAGTTGAAGCACTTGCTCACGCAGTAACCGGCACTCTAACTTCGAGTCCTGCAACTGTTTGTCCAAACCTACTGACGCGGAAGCACGATGAGCTGTTTCAAACCCTTCACGCATCCGCTCTACCCTGTCCTGGTGGTCGGCCAGCAACCGATCGATGCGACTCCGGTGGTCTTGCACCAACAAGTCCTTCGCCGCGAGGGCCTCCTTCTCCCGTCCCCGAGCAGCCTCGACTCGAAGGGTCAGTTCTTTGATTTGGTTCTGCAGTGTTTCTATCGACTCTAGCGGGGAGATCAAGCTCATCTCTCGATCGGCCTCTTTCGCTGCATCTCCCGCATGAGCTGAGCACCGAGGTGAAGCAAAGGGGTCACCATCGTCTCCGACCGGGAGTGTCAAGTGAACTGCCGGAGGGTTTGGACCCGAAACTGCGAGACGAAGTTTCTCGGCACGTATCTGAGCACGCAATTGAGCGTTTTCGGAGCGCGTCGAAAGAAGCTGTTTTTCAGCGTTATTCGCCCGCTGCAACGCAGTTTCCAGGATGGTAGGAGCAGCTCCGGTCGGGCGGGCCGTTAAGATCGGGACCACAGCTGGCAACGGCACGTGTTCCTCTGAAAATTTGCGGCAAGTCTCCCGCGCCTTCGCAAGCTCCCAAGCCGAAGCTGCAGCCTGTTCTTCGCTCGCTTTCAAATCTTCAGCTAACTCCTGGTTTTGTTCGTGCAACTTCCGACTCCGTTCTTGCAGTTCAGGAACCAGTGAAGCCGTGTTGGCGAGTTCGGCAAGTTGCGTTGAGAGGTCAGCGTGTTTATCAACCCAGAACTTTTGTTTCGTTTGGAGCTCTATTCTCAGTCGAGCGCATTCGGTTTGGTGATCTCCATCTGCTGTCAGCTTGGCAGTCATAGATTGGTTCGCCTGCATAAGCCGCTCGATTTCGTTCGTGTAGGAGGTCGAGAGCATCCGCTCCGACTTTAACTCTTCCATCAACTCCCGAACGCGCGTCTCAGCTTGCTCGGCCCTCGCTATCAACACGGTTTCAGCGTCGGTGGGCGCCCCGGTCACGGTCGTCGGTCCGACCAACGACCGCAGTCTATCAACTTCTTTGGAAAGCGCGATATAATCCGTGTTTCGACGATCATACTTAGCTTCTTGTTCAGACGCCTTGTTTAGAGCTTCTTGCAGTTCCGTCTCGAGTCCAACAATGCGACGTCCATGTTCCAAATGCAAGTGATCAGCACTACGAACCTTTTCTCGTGCCCGTTCAAGCTCTAAACGGACGTCCTCAAGCCCTTCTTCCGCACGGCGGACCGACCACTTCAATCGGACTTTCTCGCCTTCGGCCGCATTCAACCTGTCCTGCAACACCGTTTGGAATCGGGAAAATCGCACTCGTTCGTCCCTGAAACGGGCGATCTCCGCCCGGAGGTTCGACGCCAGGGATTCATACCGAGAAATGTCCCGCAACAATTGGCGGACCCGAGCTCCACTCGTGGGCGTGGGTTCGTCCAGAATGGGCACCGCAGAAGCGGATCGAACCAAAGGCTTTCCATATGGACTGACATCGCGGGTTCGGAGCATCGGGGCTGCATAACTTCGCCGACGTCCCCGGTATTCATACATGGCAGGTACTGTACCCCCGCAACCAGGTTCAAGGACGTCCATTGAAACGTCCCCCGAAACATTCAGGCCAAAAGCAGGTGGAGGAGGCACGACAGACAGACCATCATTTAGCAAACCTCCCGCAGTTCTTTCTTCGATTCCGCAACGTTGAGATTCAAGCTGAATGGACCGGTCCGCTTGCTCAGGGCTACCTCCCGACTCGTTCCTTGAATCAGACATATCGGTGAGATCAGGAGTTGAACCATCCAAAGAGGGTTTTAAGATGACAAAGTCATCCGGGGTTTCAACTTGAGACTCCAAAGAAACTCGCAGTTCAACCGGGCTTTCAGAAGCAACAGGTTGAGACAACAGCCCCGAAACGGAGTCCTCGTCAGTGTCTTCTGGAGGAGGCGGCACCTGATCAATCTGTGGGTCGGCACCAAAGACTTCGTCTCCGACCGTTTCTGGAGAGGGTGCCGAAACTTTTCTCGAGGTCTCAGTCGTTCTCAACACAGGCAGACCACTCAGCTCACGCTCTTCAAGGGTAGCATGTCCGTCCTGTTCAACGCTGTCTTGCGAAGCCCCGATCGCAACCCCGGAGCAAGACGAAACTCGGAGAGGAACCACCGCAGGTGCAACCTGTCGAGAACTTGAAGACGAGCCGGACCCAGCCGCTTCATCTGCTCGGATTTCAGGAGGAGGCGAAAGTATCGACGAACGTCCCACCGTTGAGGTGGTCACACAATGTCTTTCCAACAATGTGTTCGCACTGTTCATGACACGTTTCGTATTTCCAGGTAACTCGTGGCCGCGTGTAACAAAGCAGCTTGAAGGGTCGACGTCAGGGCGTTGCAACAACTCATCAGTCGTGACACTATCAATGTTCAGTTCCGCTTGTAAAACATCGGCACTGGTAACCCGAAGTTCAGAACTCCACCGCCCGAGGTCACCGCGAGACATACCAAGGAAGCCTTGGTTGGTCTGTCCACTTTCGTCTTTCCAGTACCCGTAAAAGACGCTCGTCGACCCACGGTAAGTGACCTTTTGGAGGAAAACGTCTGCACCATCGAGTTTCCGCAGACCTTGCCGCGGATCTTTCCAGTTGAACACAATATGTCCAAAACTATCAAACTTCTGGCTCAAGGCACGGGGGGCAACACTAGAACCGGAGTTAGGGGCAGCGCGGACAAACGGAGCCACCGGTGGAACACCTTCTCTTGCAGAGCTCAAGTCAGGTTCCATTGCCGGTCCCTTTGGGCGAACAACTCGCCCGCGGTCCTTCGGGGACCCGGAGGGGCGGAAGCCACTGGAGCTCATGAGGTCGACCAAGTTCAGACCACTCTCTATCCGAAATAACAGGGGCGGGAGGAGGTCCAAAAATAGAGTTCAGGATCCTTTCAGGGTCGTCCGCACTCTCAAGGAGGTAATCCCTTCCAACTCGAAGTCGATGCAATTGGCAGAAACGTGTTTCTTCCGGATCCCACACAGAAACCCAATTATCAACTCGGACCGCCTCGTAACTCCAAGTCGAGATATCGAGCTTGTGTCGACCGGCTTCGACAACACCCGACCAGGTATATTGGCCGTTCCAGCGCAAGAACGGCGTGATTTCGTTAGGAACTAAGTTGAGGTCAGGCTCTTTCTGCCCGCTCGTTGCCAACAAGGCCCCGGAGCGGTTATACGTCAGTCCGGCTTTCTGGTAGCACAAAGGCAAGATCTGAAACCCGAGCTGTCTTTCGAACGAAAGCGTAACTACTCTCTTGTTCCGAACTAGTTTGATGCCGCGGGTTCGGAGTGGGGCAACGAGGGAGCTTTGGGAAATTTGTTCAAAAACCACCGCTCGGTCGTTGTTCGGTCCCGCCAGATACTCAACTCGAATTTGCCGATGCGGTCTCATTGACCGCTGGACCCCTTCTGGGAGTTATCTCCCGTTCTTGGTTCGTCTCCTCACTCGTTTTCTTTTGGAGGATCTCGCGAGTGGTTTGGACCACGTCGTTCGGAGAACGGAGAATAGGAGATTCTCGGTTCACCACCCCAGTAGAGCGGTCGGCCCGCTTAATGATGCGATCAGGTCGGCCTCGAGGTAATGCAGGAGATCGACGACGGTGAACGCGTTCCGAGGCTTCAGGAACCGTCGTTCGTACTGGTGGAGCAACTACAGGCTCTTCTGAACTAGACAACGAAAGCGAAGAAGGCCTCTTTACCTGCACCGCACCGGTTCGCGGTTTGAGGGAAACTCCTTTTTGGGGTCGTTGTTCAGCACCTATCTCCGAACTCGGAGCTGAAAATTTCGGTCGAGGGATCGATATTGAACGTCGATCAAGTTTCTCGGCCCGACGGCGAGGGCTACGCTCTCGTTCAGGCGACCTGCGGGAATTGTCTCGTTTCAGGATCAGCAATCCAGGTCGGGGGCGGTCAAACCGGGGATTCTGGACTGACACCGAGCGGCAATTCAGATTGCGCGGTGGTCGCGAAAGAACAACGTTTGAACAACTTCCCGTCGTCCTTGCTGGCGAATTGGTCTTGAAATATGTTCGCGAAGAACACGCTCCCGTTGTTCGTGGGGCCTCCGAACCAACTAAAACGTCCGCTAGACGCGGTGCCTCGTTCTTTCTTCGGTATTCAGAACGACACGGTGGTCGTTCCTCTTTACCAACAGAACCAGAGCACGGTCCCGCAGCGTTTCGCAAGTGGTTCAGGTCACTCAACGGAGGTTTCGAACCACTCGTCCCAGCTTGGAGTTCTACAAGTACTTGTTTGCGCAACGCACGTCGCTTTGCTGCGTTTCGTTTCTGAGTTTTCGTTAACGAAACGGGTTGTGCACCTTGCGTTAGCTCCGCCTCTTGTACCGAAACCGAAAGGCCAGTCGAACTGTCAAGCCTTGCTCCTCGGGTTTTCCCAATCGTCGGTTCTTCGGAACTGGGCACCGACACGCGACGAGTTGCGGCACGCGAAGTGGCTTGAGGGCTCTCGGAGCCACTAGATTCAGCAATTGGATCAGCAACAACGGTTTCAATTGTTGTTTTCTTCACTACTTGCACTGTTCCTTTCCGCAGCGCGCGATTAACTCGATGGATAGCGTCGTCAAGTTTCTCAGGAATCGACTCACCCACGAAGGCAATCTTATACCGCGAGCGTTCCATGTTTTAAGCTAATCATATTGTTCTCTATTCGTTATACCGTCCAACCGTCTAGCAAGGGTTATCTACTTTTCTTCCTTTACTTCTTTATTCCGAAGAAGCCCAGAGAGACCGGGGGACAGCCCGTATATGATCAATAACAAAGGTAGGGAAAACCTTCAAAAGCACTTCGTGTGCTCCGTTAAGTGTCGTGGATCTAGGACCACGTTTTAATCCAAAAAATCGGTTCTCGCGGACGATCTGATTGATATTAACTTTCTTATATCCTTCGTTCAAAAGTTGTTCACGTTTAACACGGAGGTACTCGGGTCGATTGGTTGGCACGAGGTCAACGTTACGATCAACGACGCTACCACCCGCAAATTGGAAATATTCTAAATACAGCCCACCGGGAGATCTAAAATAGTCGCGACAAGCGGTCCCTTTAGTTTGGATCTCGGTCCAGATCAAGGACCTGGAAGAACTAAGGGTATGTTTAAACAATTCGGACAATTTTCCCGCTGCGAACGAACAAGTATTATATTCTAAACGATCGACAAAGGTATAATCTCCGACCAGTTGTTGCACTGAGATTCGGGCGGCTGTAACAGAAGTGTGTAAGCCAGACACGGCGAGGCGTCCGTCTAACAAAAGCTGTTCCCTTTTCAGTGCGAGGAGTTCAGCACAACAATAACCAATGTCTTCTAATTTATTCTCGATCGTATCTATTCGGTCGTATAATCCCAAGTTAGTCTTCTTTACCAAAACACGAACCCCTTTTGGGGTCTGTGCGCCTAGCTCTTGGATTTCTTCTAGCGAAGGTCCAAAGTGAGCCCTTGCCGGACGCACAGAGCCAAAAAATATTTCCAATAATTCGTGCAATGATTCAAGCTCGTTATACAATGCAGCAACTCTAAAACCTTCTGATAAATCGTACCCAACTTCTTCAATCGGTGCTTTGAACCCTAGCTGCATGTTAAACTTTACTAATCTACTTTCCGTTAGTTACTGTATCAGCTAACCGTCCATCACCCGTTCTCCACCACTTGGTTAAGTAAAAGTGGCTGAGCGATACTCTGCTCGGGATCTTGGAAGGCGGGAAGCTAGATACAGAACACCGAGTCTCTGGGACCTGCACTATCGTTGTAGCCACTCCTTTGGACTCAACAACTACAACTTTGGTTTGTTCGGTTGACGAAGGTCTAACCTACTTGCAACGCACGGTGTGGAAAGGGGTTGGCGGAGGCCTAACCTAAACAACTCAAAGTCTTTGTGGTTCGTTTATGTCTTTCCAAAACGTCACTTTGGTGTGTCGTGTTTAAGTCCCGACGAAGGTCTGGGATCAACTATGTAACTGTTCTTCGTGGTTCGAACTACTACTAACAACACTGCGCGGAGGCGTCAGTGACTAACCCTTTGTTGCGCGAAGGCGTCAACAGTTACACTTACAGCTGCGCGGAGGCGTCAGCAACAATAGTACAAACAAGATATGTTTCAAATGATCACTACGGACTAGTTACGTTCTAACTATCTTGTTTAGTTCTTAGCTTATGGTTGGACGGTGTTCAACTATATGTAATTCTAGTTTTGGATATAACTATGCTTGCAAAGGATGTTATGTTTCAATATCGGAGATCAATCAACAATTTATATGATATACACCTAGGCCGACGGGCTTACCAAGTGATTTACAATCCTAAGTTTGGCTGGGTTGTGTGAGGATTTGTTGAGGCTCTTTTACTTTCGATCTATGTTTCTCCAAGTGAAATGATCAACAACTTCATACACAACCTTTCGTTCAACAACTTCAACTTTCTACTTCATCATCAAACAGCAAGTTTCAGACTCAAGGTCGACTTCGATCACGATTTCGATCATTGCACGCATTGAAATTTCCACGTTTGAAGTCGACTTTCTTCGCACGTCTTAAGTTCGGATCTTCGATTCGTGTTTTGATTTGCTTTTCTTCTTTTCGACCGATATCTGGATCCTGTCTAGCTTTGACTACCACCTTCCAATCACCACCTTAGAGTATGTCGTCTACCAGTTCACATATAATCGACCATACGTGACAACATCAGCTACGAGAACGATGCTGAGACGTAAGGCGTCGAAGTGCCCTGAAAGTAGTAGTAGTAGGAGTAGTAGTAGTAGTAGTAGTGTGCTCATTCGTGGAAAATTGAAGAGACTTCAAATAGCAGGCGGCCCTTCTTTCCTTCTTCTCTTTTTCAAGAATTGTAGAATTGCGCTACCCTTAGTCGTCCCTGATATATGTACCATCACGTCTTTGCTTCATTCTTTGACCCCGTTCACAATGATGGTTGTTCTAGAAGCAAATACTGATACTCACTGAAGAGATTGAGGCTACGACAAAAACAGCCTGACTATGTTTTGTAACTACAAATACTCAAAAAGTTCCATACAGCTAATTCGTCGCGCTGCTCCAGACTATTGCAATCTATCGATCGTTCGCACCAAAGAGAAACTCAATCTGCGGCCACAAGTTGTTTTTACCCAAGAACAACATCTTTCTCAGGTGGAAAATACGGCAATCTTCCTTAAATTTGTTCTGAGGTAAATGCATCACGTAGTAGCATGCTCAACTTGCGGGAACGATAGAACAGCTCTAAGGTGGAAAGTACGGAAATCTTCTTCACATTTGTTCTGAGGAAAATCCGCCACAAAACAGCAAGCTCAACTTGAGGTAACGATGGAACACCTCTAAAACACCTAACTTGCTACAACATCACAAGTAAGAGAAACAATGATTGAAGAAAACCCCAGATCGACAAGGGTGAGGAAAATGGGAGAGCGCACGAAAAGTCAGATGGCCGCCATTTTAAGACCATTTTATTAGACGTTCTGTAATTGTGGATGCGTTCACTCATTTATTCAAAAGTATTCGTTCACTCACTCACTCATGCACCTGTTCGCGAGGTTTTTTCTTTGGGGGCCTGGGTCTACAGTTTCCCGCTATAGTTCCATTTAATTACCCCGCGGGAAGCCTGAAGCACAACGGCCAGGCGCTACGACTACGCAAACGGTGAAGCACAACGGCCACCGCTGTAGAAAAGCTAGAGCCAAAGCCTAGGTGTTGTCTAGTTGCATGGGTTTGCGATGCAGGGGTTGTTTGGGTGTAATTTTTTGAAATAAATATAAACATTGTTGCACGGGATAAGTCTACGATTGTGATCAGGGTGAAAACTAACCGGCTGTTTTACTTAGTGCTTTGAGCGCCGCAGGGCCTAAACCTTCACCAAAGGGTGAAAGCCAATCAAGATTTGCAGCACACCTTGGAAAGGGAACAAAGGGGAATAAGTCCTGCTATGGGATGAGGTTAGTTACATAAGTTTTATAAGAAATAAATATAAATATACTTTAAGGGGTTACCCGTCACATAGTGTGAATGGACTAGACGGAGACTAATCAGAAGACATAGAACTAACCCCGCAAAAGAAAAATAGTTACAGATCAATGCTTTCTTCACTTCTTTTTTAACTTCTTCTACGTAATCTTCATTATCGTGCTATACTACTTGCCGTTTGCCAAATAGAGCCATGAAAGTACAATCGTTTTCCCGTCTTATTCGTCCCACCTGTGTCAAATACCAAAAATTTGATCACACGTCATCCAAGCCAGCACGTCAAAAAACCCAGCATGTAGAGTCTTTTTTTTTCAGGTTCCTCGACTTACTTGAGGCGACTTGGGACGCATACGCTAATCGGTAGCGCCGCCTCTGAGCTACACGATAAGTATTTTCAGTGTCTTTAGCTTTACTCCTGCACAGCTAAATTTTGGATGAAAACAAGGCTTGCCTTTTGTGTTTGTCATCCAGGAAATACATCATGAAGGCCTTTGGAAAAACAAGAATATCAGCACATTGACAGATACAGCAAAACGAAAAGCAAGGAAAATAAAAATCGCATCAGTATGCTTTTTAGAAAAAAGCCTTATAAGATCCAAGAAGCACGAAAAAGCAAACATACTGATCACAACCAACACCAAGAAATCAATAGCGAACATTGTTAACATACATGCTACGTCCAAGTTAATAGAGTAAAAAAGCACTACACCTTTTTCGCAGAAGACACTCAAGATCATACTCCGCCATCAATATACACAGACCACCACACCAAAGACCCGACCAAGTGCAGAGCTTCAATTTAAATATAATTCTCATCGTTTTTATTACGTGCCAGGAAGTGGAGGGTTCCAATTTTTTAACTCTTTCGACCACGTCACCACCTTTTTGTATTGTTCAACCCAACACCACCAGAACAACCAAGGATATCTTTTAGAAGGGATCAAGTCTCACATGCTCCAGAAAAGCTGGACGTAAGACTATCCTTCCTCACTTATATCTATGTTTTTCTACCTCTATGTTACAAAATCATTCGTATGTACTTAACTCTAAGTCTAACTTAACAGCATGAGAATCTACGAAAGGAAAATTTTAAGCCAACACTATGACTATCTCATAACACGTAAAACAGGAAAATTTATTGGGCCAAAGCCCAGAGGAAAGGAATTAGCAAAATAGGCCTCAGTTGTAAGTAATTATTAATGTTAAGTATCTATAAGTTAATGTAAGAAACGAGACACGCGGATAGACTAAATATATGTAGGGCGAAGCTTTTCCCTGACAAGTTCCCCACGGACAAGTCCTCTTTTCTTGGAGACGGTTATCGCAGAAGCTTGGGGCAATTTCTTCCATATTTTATTTTTAGATCCTTTCCTTCTTAATTTGATTAGATTTCTATTATTCAGAAGTTCAAAACTCATACCGTCGTCATATTCTGCATACCTCGCTACTTCTCATCACTCCCGTCCAAATTCACCCTTGCCATGCTAGCTGCGAGCTTTTCTGCTGCTGGGGGCTTTTCCGCTGAGAGCTGTTCCTGTTCTGCTTCAAGCTTTTCTGCCCTCTGCAGTTCTGCCACGAACTCTCTCTGCTTGCGATCTTCTGCATCCATCCACGCTTGCAACTGCGGATTTGGTTGTGCATTCACGGCAATGCCTGCAATGGCCGGGAAGGGATGTGGTTGATGAGGCGCCGCCAGCGGAAACGGAAAGGTCAGTTGATGCGCCAGCAGCTCTGGTTCAGTCGCTAGAGAGGCAGATCTCAATGCTCTTCCAGAGTAAGTATCCTGGCCAAGATGTGTTGTAGTAGAGGCTGCTGGAGGAGGTGCGCAACTATTTGTACCAGTACTAGTAGAAGAGCAGGAACCCAGTGGCCCAGTCCCAGTGCTGAAGAAAACTGGTTGCCCAGCCATCTTAGCTGCTTCCGCAAATGTGTATGGCACCAGGCTCTTTCCATCAGTGTGGTAAGAATCAGAGGCCGGCAGCACCTTCGCGCCATCCTGGCCAAGATGTGTAGTGACAAAGCATGGAGCGTCGTAAAAGTCCTTATTTCCAAAGGGGAGGCGGCGGCTACTGGTGTATTCAGCATTGGCAGTGCTGTTGTCGCTAGAGATTTTGGAAGCGGCTGTCGGATTTTGGTCTTGACGAATAGCAGTTGAGGCTGAAGTAGAAGAAGGATGCCCATGTTCTTGAGCTTGATGAGCTTGATGCTGTAGTTCTTCACCATGTTCTTCATCACTTGCAGTTGGGGTGCTGCTACCTCGACCAAAAACGAAAAGACGGTCCTCTAAAAGACTCATGGGAGGAACAGGAGGAGCTGCAGCCTGCGCTGTTGTAGGAAAAACTGCAGGAGCGCCAAGTAATGCAGCAGGACCAGGAGACAAGCCAAATAATCTTTGGTGACAATCCTGATTAAAAAACTGAGCTTCTCGGTCACGCGTCATTTTCCACAATTTTCCCTGCTCTTGATGTTGGTCTTGTAGTAGCAGCTTTCGCTTTTGTTGAAGTCTGCTCTGTTCTTGTTCTTCCTTTATTGAAGGCATCAGCACATCTAGGCAACTTGTGGTCTTGTTGTGTTCTATGGAAGAGGACGCTTTCAATTTCCTTCTCTCGGACGAAGATCCCTGCTGCACTGCTTCGTCAACTGCTCCACGCCTTTTTAGAAATGGTGCTGAGGACTGAGTAGAAGTCATCCCAGGAGGACTACGACTACTATTAGGTGTGGTCTCCTTTTCATGATCGGCGAGGGTAACCTGGCGCAATGCAAGTCGTTCTTCTGGGGTAAGAAACTCTGAAATTTGTAGCATTTGCGGCACCATCGCCCCGTCGAAAAAGGGCTCAAGTCTGTTGCTGTTCTTTTTAGCACGGTCTGCTGCTGATTCTGATGTACTCTCCATCTTCTTCGGCTTGTTCGGATCCACAACTAGTAGTGCAGGAGGTTGAAGATGAACAGGAGGACGAGCAGGGGAAGAAGTACTAGGGGAAAAAAAGGGTCGTGCAAGAAACGGAAGATCTGCCTTCATCGCTGCGGTAGAGGGGGGTCCTAGATGAATGTGAAGAGCTGACGCAATTTGATCTTCTTGTCCACGTAGTTCGCTGGACTTCGCTGCGAAATTTGATGCTCCTCCAGGATGTTCTTGTCCACGTAGTTCGCTGGACTTCTCTTCAATGGTTTCTAATTGTTGTTGCTGCCCACACGAAGAGGACGCAGTGGTGCCACGAGGCCAGATGTTGTTGCTCATAAAAAGACCAGAAACATCAACATCATCACTGTCGGAAAAACGAGAGACACTACCTACGTCCGGATCTTGCTCACTTTCCTCGGGCACCGACGCTGCTCCGCGTCGTCTTTCTTCTCGTCCGCGCAAGAACGTGAAGTTCACCATGCTCAAGTCGAAAGAGGGAAGGGGAGGCGGACCGTTAGTGATATTGCGGTAGGTAGGCTCAGGGGAAGCGTATTTCGGATCTTCTGCGTCTGTCGGATCTTCTGAGAGTCCCGCAGCGTAGACGCCAACGGGAGCCGCGACATGATCCCAGATTTTAGAGGTAGGCTTTTGGTGCTTGCTTAGTTACCCCGCTTTTATTTATGCCTTTCTCATCCTAAGGGAGAGAGGCATAAAAAGCGGTAAGAAAAGCACCTTTAACCTACCCTTAAAGATTATTCCGCCGGTGCACGACACTGCCAACCCGTAGGCGGCCAGTGCCCGTTTTAAAAACACGCTACTTGTTTTCCCGCTGATTTGGTCCAACATCTTGTTTGATCTTGTTGTAGCGCTTAATTAGTGCTCTATTGGTGGATTATTCCGGTGTGCTCAGTGCTCGTGCTCGGGGTGAGGAAACTAATGCAGTTGTTCTAGACGATAGTGGATTAGTTAATCTTTATTAGGTCCTTAACTAACACTAATCTAATACACTCGAACATTTCCTAAGTTTTTGAGAAGGGGAAGATGGATGGAGAGGAAGGGTAATGATCGGAGGTAGTAATTGATTGAGGAAACTAATTAATCCACAACTCGCTCGCCTCAGTTACGTCTCTTCATCATTTCATCATAGCCTTGAGAAGTGTGAAGATGGTGTTTGTCACCTTCCGGTTCCTTGAGAAGTGTGATGGTGTTTGTCTGGTAACCATACGCAACAATATCAGCAACAATGTAACTTCTTCATAGGGCCGCGTTGCCATGATCGCTCGGTGAACGAAAGATGAATGGAAAACGTCACAGGCCAATTAGTCTTTCTTCATCTGGAGGTGTGATCATCCGATGAAACTTCTACATCTTCTCTCCAGAGATGAAGTGCGACTTGAAGTGCGGAATTTCGTTCGCCTACACTGTAGATACGAAGGAATCCTCGCAGTGGGACAGCAGGAACACTTGCGATGATATCGGGCATCACCGTGTTAATTCAAGAGGGGCGATGGAGAGCGGAGACATCCTACTTCTGACGTGATCGGCGCGCTCCTTCGGATATTACTCTCCCATACGTTTCTAGGATGCGTCTAAAGATGTATTTTTAGGTACAGTCTTAATTAAAGGTCGTCGCTCCTCGTTGGGCTACAGTTCATTTCTGAAGCAAACTGTGCATAGTTCTTGTCTATGAAGTCGACAATCTGTGTCATCTGTTTCTTGCGGCTGGTGATGTTGGGTAAAATGACATAATCCATCATCATCTCATCAATCTGGAATTTGCCTTCGTAGACTGATTGTATAACGGTCCGACGCCAAGTTGTAGTTTCTTTGTCCCTAGCTATTTGGTTGTCAAACAGAAGTGCGAATTTGTTTTGAGGGTTGACACTTACAAAAAAGAAAAATTCTGCAGCATTTATTTCTATATTGGACGCCTCAGCAGCAGCGGGAGGACTTGTAGTTCTGAATTTCTTGACAGTATTCCACAAAGTATCTACACTGAGGAATTCCGCGACACCAATGCGAATGTCACATGAACCATCTGCAGACTTGAGCGGAAATAGCTTGCTGTCTCGCCGACTAAGCTCAGCAAATGGGAGCGCAGCCAGCTCGCTATCTTTTGCGGAGGCCATGCCTTCAAAAAATATCGTGGGATCGGTGAAGAAATAAAGTGGACTAGTAGATGATGCTAGTCCTAGTTCTTGTACATCAGCAGGTCCACTTTTTCCAACAATGTGGTCGCGTAGTTGAGGGACTGCAACCCTGTCGGCTTCGGTCGTGGTCGGAGACGACAGATTTACGGTGTCGGACAGGACACCAGCCAAAAGAAGCACTGCTAGGCTCGTAGGAAGGAATGGTTTCTCCGCGCCCCCTCTCGTTGATGAGGAATACCTGTAGTTGTAAAGTTCTTTTTTTATTTGAGCAGCAGGAACGTCAACGAGTCGAAGTAGTGGAATACAAATCAAAAACGACCACCTGTATGCAAAGAAAATCAAAGCCGACAAAAACCAAAAGCAAATCTTACCACCTATCCCACAGTATTGTCGAGGTTGATCCCCACGGTCGAAAGTCTGCCAATATCGGCGATTTTGTGCTAAGCGAGGCGTCGATCATGTGGTGATCTACGACGGCCGCGGTCCTCGTAGTACTCGTAGAACCTCTGACTCTGTAGGAAAGTGTTTGTGCATCCGCATTGTGATCAACCTGAATTGCACAAGACGTTGTGGGAAATTTAGTCGAGTCCGACGATACAACTCCGATTCTTTCCACCTCATTTCCAAGCTCTTCGTCAACAAGCACTGTGGAAACACCGAGCTTGGATATCAATGTCCGCATGTCTGTTTCCTCGTCGGTGGCTGTGGAGCTTGACGTTTCGTCCTCATCGGTGGCTGTGGAGCTTGACGTCGAGGTTCCCTCTACATCCGCTCCTCCTCTAGAAGATGCTACAGAAACAGCATGGTTCAGCACATATCGTATTTCAGCTGACGGTGGGTTGTAGTTCGGTCCGACGGGCAAGATCGCGACACCTTTGAACAGGTACGCAGCAACCAAAGATGAGGCCACAGAATCAACGTCTGGCGCCTTGTGGCCGAGAACTGCGCAACCAGCGGGCACATCGGAGGGAACAGACGAGGCACACCTAGTGGTCGTCATCTCCGCAAGGCTCGACAGTAGCGTGAAAAGAACGATCGCTCCCAGCAGAAACCTCCGAAGCGTCATCATCTTTCTGTGAGAAGTTCTTGATTTTACCTCTTGTTCCAGATCTCCCAGCAGAAACCTCCTCCGAAGCGTCATCATCTTTCTGTGCGAAGCTCCTCATCTTGATTATGATTACCTCGTCCAGCACAACATTAAGGATAGGCCGCCATGATCCACAGCTTTACCTGTATACTCAAGCGGATATGCGCAGCCTCTTAAGATGATCCTCGGTGCCGAACTAGCGAAGATCCTGCAGACTCGTCGGCCGAACACGGTGATATCAAACGAACGTTGATAGATAATTTCAATGATCATCATCTGGCACACTTCTAGTACACGGGATCGATCGCGCTGCAAAACGTCTATAATATGAGGGCGGGATGGATGGGAATTTGGATTTGCTCGCCTCGGGGAGGTGAGCATTATCACGACTATTCACATCTCGCCGAAACTTTTGATTTTACAAGGTGGAAATGGGGTTGTCACAGAGTACTACTTATCCAGGCTTCTTCTTGGAATAGGTGGAATAGGCAGACTTTATCACAGACTTTATCACAACTTTCAGGAAGATCATCAACAGAGCTTGTAGAAGCGAACTTTGATCCTCCCCTTGATTCTACTTGGAATAACTCACGACTCTACTAAAAACTCACTTAACTACTCTGACAATTAAGTAATGAACAAGTTCTAGAAACCAGAAGCGAATTGAAGTTGATGACTTGTCCTCGCCACTAGGTAGAGGATGAAATGCAAGTTCTAAACTACTAGTATTTTTAGCTTCCTCGTGGAGGAGACATTTCTCAAGTCTTATCGAATAGGATCCAGAGCATGCCTACTTGATATTTTTACTGATTTTGATGTTATCGAAAGTTTACTGAAGAAAGGCATCGAGTCTACTAGGCATTGAGTCTACTAGACGAGGGGATGTCCTCAGTCCTCTACCTCGTTCTTTGGACGACCACGAAGAAGTAGTTACATTGAGATTTGACTTGTAGTTACATATTAGTAGAGTTGATAGGAGTGAAATTATGAGTGACATTCGGCAATACCATGTCTGAGTTCTAGACAGTTCTTTTTTGAGATTGCGTTAGACGAGCTAGGTCACAACTAGTAACGAACGAAGGATGAATACTGCAAGACAATTAATGCAATAAATACTGCTAACTCGGTAAAACCGCGCTAAAATTTTAATTTCATTGATAATTCGAATTCTGCACGAATCTAGTTGTAACAACTTTGATTCTAAGAAGCTGACCCGTTCTGACCATCGACGTCGCAGGAGCTCCTCCATGTCTATCCCGGTGGAAACGCAAAGCTATCATTCCCGACACCTGGCGCTGGCTGGCTATCCCGGTGGAAACGCAAAGCTATCATTAGAGGTGCCGGGAATGCATCTCAGGGATCATCTGGGTCCCTCTTTCCTCTTGTCTTTTTCTCTATCTCAGATGACTCATTTGGAGATGATGAATTCCCTACACCCGTAATATCATTCCCGACACCTGGCTGGCTCAACCTTTTCTTCATATTAATCTGCATTTGCGCAATTAGCCTCCTGGACTCTGCCGTCATTCCCCCATCGTCTTTGGGTGAGAGATCCATCTTCTCATGTTGAGAAGATCCTCTTCTTGCTTGTTCATGATCTGCTGCTGCACTAGTATGATGATGATGATGTTCATGATCTGCTGCTGCACTATGATGATGATGTTTTATTCCACTCTTTTTATGAACAACGTGTGCTTTAGGTGGACTCTTCTTATGTACAACATGTGCTTGAGGTGGACTTGCTTCTCCTTCTCCCCTTGCCTTGAGTTGTGGAGATTGAGATTGTTTACTTCTTTTCCTCCAAGGAGACGAAGCCCCTGTAGTTGGGAGCTCATGTTTGGACTTTCTGGCGCCGACTGCCGCTGAAGAAAATGGTCTTGCAGGTGCGCCTCCAGGAGCAGCTATGCTACTCCTTATTTTCTCCATATTTTTAGTCGTACTACTGCTACTAGTAGCACTACCACTTTCGTAGTCTCTATGGTCGGTGTGTAGGAGACGATGTGCCTGTTCCGCTTGTCCCGCAGCACCACCAGCTTTAGAAGCACGACCTCCTCCTCCTGCTTTTCCTCCCGAAGCACTACTACGACGTCCTGACCCTTCTCCTTTGGAGGCTTCTGCTCCAGAAGCACCCGCAGTCGCACCAGGAGTAGTTGTTGCTGTGACGCTTAGCATCATCACCTTCTTCTCTTTTCTCCTCTCCTCATGTCGAATTTTTTCAGGGTCGTGAAGAGTTAGAACGAGCGAGCTTGGAAGATTCATTATATCATTTCGGTCCAGCAACATCGATCCGTAGTGGATTTTTCCTTGGCTGTGATGTTTCATGTAATTGGGAACATCAACCGGGTACAACTACAACCAAGAAAATGATGAGTAGAGAAATGAAAATGAATAAGAGCTAGGCGTAATTGTGCAGCTTCCCCTTCAGCACTAGCCCCTTTTTTACCTGCAGCACCCTTTCCGCCTCCTGCTCCAGGTGTAGTAGGCAGTGCGATTTCGAATTTGCCATCTGGAAGTTGCAAGATCGCGCTACCTCTGGCGTAGGTTCGAACATCTCGCAGCATGTGGGAGACGACGCCTAGTCTGGATAGGAGAACGTCCTGGTTCTGATCCGCTGCATCGGAACCTCTAGAACTTCTCTTGTTAAAGCTGTCACTGTCTTCTATCCTAACAAGTTAAGTAGTTGGAAAATGAAGATGAACATGAAGAAAAGAGAGGAAAGTGAACTACCCCAACGACCCGTCCACCCGTGAGGAAAATATTATAAGAAATACTACCTAGCTAAGTTTTCGATAAACTGAAATAAGCGAGTAACTACTGAAGATAAGGGAGATACTGAAAGAAGAGGAATCAATGTTGTCAGTGTAAAGGACTCGTATAATTATTCCAGACAGTAACTCGTAATCGTATATTTTGAGTTTTCGAATAGATCATGAGCCTTAATCTTGGCGGGTATCAAGGGCATGGTTTCGAGGTCCACCGCTTTCCTCATGTAGTGGGTGATGAATCCGTAGGCTTTGACCAGCGTAGGATTAGAGGTTGAGAGTTGGCCCCCCTCTAGTAGCTCGCATATCTGTGGCTTTATTCTACCTACTTGAAGAAGAGGACATAAAGACGCGTACTTATATTAGAGATGTCAAGGTCAACTCCCAAGCCTTAATAGGACAGTACTCCTCGATTAGCCCTTGTTCCACGATGTATCTGACCGCGCAATGCTTCACATGAGCTGGCATCCCATTGAGAACCTCGGAAAGCAGAAAAACCTCCGGAAAGGGATCGCCTGCACCTGGTTCTTTAGCATCCAGATTCACAACGGCGCCTTTACTAGAGGAGGTATTACTTGTTCGCGATGTTGAGGCGATTTTCTTCTGGATCGATTTTCGATGTGATTGGTGTTGCTTATGAGCATCTTGGAGCTGCTGGTGGAGGGCGCCGTTGCCCACGAAAACCTCAGGTTTACCAACGTCGCATGCGTAGATCGCTGAGCGCAAAACAATGACCAAATCTTGGATACTGTGCAAAAAGTCCTCACTGTCACTCGAGTTGCCATCCTGCAACCCCTTTTCGATGAACAGCTTGCGCAGCTGCCTTTCCGTTTTAGGTTTCCCGTCCGAAGACGCGGCGACAGAGGCAGTTGTATTCACATCCTCGGTTCCGAGTTCAACAGTGGCGACACTGTGTCTTATTTTCGTTCCTGCTGCCCCAGTGGCCGTATGAGGAAACGCTTTCTGTCCCCACTCGCTCTGCAGATGCTGAAAGTTCTCTCCAATCTCTGCCGTCAACGCCGCTGCCGCTGTCAGAACAGTGCCCGCCGACAATTGCGCGGCGTACAACTCTGTGCAGCCGTGTGAGAGAAAGCGTTCTAGCCGATTGTCACTGGCCGCGGTGATCTGTCTCATTTTATGGCGACGGCCTTCACTCTGCTTCCTCAAGATCTTCGCCAAAGCCTGCTGTCTACTCTCCCCAGGCCTCCCGTCAGCCGCTTCTGCTGGCGCAAACGCTTTATTCAATGCTTCACTATCACTAGGCCCACTGCTTTCATCGCTTTTTTCGGTGAATAGAGCGTTCTTCGAGGATTTTCTGCTCTTCTTGTTCCTTCGTGCCTCCTCTTCTTGGGAGGCTGATAGTTCCTGTTTCTCCGCTAGACAGCATGCGCAACCACCGTAGCCTTCGTATCCGTAATCGAGGATTACTTTGCGCAAATAAGCGAGTCGTTCAGGGACACTCGTCGATCTAGGCTTGCCCTTGGAAGTGACACGCGCTCCAGTGGAGTCGACCTGACCGCCGCGGTAAAAATCCTTTCCTACAACGTCCAAAAACCCTGCCTCTCTTAGTGCTTGCACGCTTGTGCGCACGTCTGGGACAAAGAGTTCCCCGTTCCCTCCAGCTAGATGCGCCACTTTCACTCCGCGCTCTCCTGAAACTGAGTCGATAAAGATGCAGGTGCCGCGCAAGAGCTCTACTTAAAGCGCAGCAGTCAGTGGTCATCATGACTCTGAACGGAAGAGACCCCCTCCCCGTAGTTTTCCCCTTTTCCCTTCGCTTATTTCCCTTGTTCTCTCAAGGGGTCGCCTCTTCGATCTCAGTGACTCCAATCTAAATGGTGACCATTGAAAGTTGAGCCTTAATCTACTCTCGCATGATGTCTTCGGTCTGATCCGACTGCGCTTTCTTGTAGAGGCTCGGGTTCGGCAAGCAAGTCGTGCTCTAGCACGCCGTAGATGCCGGCTCGAATCTGCGGACGAGACTTGTTTCGGAAGAACTGCTCGTCTGCTCCCCCCGTCACGCGGTTAAAAAAGATTCTCCGCAGTTCTCTGTAAAGCAAGATCCCTCGCCAGAAGCGTAAAATCTCTAACACAACACCGCTTTGCCGCTGTGCCAGCACCAGAACCTCGGACTCGGGACCACTAGTTATAGATTTTGATATACGCGGAGCAAGCGTGTCATGTTGAGCTTGAAGATGGTGGAGAACAGGTCGTTTTGAAATGTTGGATGTACTAGTTGCACTACCAGGAGTTGCGCCACCAGTTTTCCTAGAAGACGCACGATCAACAGTTCCTTGCCTAGTTCTTGAGGATGCATCATGAGACGAGCTATGGCGTTCAACAAAGCTCTCATCCATCGCAGCTTCGCGAATCGACAGCACCTGAGACACAGCCATCGGGGGCGCTGGAACTGGCAAGGGAGGAGCCGGGATCGCGTCCGGTGCGGCTTCTCCCTCTCCACCAATGGGACGTCTAACGCCACCAGCATGAAACTCGATTTGTTCGCGTAAGCCTGCTTGTGAAGTCTTGTCGAAGGGCACGAACTCGTCGTCAAAATTTTTCAGAATGTCGTTCTCCTCCTGATCCTTCGAAAACAACGATTTAGGATTTTTCTGATGCTTATTGCCACTACTTCTTACTATAGTACTAGGGCTACCTCCACTTTTTCCGCCTTTTGTTGATGTGCCTTTGCCGCTCTTTCTTGCTCCCTCGGGTCCTCCACCACCCAGGCCGGTTCCATGACTTTCCTGTAGCCTTTTCCAGAGAGACGGGAACTTGATTTGCAAGGACGTGCGAAGTTCTTCTGGAAGGTCCTGAGGAGAGAGGGCGCCACGCGAAACTTGAAACACGTACTCTCGCATCATTAGCGCTGCACCATCATCAAAGTTCTCGGTCACGATTGCGGCACTCACCGCGTTTGCCAGCTGCTCTGGGGCTAATTTCATGAGATCAGCGTCCTTCAGCGGCTTTGATCCCGCGACGGATGGAGCTGATCCAGACTTTCTCAGTCCTGAGACTGGTGACCGACTATGACCTGGAGAGGGTGAGGACCCCAGCCGCCGTGGTCCTCCACCTGCAGCTCCATAATTATTGGAGGTACCTTTCTTACCACTTTGTCCTCGTCCGCGTCTCTCATCTATCGAAGAGCTTCTACTTCTACTGTAGTTCCTTCCTTTTATTAGAGCTCAAAACAATTCATTTCTTGGATTCATTTCTTCAGAATCCCAAGAGGGAAACAGAAAAAAATGTCAGCTGGAAATAAATTGTTTTGAGCCTTAATTTTAAAGGACTTTTCGCGTTTTGGGCGTGACTCGATTTCCTCTTTGTGCCTCCCGGTGAGAGTGATCTTCTGGTGCCCCCTGGTGACACTTGTGATCTGCTTGTACCTGCCGGTGAGACCGACGAGCGTCTCTTTTTTGACGCTGCGCCAGGACTGGGACTGCGACTCTGGTCACTACCACCCGTCAGAATCACTGGGCTGTCTCCCGTGGCTTCGCCTTCTCCACGCGGCAGATGATTTTGTGGAGGACCTCCACTGCGTCGTGCAGTGCCGAGAGATCCTCGTGAAGGACCATCTTGTTCACCTCCGCCAGGAGCACCTTGAGTGGTAGAGGACTTCCGAGTCGTGGATGCTGAAGACCTCCGTGAAGGTGATCTACCCCTTCCAAGTGAGGCTGCCCGTTTTTCGCGATTTCGGATGAGATCGAGCAAGGCTTTACTTAGAGGTCGTTCCATCATTTTTGCATTCTTCCACACTACTCAAGAACATGCTTGTCCTCCCTGTAGCTGTATCTACTTATATAAATTAATAATTTTGACATTGACTTTGAGTTTGACTTTCTTCTTGAAGATAAATAGTCAAGGACTTCTCAAGTCCTCGTGCAGAATGCAATGTGGGAGCGGCCCTTAACTTTCCCTCTGCAATAGTTTCGATCGGTCCTTCGCCATCCGGCAATATGTCTAGTGTGCCATCTGCTCCGCCGCTAACGACAGCTAGTCGCTCACGCTTCTGCTCACGACGGATATACTCTGCATAGGCGTCGTTCAGTTGCTCCCTGTGGGAAGCCTTATGGTGAGGCTTCTCTCTGGCATGTGGAGAGAAGGCAAAGGGACGAGAGGCAGTGGGAGATTTCAACATCATCTTAGAGGATGTTGAAGGGCTGGATGGTGACGAAGATTTTCTACCTGTAGATGTGCCAGCAGCTCCTGTAGAAGATGTGCCCGTTGTAGCACCACCACCACCAACTGCTTGCTCCTGGAGGTTCTTGTTCTCTAGTTCTAGGACTTTCTCCTGCATTTTCGCGAGCTGAGTGCTTTGTAGTTGCTCACGATCCGCCACGACGTCCTGCAGATGGGCGAACTTTTGGTGTAGCGTGTCCCTGTCCTGCATCACCTCCTGACATAAAGTGCGCCAGCTCTCGGCCTCAAGACGCCCGGAATCCACTAGATCCTGCAGGCCACGACGAAACTTAGCCTGTTGCCACATCGCTTGCCATTGCAGGAAGCACAGGGCCGAACGATAGTAATTCTGGAGTCCTTCACACCTGAGCACACCAAAACTTATCTGCGGGAAGTAGAACGCGAGTTGTGCGTGCTCTTCCTCCTCGTTGCCATCTTCGTCCAGGAAGAAGTCGTCTACTTTGATGTTTTTGTTCAGATTTATCGTCTGCGGACTAAACTGTTGCATGCCTTTATTATCTTTCCCTTGATGGAGATGGCGCTGGACGTACTCATCGATAATGCCACCTTGATCGACCGGGTTGTAGTCGTTGTAGTTGCTTTCACCCTCAGGAGCAGTGGTAAGAAGCCCTTTCTGCTTGTTGCTACTTCTAGTACTTGGACTAGCACCTCCACCTAGAGCAGTTGTACTAGCTGAAGCACCTGACCGTCTCCTCGCTGAGGAGAGGCGTGGGCCATCCGCTAGCTTCTCGCGCTGCTGGCGCTCGCGTCTACGATGAAGCCGATGGAACGTCTGGCTACAAAGAAGACCGATAGTGCGCCAGCTGGAGAAGTAGACTTCGGCAGACAGCTGCTTTTGCATCCTGGACAGGAGAAACATGCTCCTCGCGCGCAGAAACTTTGCTTCCCTTCTACGCTGAGTGCGTTGGCACCAACGTGCAAAAACAAGGTCCATCAGTTCCGAGTACCGGTGAACCGTGTTGCGACGATGTATGGCGGTCACAGCTGCCCTCAGGAGTTGCTTCGTCACGCCATGCTTCTGCTGATACGCACTGTACAATTCCGAGACCGCACGGTAGGTCCGACTCACGTCGCGGTCTACGCCGCCCCAGCCTCCCTCGAAGACGTCTAGGATAGCGCCCAGCTGACGACACAAAATCCGAATACGAACGCTCATCGATTCTGGTGTAGTTGTTCTTGTTGTTAGAGCTGCTCTCCGTATTTCATCTTTCTTCACCTGCATACTTGAAAAATATGGGGGGCGGGAGTCTTCCCCTGTGATACTCCCCCAGAAAACCACTCAACTTCAAGGATCTAGTCAAATATGAACTAGAAGTACAGCCTTAATGTTGTACCGTCCGCATCCATTGACGAGAAACGTCCTGCATTGAGAGCTTCAACATCTGCCGCCTCTGCCAAGTCGCATATGACTTGCAAGATGTCATGCGCCTGCTTCAGTTTAGGTTGAACCACGTCTAGCATGCGGGATTCATGGGTAGTACCTTGAGATGATACTGTGCGGATAAGTTGAGCGCTTCGAGTACTCACACTAGACCTAGAAGTGGGAGTACTATTGTTGTTATTTTTCTGCTCCTTATCCTGTTTTAGATTTTTCCGCCCGGACGAGATCATGCGCTGTATCGCAGAATGTCGCTCCGGCTCATCATCATCGAGGATACCAGTGTCCCCAAACAGTGTTCCTGCCTCTCGAAGTTTGATAGCACCATTTTCAACATCACTTTCTCCGTAAAAGTGGAGCTTTCTTGTCCCAGTGATAGTACGACCCGCAGAAGCTGCTGCCTCGTTTGCATTACCTTGTGGTACCTGTGGTCCTCCACCTCCTGTGAGTGTGACATCCACCCCTGAAGTCTTCAAGATGCTAGGCTTGCGATGATTAAAAGCGTTGAAAGCAAATGAAGACGAGGAACCAAAATCTCCATCAGCGAAGGCATCACTTCTAGAAGCAGAGGTCACGCCGTCTTCAGCACCTCTAGCAGAGACTACGGTTGAAGGCGGATCCGGGTAAAACGCAAAAGCACCCGTAGTTGCACCTGGTGGTCCTAATGCTGACGTCGAGCTCCTGTCGCCTGGAGAGCCAGAAGCTGCTTGTTCTTTGTTTTTCTTGCTTTTCATCTTCTTCGTGCTGCTTTTCCTACGACCGCCTTCTGGAGACTGTTGGGATGGAGATCCTGTTTGCTGAGACCCGCGCCCAAATTGCGCTGCTCGCAGAGCAGCCAGAAAGTCTGTAGCATCTTTCCCTGTTGCACCTGGCGCCAGGTTCCGTAGTCGCGAAGTCGGAGAGCTAAAGTCAAGGCTCGCCAAAGACTCCTTGTCTTCCACGTCCTCAAAATCTCGCAGAACATCTTCCGCCAGTGCCCTCGTCCGCTCTCGTTCCCTCGCTACGGAACGAGTCGGGCTTGTAATATTTGCTCGTAGTTCATCAAGTTCATCATCTCCTGCAATAGGGAAATCGTCGATGCCAAGATTCACGTCAAAGGATGATGGTACTCCTGAAGTAGACCTCCTTGCCGCTGCCATCATCATCCCCTTCTTCTTGCCGTTCTTGCCACCACCTAGAAGTATCTTACTTAGTGACATGTTGAGAGGCGGATCTATCTGATGCTGCTCCATCAGAGCGTTCTCGTCGTCCTCTTGCTCATCTAGAAGATCTTGTCCTCCATAAAAAGCTAGCATTTCATTTTCAGTCGCCTGACTGTCTCCACCTAGTACGGTGCCCATTTTTTCCTCATCCAGACCGAGAAGGGCTGCGACAGAGCTGCCACCTAAAGTAGCAAACTCGTCTAATCCTTCTTTCCTCCCTCGTCCACTAGTTGCACTCTTCCGACTTTTCAACATCTTGGAAGATGAAGGGCCATTCGGGCCGGCATTATAATCGTTCTCGTCGTAGTCGTCGATTGATGCAGCTCCAATAGCACCAGCTTTCATCATGTTGATGTTCTTCTTCTGTTCTGCCTCTGCTTTCGGACCACCTAGCTTCCAGTCTAAAACACTATGAGGATCCGCCCATGCCGCTGAGAAGGGTGGCAAACCCTCGATATCCTTCTGGAATGCTGCTGTCGCAGCATCAGATTTCATCTTCCTCTTTGAACCGACCTTGGACGTTTTGTCAGGAGTACTGTTCTTGCCCAGGTTGTCCATTGCTTTTCTCTGCGCGATTTCATCGGCGAATTTTCTGACCGCTTTGCGCTGGATGATGTTCATCTGCGCCAAGCTGTCCTCCGTGTCCGCTACCGAGATGTCATCCAGAAGATCGTCGTCATTCTTTACGTGAAGATTTGTGGCATCTCCAGTGCGGGCTTTTCTGAGAAAGTTGGATTTGCGTAGTTCCTGAATTTTTTCTTCTATCTTTTCAGTCACGTCCATCACAAAATTCTCATGACGCATTTGCTCAAGTTTCCGTCGCTCCCGCAAAGGATCATCCTCATCGTCAACATAGTCATCCGCGGGTCCATCTTCCACTTTCTTCATCTTTCCAGCAGCACCAGTATTAGAGGTATCTAGTATACAGGATCATTGTATAGTACATCTGAGCAGGGATGATCATCTTCTGAGTGCGTTTTTTTCCCTTGTCTTGTTCTTCCAGATGAAGACTTTGGAGATGAATTCCCTACAACACTAACACTAACACTTACATTAACACTAACACTTACATTAACGCTAAGTAATACTTACTCTTACACTAACACTTACATTAACGCTAAGTAATACTTACTCTTACACTTACACTAACACTTACATTAACACTAACACTTCCATAACACCAACATTGTTATTCTTCTTCTTCAATGGACTCATTGCGTCACGGCGTTCGTTCACTTCATCCTCCAGTTCGTGCACGCGCTCCAGCAGCACGCGGACTAGTTCCTTCTTTTTCAGCGTCCCGATAAGCAGGTCTTCACTGTATCGATCATCCTCTGCCAACTCTGGAAAGCCCCCATTAGATGTTGAGCTCAGAAATTTTATACTTCAATTTCATTTTTTGCTTCCATGCATTTACATTTTCTCACGAGGATCTTAAGACGAAAAGCACCACAGTGAGGTGAAGCGAGGACATGCCAGCTCCTCTACTTCCCTTCCGGATAAGCATGTTGGCACTACAAAAAAACAAGACTTGTAGAACATCAAATGAATTAAACAACTTCTGAGGAGCCTTAACCTTATCGACGATATGTCGCAAATGCATTTCTAACTCCGTGACTCGCGCAAGCAAAGCCAAATACGTCGCCTGGGTCTCGAAAGGGTACCGCAAAAAGTTCTCCCCAAGGCATCGTTGGAAGTGGATCTTGTGCGGACGGTTTGCGTGGAGTAGCTCTAACTTTTTTTCCAGATGCGAAATGTGCGTGATTAGGTCGCGATGGCGCTGTCGGTACCGCGACTCGATGTGCTTCTGCAGTTCCAAATACTCGAATTGGAATTCGTCCATCTGTCCGTACAGTCTGCCGCGTGCACGGTTCAAATGACGCAGAAGGGTCTCCTTTGCTGCCGCAGAAGGCAAGGGCACGCGCTCTCGCTCGGCAAATTTTTCGATGACTAGCTTTTTCATGTCCTTGATGAGTTCGAGGTGCTCGTCTTTGGCGTGAAAAATTTGCACCAGCTCGCCCTGGAGCTGCTGGTAGAACTCTTCTGCACTGGTGATCCGCTTGTTAGAGGTAGCTTCTTCCTATTCGCTTATCCCCCGCTTGTTATGGCTGTCCCCCTTAGCAAAGCAGCCATAGCAAACGGTAAATAACAAAAGCACCTTCAACATAGTGCCCTTAATCTTGTTCTCGGAACCAGAAACAGGTGGCGCAGGTCCTCCTGCGTGCTTCTCGAAATGCAGGAGTCGGCCTCGTGCGTGCCATAGAACGTCTTGTAACTTGTTGAAGAGTACCTCGTAGCTCTCAGTCACTTGCTCTCGCAGCTCATCGATTAATTCGAGAGTCTCTTCACGCTGCACGTCGGCACCACTCGAAGAGTATCTACCATCTGCAGAAGATGATCCGCCTGGACCTGTAGGTGTCTTAGAGGTCGCCCTAACCCATAAATACCCTTCTAAATTAGATATGTTCTCGTTCTTCTGCGTGTCTTTTCCCCTTTCAAACTAACTAACCACTTTCAAACAAGGACAAGAAAGCTGTCTCTCAGATTAAATTACAGGTTAAGTAGCCCTAAGTGTGGTAGCAAAGCCAGACCCTTCACCGGCAGCAACGTGTTCCACCTTCGCAGCACTCTCGATCACCCGCTCCTCTAGCCTCACGAGTTCTGTAGCCATGCCTTGCAATTCTAAGTGCTCGTCGTGGAGTTGCCGGACTTCCTCTGATTAGAAGAGGAGCTTGCATTGATTAGCTTATACTGAGTATATAAGCCTTGCCTCACATTCTCTGAATCCAACAAGGAAAGAACTGAGAGACGTAACTAAGTCACCTACTTCAGAAGTTCTGTGAAGCTACTGATGATCGATGAATTACTTATAATTCGAGCCTTAATCTGAAAGGCGTGAGTACTCTGCGTTGTCTCGGATGGGATGGGGTCCCAACTTCCCTCGCGCGTGTGGCCCAAAGGATTCTCTAAGCCGGTTCTCAAAAGCGGCAGACACGGAACGCTCCACGTCGGATAGGAAGCTATCAATCTGGGATGAAGTGCGATGTTCTTTAATCATTTTTAAGTACTAACTACCAGAGAAGTCAGTAGATGTAAGAACAGTGATTGAAAGTACTTCTACATCATAGGTTATGATCTTCTATTCTTTTTGATCGGTCTACCTCTTTTTTTTTTTTTTCGTTAGCAGGATCTGGTAGACTGTGACACACTTCTAGATCGAGCCACCTGCAACTTGACCCCCTTCCCCATCCATCATCCATCTTATAACGAATGCTCTATAGCTAAGTACCTGTGACGTAATGGTATCGTGCACATCGCTAACTTGTAGGAGGAGGGCTTCTTCTCGCTCCTGCAAACTTAGAAGCATGGATCCTCCATGCACACCCACACCATCAGAAAAGCAGTCTGCTAAATCGGAAAAAAGTCTCTCGCCAAATTGTCGCATGCTATCAAGCATGGGACTACGTCTAGCCTGCAGAAAGTCCTCGCCTATGCCATCACGGAACTGTAATTCGTTGTCGACCTGGAGGTGTTGGGATGAAAATATTGACAAGGATCATGTTGCCAGAGAGAGATCAAGTCGAGGAAGATAATCATACTGATAGGAGAAGTTGTACAACGTAAAAACAGAAATCGGAATTTCAATTTATTCTTACATACAAATGCAAATTGATCTCCTGGCTGAACAAGGCTCCTATGGTAAGCATTTATCAACGACAACTACAGAAATGATCCATCATAGCCGATTCATTGTACAAGAACTAGTTAAGTACCTCATCGTAGACATGTTTCAGTTTTTCCGCTACTTCTAGCAGGTGCGTGACTTCCTCTGCGTGTTTCGCGTCGCGCCTATTGATTTCCATCCGCATGTCCTCGGCTAGACTTTGTAATTTTTCCTCTAGCAGGTCGTTGCATGCCTCCTCGATCGCAGCAAGGGAGTCCCGACTCTCCAATGCAGTCGCCAATTGCCGCTCTCGCTGCATCATTTATGACACGAAAAAGTGTACTCATACTCAAGAAAAGAGGCTTCTTCCTACTTAGAAAGTGCCTACTTTCTTGTGAGGATGAGTACACTTTTTCGCTTCATATCGCTGTCGCTCTCGTCATCTTGCTGGTCTGAAAGGCTCCACTACCACTGGCTCCACCCCGTAGGGCTGGATTCGTAGATGCCTCTTGAAGCTGGTCTGAAACGTGATTCTCCACGACGCTGCGAGGTCGGGTGAGCAGCCCTTTAATGCGAGAAACCTCACTTCGAACTTGCGTGAACCTGTCGCGAATAAAAGCATCATTTTCATCCTCTTCCTCGGTTCCCGACAAAGGGTTCATGCCATCGTCAACATTTCTGGCCTCATTTGCAGCTTCTGCTTGTTCTGGCTGATCAACATCTGATGAGAGAAGCATAGACCTAGAAGCACTGCTACTGGTCCTGCTCTTCTTACTCGTTTTGTCGTTTAATTGTTGTGTCAGTAACTGTCGATCCTTCAGCATAGAAGAAGTTCTAGGACTCAGATTGCTTTTCATGGAGGTAAGAATCTGACTTCTCGTTGTAGTGCCGCTGTTCGTGCCATTACTATTTCGTAGTCATTTTAGACCTTACCTATAATATTCATGCTCAAAGGCATCTTATCTTTGGAGGGTTGGTTTTCCCTTTAAAAAGAGACCAAAGAAGATGCTCCTTCAGATGAATTACCGTAAGCCTTAAGAGTTCTTGTTGTGTCATCGATTCTCGGTCGCGTACCACATCACCTGACGTAGATCCACCACCTCTTGCTAAAAGACGAGACCGAGTCCGCTCATTTTCGACGAGTGCAGCTACATGACCTTGTTCTGCATCTCCCGAAGATGCCGAAATCGATGCACCAGTAGCAGTGCTCCTTTGCCGAGCCTGCATACGAGAGAGGAAGCGCGCTTTTGCGGCAGAGGCTTCCATCCTAAGGCTTTGTTCCCTTTCGGAGGGGCCTTCTGCGCCTGTGCCTTCCGAACCTTGGCCACGCATCGACGATGAGGACAGTGCGGAACTGGCAAACTGCCTCTTAGAGGACTCATCCAACCCCGTCGAGGAACTCGCCATCCTGATGATCTTCTTATTGAAGAAAGTGGGCGGGACAAGGAGATTTACATTCCTACATGTTCTTGATCTTGTCCCCCTTATGCTATTTGATGCTCCTTGCTCCAGCACTTGAGTCAGCGGAGGCCGTGGAGGTTACATTTTTCTTGCCAATAAAAAGAGTCCTGGGTCGTGGTCCTCGTGGTGTCCTAATATGTTTGTATGGAAATGTCGAATTGACTTTCCTCTTGACTTTCCTCATTGGATGAGTGGGAGTTTGTGCGGAGATGCGTGTGCAGGATAGGTATAGGATAGGATCAGGTGTGTGTTTAGGATAGGTATAGGCTCCGGGCTCAGCAGGTTCATTCATTCACTCAGTGGGCCGCCTCCGGGCTCGCGGCTGCAGTGACTGCACCACCACGTCCTGAGACGATCATACGCCTCTTTTTCAGAAGGTAGGTCTTTTTTTCAGAAGTTCGTAGTATAACTGATGCCGATCTGCAGCGGACCGATGTCGAGCAGACCGATGTTTAGGATAGGATAGGTATAGGATCAGACAGAAGATGTTGTGCAGAAGATGACTTACTACAGACCATAGCCGCAGTTGGACTTGAGCATATGAAGGAAAGGTGCTGGCACCGAGCTAAAAAGCTTTCCATGCTGGATATATATTCCCTGATTTAAGATGCAACAACGTGTTGTGCCAGTCTCTAACCATTTCTTGGAAGCTACGCGACCGTCCAGCTACTTCAACTTCTAACCTATTTTTTCTGTCATAACATCATTTTCATGCAGAACATCAAGCAAAATTACTTAAACTTTCAAGAAGAACTAGAACAAGCTACTTAAACTTTCAAGAAGATCCAAATCGACGATCGCACGCTAGGATAGGATAGGAGCTGGCTCGCCTCGAGAGCATTCACGACTATGAAAACGCCGCACGCTTGATGAAGGCGAACGCAGCTACTTAATTTCATATTCATGCGGGGAGGTAGAGGTGGTTTTAATTTTGTTTATTCACGAAGCATCTTATGCATGACAAACGAAAACATAAACTGCATACTTCTGTGCAAAAACTTTCTACTACGAGTACAACTACTCTTCAAAGAGGAGCAGCACTTTCGCGACTTAGTCGTTCTACTTCTAGGAAATTGATAAACAACACTAAGTAAGGCATGATACAACTAACTTGGACTTCATATGGATGTTTTTAATTTCAGACTGATCATGATCAGCAGGGTGGAGGTGATGTCTGAAGGTTAAGATTATAGTTTCATTCTTGGTAGAACAATTACATACAACATGGTAGATCTAGTTCTGGTATTTACACTCGTGCAGGATTTAGCATTAGCTTTAGCATTTAGCATTCACTTTCGGGACTTCCCTTCCGTTTTCTTCAACTACTACTTCTAAGTCTATGGAGGCAGGCACTCATATTCCATTGGGATGATGAAATCTCAATTTTAGTTTTCGTATCTCTTCATCCGCTAGCTTATTATTTACGCCTCTACATCATGCCTTGGTCTTATGACAAACTGGGATATGCAACTTGAACTTCAACATGCATCTACTAAATAAGTTAAACTACTACTAAATTACAATACTAATTACTCTTGTTCACGACTAAATCACTAGCGCGACTACATCCGGTTCCTGACGTTAATTTTGCGTTTTCCCATTAAGGGTGACGATGCCCGAGGTTCGAAAATATTCGTACTACGGATGTTTGCTGTTGATGAAAAAACGGTGGATCCTCCTCGACCTCCTATTGGCGTTGAAGAAGGCGACGACCCTGGACGCCTGCTTATCTTAGAGCTACTGCGTTAGCATCGTCCTATCCTTGCCCTTGAGAGAGAGAGGCATTGTTCTAGCATTATACATTGGAAGGCGAAGGTCCTCCTTCTTTTTCACAAGAAGTAGAAAAAGAAGATCCAAGAATCGTGGTGCGTGCTACCTAAAAAGGACATCATGCTTGAGCCGCGGTAGCCTTAATGATTTGAGAATCTGTCGGCGTTGTCAAATCGTGTTGGTGCGCGCGAAGGGCTGCTGCTGCCGCTATTTCCTTAGCCCGTCGCGTTTGAAGAGAGGTTGAGGATGAAATAGTTCTTGTACTCCTCGTAGTTGTTATGGAACTAGAAGCATCCGGATCCTTGTTCTTGGAGGCAGCTGCCCTATCTTTCTTATTTCTTGATGTACTCCTTCTTCGAGAGAGTTCATTTTTCTTGATTTTGGTGCTCTTCCGGTCGTGGTCCTTCGTCCGATCTTCATTGTTGTAAAACAAGTAGTTTTGCGCGTCGTTGAAGGTTCCTGCTTCCTGCTGCTTCATCATGACCATGCCTCCCTGACCCTCTCTAGCCGCATTTGCGCCTACTTCATTCAGATCCCGGAGATCACGGAGATCCGCTCGGCCGCCGTCTTCCTTTCGTACCTGTTTTATTAGCGGGCGCCCAAAACGAGCACGACTGACTTCTTGCCTGCATTATTTCCCCTAATCCTAGGAAGGATTAGGATTCTCATTCATTCAATCCTAGGAAGTATAGTTTAGCCTTATTTTTAGGTCTTTCCTGGTTCTCTTTTGGCTCGCCGTCATCTGTTGCTGTGATTCTCCCAAATAGGAGGTCGTCTGCACTCGTATTTTGTCCGTCAGAGCCGCAAAGACGCCCTCAGCCTCATGCCGGTCGCCGCGATACTCCAAGGGCTCCACCTCTTTCATCAGTAGCTTTGCCCTCTCGGACCTCGATTCCGCTTCCTCTTGCGTTTGCTCTTTGAGTCTTCTATCCTCGTCAGCAATTGCTTCGTCCCTAGCGTTTTGCGCGTCCTCGAAATCTTGGTAATAGTTCGCGGCATCCGCTTGGGGTGCTAGTTGCCGCACCATTTTCTTGCCTCGCAGAACCACGTCTAAGGCACGATCGATTTTTTTCGCGGATAGGCAGATTAGAAGTAGAGCTTGAAGAAGTAGACAACTCAATATCAAAAAGGTTACCAATCTACTATCAGCTTTTGGTCTTGACCTCTTACTCTTTCAGTACTGTGAGTTCTACTTCTAGCCAAGGTAACACGTATAATTATGCATCTCCCTTCTATCTACTACAAGATGACACTCATTTTGATCGTCTCAGTACCAACATTCGCACTCTGCAACTGCATCATCTTAAAGACAGACCCGAAGGAAATACACTGCTCCCTGTTTCGCCTTTCACCAATTCCGCTTCCGTCTCTCCGCCAAAGGCGTTCACTGCCGCATTCTCCTCCATACCAAGCTCTTCTCCTTCTTCGAGGACCTTCGACGGAGAAGGCACGTTCCTAATGTTGCTCGAGTTAGAATCGCGTCGGCTTATGTTATTTCCATTGTACAAAGCAGGGTATCTTCGAGGAGATGCTGAAAAAGATGGAAAATAGAAGCTGTAGCCTTAATGGACGCTGCGCGTTCCATGGCGCTGTTTGGCGCCAAAGAGTTCCATTCCCGCAAGTAGTGCCGAATCGGCAAAACCGCTTGATTCCGCTTGGCAGTGGGGTCAGCTCTTGCGTTACCAGTAGGCGAAGGCATCCAATCATCTCCGATCGTTCCCCAGGCTGCTCTTGTCTCTTTTCTTAGAACTGTACAATCTCTTAAATGGATACTCTCTTCTTAGAACTGTCAACCAGCTGTCTGTATCTCTTCTTGATGGATACTCTACACTTCCTTGAGGGATCCAACACCATCGAATTCCCCATGCGCATTCTGCCATGCGCACCATTCTGCGAGAGGTTATATATATAGATACATTCGAAACCACAGCCTTAGCATCGGTGCCAGCAATGCGCGCTCAAAGTCTGCGTCTTGATCGAACCGAGCAGCCTTTCTGTCCATCACGACATTTGGCGCATCAACGACCACAGTGCCTCGACTTTCGTCAAGCAAACCCCTTGATTAGATGAGTCCGTCGGCTTTTATTCTTCATCTCAGTCCCCTCGTCTTCGACCCCTTTCCCATGGGAGAACAAGAGGGAAAACAAGGGTACAACCAAGATGCCGAGGAGATGAAAAATGGATATAAAAGCCGACCTTAACGCCACGCAGGAATGAAGTGAGCGGCCACTTTGCCGTCAGGTCCTAGTCGTGCGGTTTCCCTCCCGTCCCCACCAGCTTCAATACGACGGTGCATACTCGTTGCGCCACCATTTCCTAAGCCAGCAGACAAGCTTCGTGCGAAAGCACCAGCGCCTTTGAATTTCACTGTGCCTGGAGCATCCCCGAATTCGAGAGCTCCTGCATCCGAAACCAAAGGCGCGCCCAAGACAAGCGGGTCGTGACGGCCTGCATTCGCTAAGGTAGGATCCTCGTCTTGGACCTGTAGTTTAATGTATATGACAGACTTGATGGTATTACATTCTAATTTGATCCAACATAAAGTGCAAATTCTTGATGAAAGTCTAGTATCTCTATACCTGCAAAGCTCTTGGATTAACGACTTGTAGCTGTGCCTCCAAGGATTTTGCGAAAATAAGGACGTGCTGCAGGACGAATTGTCGTTCTAGCTCCAGTGACATAGGCGCGCCGCCTAGAGCACTCTCGATGTCTGGAAGGTCTCTCAATGCCGCGTGCGTAATGCTGGACATCGCTGTTTTGGCCAGACTGAAGTAACGTGTGACTTAGAGGCACTACCGCCTTCGCACTCGCATCTTCTTGACCAGCACTCCGTTAATACTTATACTTAACTTTACATTACCTTAAAGAAAAATAAAATAGTCAAGGAAGGATGCTCCTGTCAAGTAGAAGGGACGATGCTTTGGCACCAGTAGTCTTAAGTGACAAGCTGCGAGAATTCAGAGGTAGTTCGTTCGTTCCTGCTGTTCAAAACAGGTGTGGTGGCAACAAGCGTACACGCAGCTCTTGTTCGATTGATGCATTTTTTGAGGTCCGCTAAATCCGTGACCACTGGTGCGACCCTTGTATCTCGCCATCCGTATTTCAAAC